ACAACTTATTTTGAGAATCTGGCCCTCGGGAGAAGCACAGCTGTAGCCATTAGCATATTAATCATGAGAAGGGATTTCATTAATAAATGTACTTTTGGAGAAAAGCCTTGTCAGTTTAAAAGGAGTTTCACAGAGCTGGTGTCTCTCTCCCACTGCCAAAGTCAGTCTTTATGCAAGTTCACACTTCCACCTCTGATGTAGGTTTCCCGCCTTTCATGATGATGATAGTCATATGAACCCAAACCACCCCCCCCAGCTGCAATGGGGGTGGAAGTTATTTGAAGGCTACCCTCCAAAGCTCACAGGTGGCCAAAAGTACTTCGAAGACGATTTCAAACATCCAGAGAATCATTCAATTATATCACATGCAAAAATACACAGGCACCTACGCTGCAAAAATACAACCTTTTATACAATGCAAAAGACAGTTGTATGTAAAAAGATAAGAACCAGTGAGACAATGGCTGGTGAAGACCTATGAAAGGCAAAGAAACAAGGGCTTATAATCTGTCTTCGCTGCTACAGGAGTGTCTGAAGCATTTAAAAACTTAGACCTTTTTTTAGAGATTGAACCAACTTATGAAGACGCAACTAGATAGAGCAGCAACTGTGTAGGAAGCTGGGTCAGCCTCTGTAAAGTGGGGCAAAGAGCTGGAGAAGAGCCAAGTCCGTACACTGCAGCCCTGGGGCAGTGTGCATGCGTGTGAATGCATGACCGCCTCTTCACCCCATACTACCATATCAAATACACCTTTTAAAGAGATTACATCATTAAACTTCACCTGATCTCCTATTAAAAGAAATAAAAACTGCAAAAGGGGCATCAAATTGCTCTTAAGCAAGGTGTTATAATGTAGAATATATAAAACTAATCCAATCACAAATCGGTCATCTTGAAACAAAAATATTCTAAACAAATTTAGATTACATAATCAAATAAACAATAAACAAGCAAAAACTAGTAAGTTCTTACATGGGAGTTTCCAGCAGCCTAGTGTAACATGGACATGAAGTCAGCGATCAGTAGCTGAAGTTGAAAGGCCTTCCTGTGGCACCTGTGAGCAAAGTACTTAATACAAATTACGGCAAAGGAACGTCTGACTGGTTCTCTTTTTAAAACTCCCATTCATGCAGCAGAATTTTACCACAGCAACTCAGGTTAAATATACATAACTGGCTCCAAAACTAATTTTGTGATTGGAAGCCTGCTGTCTTCTGTGACCAAGGAAACAAGCATCTGAAGAAAAAGGGAAACCTACAGCGATGACATCACACAGCCAGTGCTCTTAGTCATCACACCTGGCATTTTCTGGAACACAGGGAATCTAACTCCCACTGCGCTCTGACCAGCCCGCCTCCGCTCTTTGCATTCTTTATTAGGTGCCAATCCATCTAACCAGAGAATGGTGAAACATGAGCTGTTGTGCAGACGTAATCTTATTTATTCCGCATTAGGGAATCCCTCCTGGTTGATGTATATTTTTGTGTCTGAAAGACTCAAACTGATAAAGAGTGAGTGTGACGCCGTATATATATATTAAGCAAAACACACTTCAAGTCCTTCAGATAAGTGTCACCAGAACCCAGGAGCGCAGTTCACCTGGTGGTACACCAGGTACCAATACTAGTCTGGATTATTACTTTTTAAGGTACATGTTTTAAAGGAAGGAACTGTGAATAGGAAATGAATGGGTTTTGTAGTTTGCTCCCCTATTCCTAACACTTGCATTGGTTCCACCCTAACTACCATGTACTGGATCTTGCAACTGCATCTACACTGTGGACTGCTGGAATCAACATCATCATGATTTCAACTATGGAGCTCAGTAAGAATATTCCAGATCATGCATATTCTGGAAGATTTTATTTAGATTAGCATCATTTGGTCTTGGTTTTGAGTATTTCTGGGGAAGGTGCTTTTGATTTTTTTAACCATATCCTTGTAAATTTGTATACATTCCTGTAACTGTGCTGTATCACTGTCTACCAATTAGCATTTGTATTAACTGTTTTACGTGTCATTTGCATTTTTGTTAATGTACATCAGTTTGTATGTATTGTGTATCAAATACAATACAAATTAATTCAGAAAACACAGCAAAAAAAAAAAAAAACAATACATGACATGAACTTGCACACTTAAGAATCAACATAACGAGCAAAGGCTACAGCTGCATCATAAATAAGCTATTGCCAAGGTGATGAAGCAATTATACAACCATCATTGTCACATAAGTAACACCACAAAGCTGCTAGCTTCTATAGCAAGTATAACCTAGCTTTAAAGGTGACAATTGTGGATGTTAGTAAAGTCAGGAATCTGCATCTGGACACAGTCAAGACTAGAACAACTGTGCCTGTGGGAGCTGAAATTATTGTGGGGCACATGAGGAAAGGTGCCAAGATACAATTTGATAAAAAGATTTAACTGGTCCGTTGTTAAGTTTATAATTGGAGATTTCATCTGTTATGGAAAAAAGATGGCATCTCCTTCAACAAGTGTATATAAGATTCATAATGCTGCAAAACCCTTTACACACACCAATGGCTATCCAGAACTCTTATTTTATTGGGTGACAATTTATGACAGGTATTAATTACAGATTGGATGTATCAAACCACCAGCAGGGCATCTTGAAATTCCATGGTGCCACGACAGCAGTCCTGCTAGCCGATCACTAGAAACATGAGGTGCGAATGTGTTACTGATAGCTTTGCTGGAGACTAAAAACTGAGGGCTGATTTCTAAAAGTCAGCTGCATGTCACACTAACACATTTTACATGACACTAAAACAAGAGAGATGGAAAAGCCAAGGAGACAATGAATCTTTCAAGCCCAGAGACATCAAATATCCAAATTGATTATTTCACAGGTTAATTCAAGTGCACCACACCTTCATTAAAAATTCACTAATACAAATTTAACAGAACACTCTGTCTCAGGGGCATGGATTAGCTTCACAGGATATGACATTATATTTGCAAAAGAGTTGCCCAGCTTGAACAGAAACAGAAACCCACTGTGGCTCAGACTTATGGGTTTTAGCAATACATAATTCAGTTCATGCTAAGACGAGCTGTCACAGAGTAGAATGTATTTTGAGTTACGGTGCAGCAGTGTGTTAAAGGGCTGAGCCAAGCTGTTTGTGTTAACCGTGCACTTGCAGGAGAGGTCTTAAAGGATGCTTTTCAGACTACATCTCTCTGTTAGTGGGTGGAGATGAAACCATACAAGTGGATCTGAACCAACGACTAGAGTTAGGAAATGACAAATACAGAAAACTGGCTTGCTAAGCAGATGTAAGACATTCAGTAACGCATCCGAAGCATTCTTGAAAACATAGAAGATTTCTTGCTCGCCAACAACTATCTTCAGAGTTCAAAAGTAGGGCATGGCTGTAATGATTCGCCCCCTTGACATTCTTAATATCTTCATAACCGTCTGCTTAAGTATCAAGTAGAGCATTAACCTGACTAAACAATAGCACTACATTGTGTTTTTCTCCAATAATCCTATACATAACTTAGACGTAACCTCCTTACTGAGAAGCACAGTAAGAAGGCAATAAAAAACAATTTACTGAGTGGAGGTACTTAAGGCCATGAATTATTCTGTCGTTGAGCCCCAAGGACCATGGAGAGTATTTCAGGTAAATACTTTATTCTGCTGTTATCTTCACTCATCACTAGTTAATTGTATAAATTTGGATAGATGAACAGACCAAGTGGACAAGGCCATCATTAAATTTTCAACCAGCAGGTTTTTGAGGCTGTGGAACAGAACGGCCATAAATGTTCATGTCTGAGCTGTAAAGAACAGATAGGCTGAAAAAGAAGAAACTACTGGACAAGTCTGCAGTGACATCCTTTGGCAGCACTTATCCTTGTCAAGTTTAAGAGATGCTAGTGTCTAAAAGGGCATAGGATAAAAAAGTGTTTTGGTCAAGGGTTGTGTGTAAGGAGGAAATGAATCATCTAGAGACAAAAACATCTGTCAAGCCATATAAAAACCATCTACAATGAAGGCTATGATCTACACATGAGTTAGATGCAGTCTTCATGGAAGAATACAACTAGCAGAAAAAAAAGATTTTGCTCAGGTTTCAAAAATAATATAGTATGCTGCTCTGTTTTCATTAATATACTGCTACAAGTATAAACAACCAAGTTACAGGTAATCTATTATAAAAATCAAACCAATTTCAGAAATGCATTCGCTGACTTTTCATTTAACATCCGACTCCTGAGAAGCTTTTGAAGGATGTGCACAGTGGACTGATCAGAAACCATGTAAAGTTTATATATACTCGTCAGGCAGCAGCTCGTTGAGTTGGTTAAGAGCTGCACTTATCACACAGTCACCCGTTTCATTCATGCCAGTAAACTGGCAACTTAAAAGACAGTCTCAAAGTCTAAAGGTAAATATGTGGAGTTTACAAAAAATCTGCAACTAATATTGTTTCCACACATTAACAGATTATTTGCATGCAGTTGATCATCCAACTCTTAACCAGAGTAACTGGAGTTAAGTACACCAATAAGGGACTCCACATCACAGTCTCTAATGCCACTTGAACCAGAAATTATTAGTTTGCAAGTTCATGTTCAGAGCCCACATGCACATGGCAGCCCAACAAATAAACTTCCACTGCGACACTGAATAATTTAGACATTTAAACAGACTAAAATCATTCTCATTCTTTCACAAATACATATTTCAGCTTGCTTTCTAGACAGAAATACTTTAATCCAACGGTTCCTGTAACTACTGCTTGACTTCCAGCTGACAAATATGTACAACAAAAATGTAATAACGGGAGGAAATTAAATAACAAAAGCATTTCACTTTAAAGTCAATAAACAAGTTGGAAAGGTAATCGATTCTGCCGCCCCTATTTAGACTGTTCCTGTGTTATCTTTGAAGACAATTTATGCTTCACTTGGTTACACAGTAATCACAAAAACTATAATATGATACATACTATATTTACACGGTTACCTGAACAGACGGAAACCTTCATCTAGACGGTATGGAGGGGGGAAAAAAGAGGAATATGTGCGTGCATCTGGAGGAAAATCGAATATTCGGTTCGGCGAAAAGCGGGTCGACTGGGCGGGGAACGGACAGGGGCGGACAGCTCCACAGGGCAGCGGGCTGAATAGCGCTTCAGCCTCCTTTTCGTTTCTTTGCTAACTATGAACTAATAATAATAATCATAATAATAACAAATAATAATAATAATAATACCCCGATCGATTCGATACGGACGGCCGAAGGACCCAACAGTTCCAGCGACTGACACACGGGTAAAGGTTCGGGTTAACCGCCACGGGCTCGGTAAGTTACAGTCACAGTCTCTCTGGCTCCAGCTGTTTTCCGGCGGGGGTGGCCAGCTCGTGCCCCCTTTCTCCGCGGTACTCCCCGTACTGGGTGATTCTCCGAGTCGTCGCCAGACAGTCCTGCTGCGGAAGGCGTCGCCGCCGCCGGCCACAAATCAAAGCGCCGCACAGTTACCTCAAGCACGCGTTTAACCAGTTAGTTCCTCCCCTCTCAAAAAAAAAAAAAAAAACACTAACCAGGCAGTAGTGAGTAAAAGTGCGAACCGTGTCCTCCCAGCGCGTGTAAACAGCGAGGCGTAACGGACAGGTAGCCCGCCAGCCCCCCGCTACAAACGGCTTGTTTTATTCACGGCGACGTAATGTTAGCCGGTTAGCAAGGCGAGCTAACGCAACGCCATTTCGACACCGGGAGCCATATTTCGGTGATTATTTCGACATTATTAAAAAGTAGAGCGCGCCGCCACACGCGCCACTGCCGACCGAAGCTAACCACTGGCAGTGTGCGCGCTGAAACTTTTGGCTCTCCGAGTTAAGAAAAAAAGAGACACATACGCGTGTAAACACTGCAAAGATAGCCGGCTAACGGTCCCCCGGGACGTGAGCCCACCGTTGTGTTCAACCTACCCAGTCCGGTGCCTAGCTGGGCCAGCTCTCCGCACGATTTGGGACGACCAAAGTTCACGCACTAGTTTAGCTTAGCCTAGCTTAGCCTAGCCAGCTAACTTACCAAAGCACCACGAGAGATGGAAGAGACCCGGACTAGCTTAGCCTAGCCTAGCCTAGCCGAGCGAGCAGCTTTTAACTTTACTTTAGAAAAGACAGCCTCTTTCTAACTTGTTTTCTTTTTTTGTCGGCAGCCTCTAAACCATTCCGTTCAACAAAAAGGGAAATGTGTGCTTTGGCAGTTTCCTTACCTGCCCCCGCTACATACGCGGTGCTGGGTGGGCGATTTAGCGGGAGACTCCCCCCAGAAAGCGGTGCCTTTCTCGTCTAGTAAAAACAAATACGGTGATTAATTCTAAAGATTCTCACTGAATCCTAAAGACAACAGTGGGGGGGGGGGACCTTCACGGGGGGAGCTACGCCGAGGACCACGTGACCTTCGACGTCAGCGCATCATTTGCATACGATGCACAAGTTACTTTCATTGCAGTTATAGATATACTTATTTGCTTTGGTAAGGGAACGCCTGTAAAAAGACAACAAAATCAAAAATATGTATACCTATATCTTAATTACACAATATATTGTCAGAATGCGGGTCCCCAAAACAATTCCCTCACAAAAGTGAATGAGACTGCGGCTTTGGCGTCACGTTGCGCCAGCAATGAAGTCGGCGTAATTGCATATTAAATTATTGATCTGGTAATTGCATGCTGTCTGTTCAGTTGGACCTAAGGATATCTAAAAAGGCTGTTGGCACCGCAGAGAGGCACAGTTTGTATATCAATATTTATTTATTTTACATAGCAAAAAGACATTTTAAAACGAATGTAACCTTTTTAGAAAGTTGTCCTGTGTATTAATATACACATGAAATTTAAACGTTTATAATGTATGATAAACGTTTATAATGTATTTATAAATGTATTTTTGTTGTAAAGCAAATTAACCCCTGAAATGAAATTCGGTTGTATCGCATACTTTGATCCTGACTCATAACTGTCAATAAATAGTATTTATTCATATACTGTAAACATATCTCGGTCCGTACGCAACATTTCTACTACGGACTTCGAAAGAGAAGCCAGTATTTAATATAATTAGTAAAAATACATCAAGAAATGATCAAGAAATTGTTTCGTTTATTCTGTTTACGTTACTACATTGCATAAGAAGTTCAAACAACCACTGGAAAAGGCTGACCGAATGAAAATGCATGGCCAACAGCGACCTCTGCCGCTCAGTGATGATAGTACTGTATTAAAATTACTTCCTTGATATGGTTTGTTTTATTGGGTGATTTTTAGGGCCTGCTGTCACGCAGCCGCCCTAATGTGGCGTTTGCATGTACTCCTTTTGTTGCTTGGCTTTCCATCCGCACTGCGAAGACTTCCAGTTAGCTTAAGTGGCGCTCATTAAATTATCTAGAGTTGTGAATGTGCTCTGTGACATACTGGCATCATGTCCAGGGTGTGGCCATGCCATGTACTCTATACTCGATGGGACAGGCTCCAGCCATTTGGACCCTGTGTCAGATGAGGAATTTATGGGTAATTTGATTTTGAGAATTGGTTGTAATGTTTAACTTTTTAATGTAACACTCGCATATTAACTGATTACATGTGAGTATATTAATCATATTCGAAACAAACATGCTTTATTTGCACAAGTACATTAGAACACTTCTCTTCACAAACCCCATGCTGCTCTCTATAACTTGGAAGTCACAGTGCTGGGTCAGCTAATGTGCGGTAGCCCTTGGACCTTTGAGTAGAGGCCCTTACTCAGGGGACTATGGACATGCGACCAGCAATGATCTGATCACAGACACAGAGACTTAGCCCACTGAGCCACTCAATACTTTGTTCCTCTTGCTGCCTTAAGGATAGTGATATATACCGATACATGTTTGTACTCTACTACACGTACCCATCTGTTGTGCTAAATGCACAACGTTCAAAGACATTGTTGAGAAAACATTTCATCCCTAGAGTTTGGTGGAGAAAAAAACAAATATAAATACATACATTTGCGATAGAGTGGATTTTTATATCCAGAACATAATGAATAACATCTCATTCAAGACCAAGCGGATGCACATCAACAGGAACAAAACATCTGCTCCAAACAGGGACGGGTCTCTAACACGCTGCCACTCATCATAGATCCTGAAGCTGCAGTGATAAGAGATTCTTGTCTCTTTTCTAAGGGGTCGTGGGTAGGGATGCAAATTATCGAGTAATTCATTAATCAATAGTTGTTTCATCTTATCGATCGATGATCGATTAATTGCTAAGCGGCAATTTTTCTGTGAAGCTGAATTTCCCTCTGAATAGGTTCCATCTACTGTATACGTAACATAGAATGCTATCTTCTATATGATATGAAGAAAAAATGCAAATCATATTCCTTAATCAAAGGTTTATTCTGAGCTCACTTGATGGCAGGGAATAACATTTGGTAGCATTTCAAACATATTTTGAATAGAAAATATCAAAATATAAGAAAGACTACTTAAAACGAAAACAAATTCTCGCTGCTCATCTGCGACATTGGAAACATAAATAGCAGCACCATAAAATATACATTCCTGAATAGAAAAAACTTCCACATATTGTGCATTTGGCGTCGTTGTCGTCATTGACCAACTTGAAGTGGCTCCATACTGCACTCCGTTTTGCCCTCTTCATCCTCTGTGTACCGTTTCTCTTTTATCTGTTGTTTTATCTGTTGTTTGCTTGTGTTCCCGCGTGTGCGTCGAGTACATCTGGCGTCAAGTGCGCCCCACGAGGACTGGCAAGGAATTATGGGTTCAAAATACAATTAATTGCAATTAATAAATTTTAATCGAGTAATTTCTTATCGACAATTAATTGATAATCGATTAATTGCTTACATCCCTAGTCGTGGGTCTACTGTTGTTCTCCTTACGTCGATGTGGCAGATGCAGTGCCACTTGAAGCCCATGTGGCCCCCAACACAAACTTCACTGGCGGATTGCTAAATCGACACCCACTCAGATGAGATGCTTTGATGAAAACGTTCTTAATGTCATCACTTTTAATAAATTAACTTGATGTGATTTTGTCCCATTTAGTAGCTACTATAAGCCATTGTGTGTAGCTGTATTACATTTATGTTTTACTTATTCTAACATGTTTTGTAAATGTGTCTCTTCAATGCATTATTTAGAGATTTTGAAAATATATTTTGTACAGGGTGGTATTTGTTTAAATCTTTGCTTTTCTCAACTTTTTCTTTAATTTATTAAATACCCTGTCCCCAAATGGGGGCCAAATTGAAACTTAACTACACCAGAGAAGGAGACTAACAACTTGAAGTGGCCCTTTTCACACCCCTGCCTGTATGTCAGTTGCAGTATCTCAGCCTTGGGGCAGGAAGATCCGTTTATCTGAAGTATTTGAGGTTTAGCAGGCTTTGTTCCGGGTGCCAAGAATGCAGTGACGGATCGAGGAGTGTTCACGTGTCATCTGCCAGGGAGACACTGCCGTGTGAGTGCTGTGCATCGATGCGGTTCAGAATCCCCAAGGGATTTTCAAAAGAAGCTGATGTAATATCAGCATATTGTTATTGGCACATTGGGGATAAAAGGTTAGTTTTAAATCTAGAAAAATATTGAAAGCTATTCAGATTGGAGTGCCTGACTTTGCCATTGTGCACCACCTCATGTGTAGCTGTTTATCTCCTGGCCAGGTCATCAATCAGGTATATCAATGACCTGTAGGCCCAAGGTGACTCTGGACCTGAAAGGTTCAGACAGCTGGGCCAAAGTTTACTGCCCTCCCTTTGACCCACTGGTGTGTGTTCTGTCCTGTATAATGGGCATGTTGACTGGTAATGAATCACCCAAGAAGCCTTTGAGGCAGAAAATTCCAGATTTTGATCTGTTTGTTCACCAGACTGAGACACAGTTCCTGTCTTTATTGGTGTTTCAAAGTGTGTAGCGCCATGCAAATGATGGTGAGGATCTCCAGGAAGGTACAGTAACGAGTCTGACTCTGTTTAAATCTCCTAGGCTTTTAATTTACTTAAGCTTTTAATTTAACGTGGTACAGATCAATCAATTAGCACTGTTGCCTCACACCTCTGAGACTGGGGTTCGAGTTTTTGCCCTGGCTCTGCGGGTGGGGAGTTTGCATGTTCTCCTCATGTCATCATGAGGTTTCCTCCATGCACCCTGGTTTCTCCCCTTATAGTCCAAAAACATGCTGAGGTGAACTGGAGTTACCAAGTTGTCCATAGGCGTGCATGATGTGTGTGTCCTGTGATGGATTGGCACCCCATCCTGGGTTATTATCTGCCTTGCGCCAGTAGCTTCTGAGGTCCAGACCCCCACAACTCCGAACAGGATAAACAAGTACAGAAAATAAATGGATGGATGGCTTTATTTTTTTGCACTATCCTCTTATTCCTTCTTCTATACTTTTATGTTTTATTACCGATTTCCATTTACATATTTATTGCATATTTTTACTTATCCTTATGTTGTATTTATGCTTTGTGCTACTGGACAAGGACACGTCCCCCTATAGGGATCAATATAGTTCAGTTTTATCTTTATCTCTATTATACCTGCTATATGCCCCCAGGGGGCATTGTCTCCCTGACTTCAACAGTCTAGTTTTGTGACTTTGCATTTACTGGCACTCTCAATGCACTCCAACTAATGCAACAGACAATGAGTAAATTTAATATATATCCATCCATCCATCCATCCATCCATTTTATCTCAAATGTATATGGATTCTGGGTGTTAGGGGTATGCAACAGCACACCAAAACTGTGATTCTTAAATGACCTGCTGTGTAACTCTTGATGACCAGCGTTGTCTGGAAAGAGGACAGGGCTTTTGTGTTCCACTGAGAAAGTCAAGTGCCGTACAGGTAGGGAGGTTTGGACTTTTGGGTGGGGCAAGCTCTGACAGCTCATTGGACCACACCTCTGTCAGTCACCTCAGAGCCAATCATATGATGCCTCTGCTTAGCTATACTGGGGGGGATGAGTCATGTTTGAAATCCATCATTTGATTGAACTTGCTTCTCTTTGGTTTTCCTTCCGGTGACCCCTTGTATGCCTTCATATGTGGACTTTCTGTAACCTTATTAAGTATTAATTTCAGACTTCACTTTTTTTCCAAAGTGTACGTACAGGGAACAGACTGCAGAATAAATATATTGATAGGCTCTCACCCCTAAATGGTAAGTTGCCCCAAAACACAAGGCAATATGCTAGAGCGTGTCTTTATTAAATAAACCCATGGCCCAAATCTCTCCAGTATCAGACTCATAATCATATGTACATAGAGCCAGATGAGAAGCTCCTCAACTCTGTTTGCAGTTGTGATGCGTGTTTGGATTGAAGAGCAATGCAAGCCTGTCGATAATCGGGCTGCTTTGTGGTTTTGCTCGCGCCATTAATCACACAGCCCTGGACCCCTGGCGTGTTTCGGGGGCCAGTAGCTGGGCTGACCCTCTAACAAAAGCTTTAAGAGCCTCGGCTCGCATGGAGACACAAGCTGGATGTGTTGCTGTACAACGTCATCACTTCGTGGTACAGATGGCCTCGTTCAGCTGCTGTCCTTCAGTGCTTTTGATGGTCGCTTCAATGAGCCAAGTTTAAAAAGAAATGACCAGATCATGACTTAAATTAGACTCATACTAATCATCAGCCCCCAGTGATTTTTTTGTATTAGAGATGATAAAATTAAGGAAAATTACACTGCATAGTTCTGTTTTTTAATGCTGTCTCTATCAGTATAATCTACATAGATGAAGTGAATCTTCTTACAGTGCTGAATATCATAAAGCTGTATTACAAATAGATTATAGCCTTTTTGTTTTCTAGTTTGTCTTGGCAGCATGAAGAGTAGAGGATCTAATTTTCTGATAAGTGGAGGGTTTGCTATCATCTCACTGCCTGGGAGTGAGCAGAAAGCAGAGTGATTGGAATAGCTACTGAGCTTCAACCCCAGGCCCAGTGGCGAAATCGGAGGCTCGAAATCTGTACATTCATACCAATATGAGGTCATATTCACGCCCAGGAATGATTTTGGCAGTTTTATTGCCCTTTAGCCCTTAAAGACACATACACACACACAGGTTTGTACTGATATCTTTGTGGGGATTCTCCATTTATTTCTATGGGGAAAACACTATTCCGAATATAATGACCGTAACCCTTATCCAGCCCTAATCTTAACCATAAGTAACCAAACAAAATATGAGACTTTTGGTCCCCACAATGTCAAAATAACAGGATTTTTTCATTGTGGAGGACATTTGGTCCCCACAATGTAATATAAACATAATCCACATGCACATGCACTCACACGCAGAGCAAAGACCATTGCATTCCTTGTAGTTTTACTTCCATTTTATTTGCTTAAAAATAACATAAGAATAGAGTGAGCAGGGAGACCATGATTAGCTCTGCATCCTTAACTGAACAGAACACAAATTCATTAACACATGATGTGAAATGGGCAATAAGCCACCGCTGTATTTCATAGTTCACAAAACTGCCTGGTTTTAAATGTCTTTCTTCCATCTTTTAGTCTGTTTTCCCTGGAAAGGCAAAATGACAAACAAATTCTCATGTGTTAAAAAATATGCCCTTAAGGCAGGAGAAAAGTGTTTATTTTCCCAATATACAAAACTATTTCATACTTACAAATGCATGTTATAACGTTGTTTCATTAATAGTTCCAAAAATATTTTGTTATGACCCACTACTCTGCTTGCAATTGAAGGTACTGTGGTTGTCTGTGTTTAATGGACGCCCATAATGCAACACTGCTTCAAAATAAAAGCCTCATCTATTCTGCCCACCTGGAAATGAGGAAACAGCAGGGAAATACTGAGGGTATTATTTATAATACTACACAAGCTGTACAAATGCTCTCTGTTGGTCATTTACAAAAGTCAATGGACACCCCATTTATACAATTAGCTTTCACATTGCCTCCAAATGCCACGCACCTTTGAGAACATTAAAATTGACCACATTTGTACTTCTGCACAAGTCCTCACTCCAGCCACCTCTAGACTTGGACCTGACGTGATGGGACAGTTCCTCTGGCCATCGTTTTCTCTGTCCTTCTCTCCTTTCTTCCGGGGCCGTGTGCATGCTCGAATACTTCAGTTGGGCATCGGCAATTTCCAGTCTTCCCTCTTCGCTCTTCTCCGCATTGCAGCAGCGGGGACCTTCTTCCCAGACAGACTCCTGGAGAAGCGATGCATGCCTGGAGATCTCACCTCCACAGTGTCCTCTGTGGGAAAGGGCTCAGACTCGGGTTCCACGGGACGGGGGGCGGGGTAGTTGGGCTGGTAGTACTCGTGGGGGTAGCCTCTGTACCCCTCATATGGGTCCTCCTCATTATCATAGGGCTGGTAGGGCTCAGGAGCCAATTGTACTATGGGAACATCTTAGTAAGTTGGGTAACCATCATATCCATCTTATAACCATCACCACCTAGTGTCCAGGTTAGCATGACAGACTGATTGAGACAGAGTGAGTATGAACATGAAAGGACACTTAATAACAACATACCAGCAGCCACAGATAGAACAACCATCTACGGTCTTTCCCGTATTGTGGGTTTGCCGTTTTTGGGGCCACACTGAAAATGTCATTTTGCACCGCCTTTGGAGTTTCAAAGATTAAATAAGCAGCTAGCGGGGGGGGGGGCGGCAGGAGATCGTAGATGGCTAGCTGGTTAGCAGAACATGCTGCGTCTGCATCTCCTAAATAAGGAACGTGTCGATTTAATATGTAGCATTTTCACTGTTTGTGGCCAGCGGGCGCCCCACGCAAATGCGCGGTTTGAATGGCGGTAAACATCGCCGCCGATAGCCCCTGCAGGCCTAACTGGTGAAGGTCCATCAGTCTCTTTCTTTTCGTCTTGAAGTATTCCTTTGAAGATCTTAACATACGTCAGTATACTCGGCCATCGAGGCTGCTGGGTAATTTGACAGCGGGGTGGACATGAACGGGTATCCATGAGTGGTTCTGGACACAACCCTGAGCCGACTCCCCTGCCGGTCCCCGTTTTTGTCTTTCAGGACAGAGTGTGGCCGGTGCTGGGGGGGGGTTGTGCTCAGTAGTCATTCTCATGCTGACGTCGGCCTTGAGTTAGAACCATTTACAGACAGACAGAGACACAGATGACCCGTCAATCAGGCACCAGCATGCGTCCCAGTTAATAACCATGTGACATTAAGCATCTGCCAATCACAACCTGTCTAACCAAAACTTACACCCCATGCAGCCAGAGTGCTGCGTCGAGGGTCGGTGATCCCAGGAACACCATGACCTGGACACGGCAAAACACTCTAGCCTGATGTGGTGAGTCTCCGTCATGCATTAATGATGCATACGTGTCACACCAGACCACAGAGACACCGTGTCCGAGTGACGAGAAGAAAACAGGGTGCTCTCTGTAAAGCTCATTCTGTAACATTTTAATTCCAGCACTAAGCAAGGGTTTACTACGCATATGGATGTATTTACAGTTCATTAAGTCAGGTATTTAAACTTTTTTGACAGCGCCCTCCTAGGGCTGATATATTTGTAATGATTCCCCCCTCCCCTACACACATACTGACCTGCGTGCCTATTTAACTCATTTCAATTACAGGTATCCCTGTTTAATGTCTGCATTACGTTCTGTAAAACAGGACATTAAATGATTTGGACATTGATCGAATATTACCATAGTCACTCTGAAAGTTTAGACTACTCTGCCCTGCCATAGCGGAAGATGCATTTAATTTCTGAACTAAGTAGTTTAAATACTTTGCAGATAGTGCTGTATTTTAAACGTTATTATGGATTATTAAAGCACAATATATTGTACACTACTGTACAATAATTCTTCTTATCTTTTTATTTTTTATAAAACACAAAACACTTACTGTGCATAGTAATCAAACACGTCTCTACCTATAGCCTTTGTAATATTTCTAAAGGTTTGAAATTGGTCTGCCCAAGCATCAGCCCTCACCTGCACCCCGCTGCAATTCCTTCACACCCCACCAGGGGGGTGTGTCACACAGTTTGAATACCTCTGCATTACGTGAATAGGAGTAATAGACAGCATCTACCTTTTATTTAGAAGCATCTTGGAGTATATCAAAGTACTAACAAATAAATAAATCTATCTTAAGTGCATTTAGAGATATCAAGGAAATGCCTTTAAATGGCTGGAATAATGAAGTATAGCTATAACCATAATGTAATAGATGTGTTACACTCAGAAAAACAGGGAACGCTGAACTTCAGTTCCTTTAGGAGTCTGAAGCAGCGACGTTTGCAATGCGTGATTCATTTTGTCTGTCAGCTCTGCACCCGAAAACAGTGAGTTACATGCATAGATGTCTACAGCAGTGTTTCCAATCCGGTCCTCTGGGACCTACAGACAGTCCACATTTTTGCTCCCTCCCAGCTCCCAGCTCCCAGCTGTGGCCCCCCGAGGACTGCATTGGGAAACACTGATCTACAGACTAGAATGAAAGTGCTATGAAGACACAAAGAAAAATGACTCAAAACTTTGAGCTTACTGCTATTCCCAAAAAACAGGGAGTGTTGTCTCGCCTCTGTTTCTTGGGCTCAACAGACAGCTTCAAGGTTTTGATGGAATTCAAGGCTGCAGGCTCAACACAATGAGGAGCACTGCTGCCATCATAACCACTGCGCATGCAGAGACCACATGACCACTGGCTGTCAGGTCAGAGCTGCCCATTGATAATTACCTCCTACGTTGTACCCCAGGCAGGAGTTCTGGTCACAGTAACCAGGTGGGCCAGCCGGACCAGTGGGACCGGGGATGCCCGGTCGGCCAGGGGTTCCAGGGTTGCCAGGGCGACCAAGGGGACCCTGGCTGCCGGTGCGGCCCTCTCCGGTGGGCCCTGTGAGAGCAACCGGTACATTACTGCAGTCAGAGTCCCACACAGAGCATCATCACAGTCAGTATAAAGGCCAGCAGCCCCCCCCCCCCACTGATATCCCCTCTTAACATGGGTTACAGCCTATCAGTGTTACCAGTATTCCATCATGGCTAAAAGACACAGAGCACCCACGATGAATATGTCATTTTTTGCATGGGTGTTATACTGCCCCCCAGTGGATCAGTGTCCTGTTTCTTGAAGTCTGAGGTGGGGTCATACCTGGAGGCCCTTGGGGGCCCCTGGGCCCCTGGATTCCCACCCCTGGACTCCCCCTTTCGCCTTTCTCTCCTGACAAACCTGGCAGGAGACACAAACGATGACAAGAAGAGAGTCATCCAGTGGCTGTTAAGAGGTCTTTAAACGCCATGGGACCCTTAAATCCCTATGGTTACCCTTGGTCTGGCACAGCTTTCTCTTTTTTTGTTGCCATTATGTCCATTGTCAGGGAGGTAATGGTTGAATCTGTGACTATAAATGATCATATTTAACTATATTTCTCTCTGTGGGCTCATAGTACAGCCTTTAGGGATTTGAAAATAGACAGATGAAATAATCAATGATCCCAATTAGCTAACAGAGTAGCTAATTAATACATGGTAATTGTACTGTAATGTAGCTGAGAAGCGGGCAAAGCTCCGCCTGGCTGTTCACTCGGTGCCCACCCCGAGACCCTCCGACCCTCACCACCTGCCGGTGTGGGCCAGGACAGCCCGCGGTGGCATACCTCTCTCTCCCGGCTGCCCGTTCTCCCCGTTGTTCCCTGGGAACCCGGGTCGGCCGGGGGGGCCCTGCTCTCCTTGGGGCCCCGGGGAGCCCTGGCGCCCTGGCTCCCCCGGGGGCCCCGGGATGGTGCGCACGGAGACGGGTTGGCTGGGGATGTGGTTCAGGAGGGAGTTGTACCGGCTCATGTGACCTGGTCCAGAAATGGTCAGATAATTACGGATCTCCATCTTATGCTGGTTTAACTACCATGAAAAGGTCAACATCTCACACCCTGTTCCCCCTCCCCTCCCCCCAGCTTGCTCTCTGAATCTCAGCCTTTCTGTGGTCAAACCGTGTCCTTAGCATGTGCAAGTGGTGAAACATTGGTGAAAGTGGTGTCATACATGCCAGTTGCATGCACACACACACATGCATACGTGCACGGCTGAATGCATGTGAACTTCAAGCCGATGGCCATTAATGACCTCTAAACCCCAATGGCAAAAACTCACAAAAGATGAATGAAAAGTGATTTAATTTTTAGGGTAGGTGATGCACAGACGTCCCCCCCGGGAAGGCGAGACGTGCCAGCACATGTACACAGGAGCGGGACATACTCTGAATGAGCTGCTCGCACACCTGCCGGGCGATGGCCTGCACGGCTGCCTGTGACTGCGCATCTCCCTGCAACAAAGAGCATGCACGACAGCCTGAAGCAAGAGGGTTAGGCCGTCCCCCATGGGAGGAAGTAATCAACCGCTCCCCGGGGAAGGGGAAGGGGGTAACCAAATATAGTAACTAATTATTATCTACTCTCCAGGTAAGCCATGATGCCGGCTCCTTGCTCGCTAATTAGCACGGCCCCCTGGGGGGACTGCACAGCCACAAGGGGGCGCTCTCTTCAGCAGCACAGGTCCCGAGTCGATGGCCGCACACACCGGGCCTCTGTGCCAAGAGTTCGCAGATCCAGGCAGCCACAGATGTGGGCAACAAGGCCAAAAGGTAATGAAAAGCATGGCTGGGCCAGACTTACCCGTTCACCCTTCTCTCCCCGGACTCCAGGAGAGCCCTGCAGTCGATAACAAGCACAGTCATTGCACAAGAATAAGACAGATAAAGGGCACTAAAAAGCCTGACTGTGTTCTATTCTGCTCACACCTGCAATTTTTCTTATTAAAAATGACACCAGAGGTCAATAGGGTCTAATCCGTCCTGTCCTAGCCGAGCAGCTTGTAGTGAAAGTTTAGCCAGTGACTCACAGGTAGTCCCTGATCTCCCAGAGGTCCAGGAGGTCCGTTTGATCCAGGCTGTCCAGGACCTCCAGGTGGTCCCTGTTATTTTGGAGCAATGACAGGTTAGATGGGTCACCAACACCCGGTCAGTGCCATGCCCCCCACACCTGCAGGATGACGCCATGATATTCCTGCCCTTGGCTGCAGTAGCACAAGGGGATTTTAGCATGTCTGTTGTCAGTAAAGGGATGAAGCCAGACCCACAATGGGCCTGAGTCCTGAAGAATGTGCAATGTGTCAGTGCAATGTGAGTCAGTGCAATGAGAGTCAGTGCGATGCAAGTCAGTGCAATGTGAATTGGTGTATCATCAAAAGTGCTCCAGCCATCTTGGTTCCAAGAGCCATGTGTCACTCACAATGGTTCCTGTGGAGCCAGGGGGTCCGGGGGGACCATCTTTTCCAGGTAGTCCCTGTGGGGGGGGGGGACAAAGCGTGAGCATGTACCAGAGGAACCACGGAATCAGGGCTACAGCAGACTGCTCTGAATCTCTGCCTCCGTTATTTTACAAGTCTGCTCTGCTCTATCTCCTGGAAATATAGTTTCGTGCACAGATTCAAAAGCAGAAGGTACAACTTTAAAAAAAGAGGCAGCCCCCCCCCCCCTGGGGCTCAGGGGAGGTAAACCCGCCTGAGAAGTGAGTAAATTACATCAGCTGTTCAGAAGTCACTAATCTATGAAATCACCCATTTGCAGCAGTAAGGGCACTTGCCCGTGAGCTGTACAGTCAGAAACGGACTCACCCTTTGTCCCGCTGGTCCATCCCGCCCAGGTGAGCTTGGTGGTCCCGGTACCCCCTAAGAGATCACATGACCACAAAAACAAACTGCTTCAATAAACCAGCACTGATACTCAATGAGCCTTGACAGATAATAGTAGGGTTAATAACTAACATTATTTAACAAGCCCCAGAAATCTTTAAAATGAAGAAGGTTTCATTTTAAAGCTTTGTTTCCTATGATTAAAACTGCCTGTAAAAATGCACTTTGTAAATGCAGCTTGGAGAGCTTCATGGTTCTGAGGCGAGATGCAAATTCCCCTCAAAAGCGAGACATCAGAGGCAAATGCAGCACAGTTACTGCAGCCACATGTCCGGCAGCTTTGGACGGTGTTTAATCGCCATTTCCAGGGAAGAGGTGTCATTTTAAAAAACGTCTACCCAGGTAAGAGTCAGTTGTAGGTATAACTCATGTCAAGTGAAAATTATTATTAATCCTCCTAGACATAAACAGGCGACTTTTATCTCCAGAACCTGGCAGGATTTCTAGCTTTGATTACAGAGGCTAAGACACAAACAAGCACCTCATACAGAAGATGACGGAGAGCCTGGGGGGCGGACTTAAAAGGCCCTTTAATTACATACACACACACACACACACACACACACACACACTGCGCATTTACCAGGGATTCACACTCCCTAATTACAGAGTGATCACAGGTCAGGCATCAGGTACTTCAGTGGGAAACATTTCTCATTATATTTTTGATTACGCGCTCGAGCCTCCAGGGGGCAGACCGGAGCAGCCAGTAACAGAAGCTAATCAGCCTCCCTGGCTATGCTCCGTTCAGGGCCTGGCCAACAACCCGATCTGCTGTGGTTCTGTGGAGGAGTAGTAATTCGCGACTGGCTTACCTGTGGCCCCGGAGAACCGACATCTCCCCTCTCGCCCTTCTCCCCCGCAGCGCCCTGCAATGTGTCACAGGAAAAAAGTGTGATTTTCTCCTTACAGTCAGCCCCCGCCTGCCCCCCTCCCGGCCTCTCCATCAAGCATACTTACAGCAGACTGCTCGCTGGCTCCTCAGACATTCAATAAGGACCTCTTCACATGAGCTTACAAGAACTTACCTCTCCGGACCTGCTGACATCTTCAGTAACTATTCTGTATTCTCTGACTTATATAAAGCATATGTACAACCAATGGAAACCTTATTAAGTAACTGGACACTTTATAATCTAGCTAGTACACAGTAGAACTTACTTTATTAGGTACACCTAGCTAGTACTGGGTAGGACCCACTTTTATCTCCAGATCCATACAATGTTCTTTTTGCACTTGCTAGCTTTAACAAGGCTGGCCATTCTGCTCTGACTTCTCTCATTAATCAGGTGTTTTCATCCAAGGAGCTGCCCGATTGGATGTTATTCGTTCCTCACACCTTCCTCAGTAAATTCTAGACACCGTAGGATGAGAAAACCCCAGGAGGCTGGCAAAGGTGTGTGGTGGCTTAGATGCTGAAACCACCACATATGGCTCCATCAATCACATCAAGTTCAAAACAGTAACTGAATCTCTTCATCCTGTCTGTATGTATTCAGTTTAAGTGACATGGTTGATGACACATTGATATTAAAACTTCGCATCATGGGAAACCAGAAGTGTGGCAGGTAGCCACATCAGTCTTACCGGTGCCCCCTGGATAGACATGCCACTTGGGCCCTGGGGTCCCGGAAGTCCCTGAGGACCTGGTGGTCCAATGTCACCTACTAGACCCTGTGGACCCTGTGAGACAGAGGAACCCAAATCACAAGTCACCATTTCATAAGAATTGGCACATAATCAGCACAGGCTGGATTCAGAAAAGCCGCTACTTATCTCAGACACAGACCTGGTCTGAGACTTACACATTTAGCCTGCTGTTTGGGATTGTTTCCCTGATTTTCTTACGCAGAACCTACTTACCACCAGCCCTGGTTCCCCTCGGTCTCCTCTAGCACCTCTGGCCCCTGGACCTCCCTACATTTAGAGACAACCCTTCTCAGAGACGCCTCCTCCATTCCATCAAATGACAGCAGCTTTCCACATATTTATTTATGTTGATGCTGATATCTGACGGATTCATCTCACATGAATTAGGTTGTTCTAGAATCTGGCCTGAGATGAAACCAAACCTAATCCAACCCTTCAAGTGCCCAGCCCGGCTATGTACTCATGATAAACAGTAATGATCTACACCAGTGTTTACCAGCCCGGTCCTTGGCTACCCACAGTCCATGTTTTTGTGCCCTCCCAGCTCCCTGCCAGACAGTTCACATTTTTGCTTCCTACCAAGAGCTGGGAGGGAGCAGAAATGTGGACTGTCTGCGGGTCCCCCAGACCCCGATTGAGAAACACTGATCTACTCAACACAATGAGCCCAAGTAAGTAACTGGCTAATGAAAATAAGGGAAAGTGGGGGTTCTTACCGGGGGTCCTGCGGGTCCTGCGGGACCTTTACTGTCCTGGGAACATGTGCAGGCGTGAGGCAGGGCTGGACACTGTTCCTCATCTCTCTGGGACACACGACACAGCGAACCATGAAGCTGCACATTTTTGCACATGCATGCAAATACACACATACTTCCCAGTTCAGAAGCATCAGTTTGGAAAAACAAACCCAGGGCAGAAACTGTGCATAACCATCATTCTCAAACATTATTTCTGCACACTGCCTTAAGATGTGGTCTGTACTGTCTCAGGGAATAATTTGGTGTGTCACAGTCTGGTCATAGTGAGACAGACTGGCTTTTCCCAGATGCCAGCGGAAGCTGGGCCATGTGTCTAGGCTCTGCCCCCAGCCTTTATCACCCAACTGTCACACGCAGACCTGTGCAACAAAACAGGCTGGCCCAGTCTCTGGAAGGACAAACCCTGTCCCTTCCAAATAGTTATGGCTGACAATGTAATAACGGCCCATACAGTGTTTGACCCCCACAACCCCAAAAGCCAGGGATGGGAACAAATCATTCCTTGGTGGTCAAGTCATAAGTCAAAACATCACAGTCCAAGTCAAGTCCAAGTCAAGTCCAAGTCTTTCTATTATTTTTGCAGTCAAGTCACAAGTCATCAAATTTGTGATTCGAGTCCAAGTCTAGTTGTGAGTCATGTAACTTGAGTCCCTAAGTATGTCAGTTTATTTTACCTTTAGTAATTAAAACTTGCTCCAGCAAATACACACCACAGTACGTTGTGGAATTTACATTTTATGTAGGCAGAGATATGTTGAAAAGAGAGTGTTCACTCACAATTGTCCTCACACAGTTTTTACATCCATGTATATGCAGAGAGTGATGCATCTGTCAGACTATCCCAGGAGACCTTGCATTCGGGCAATTGGAAATGCAGACAGCAGAGAATTAATATATAGTGAAATTATAGAATTAACGTTATGGTATCCAGAGGGGGACTATATCTTCATGTCTTCTCGAGTCATAGGGTCCAAGTTGGGTCCAAGTCTTGAGTCACTGCCCTCAAGTCCAAGTTGAGTCCAAACCATTCCATCAGTTTTGCTGAGTCAAGTCACAAGCCATCAAATTTGTGACTGAAGTCCGAGTCCAGTCGCAAGTCAGTGACTCGGGTCCCCACCTCCCCCTAAAGCACCCAGGAGCTACACTAGTACTTACGAGACCTGGAAGCTCACAGCACTGGTCCCTGCTAGCCCACGAAGAACTGCAGATGATGTCGAACATTTGGAGCTGAAACTGAGGACGAATGCCACACCAGGCATTAATATAGCTAACGTGCAGGAAAGTTGCATGCTTGAATCCTTTAGTGAGTTGATGATGTTTGTGAGGAATACCCATGGGACCATCAGAGATGGGTGTGTGGGAACTTACGGGTGCCGAGTTGTCTCTGCTACCCCGGGACCGGACCATCCTGCCCAGCACCTCCACCCCATCCGTGCTGATGTTTCCTGCTGCGCTGATGGACTTCTCTCCCACCAGCTTACAGTCGACGAACGCTTTGGCGGTGACCTTGCTGACGGCCACGTGGAGCTGAGGATGATGAGAAACAAGGGTCTCCACTGAACAGGTGAGATCGGCCAGCCCACAGGCAATACATATGAGGAAAAGCAAAACCAGCTTCACATGTTGTGTGTAAATGATCCCCGATGTAAGCAAGGCCTTGTAAAGATGATGAGGATCCTCAGTGATCACGTGGCAAGGAGATGTCCAAATGGGTCAGAACTGCATCAGTGTAATTAATGTGCCAACATGACGAATTAGCCAATTTCATTAAATGCTGCAGAAAATATCACACTGCCCCCTTGTGAGGCATTAAGTAAGTTCAACAGGTGATCTGATTTTTAAAATTGTTTTGGTTCCTATGAGCCCAGAGTTGAAGAGGCCTTCATCAGCAGAATATCTCACGCCGATCCATAATAAAATCCTCACAAACTTGGCAGTGCTGATGCAGGTCAGGGAAATGTCACAAAGGTAGCAACAGGCTGATTTATACTTCTGGGTTGAGTCTATGCAGAGCTTACGTCATGGCCTACTCAAGTGGCCTATCTCCCTGGGAGCATTTATAATTGTGTGCTGGTGTATCTGTGTTGCTCTGCATTTACTCTGCCACAATACTAGTTGGCTGAGCGTGAGAGGTTTAAGTTTTGCTAAAACATTTTTAATATGTCATATAAAACAGAACTTACCAATCATTGCAATTTTGATGATTGTACCTTTTCAAGATTATCTAGTAAATCGGTTTTAAGTTTACTGCCGCTGCTTTCGCATGAGCTCTGCATGCACATAATCATTCTCATCCTTGCTGTTTAAGTCACTCATAGACAGTAAGACATTTGTGATAAATTTATTTTCCTTTTTTTGCTTTATAAACGAATAAATCACATCATGATATCTGAAATTTTTGTGCAGCCCTAGCGTGAATGGCTGCAACCATGGCAAAAACAGAACTTGTCCCACACTGAAACCTCCCCCAATTGGAAACAAATAACACCAAAACATTTGCGTTGGAGGAAGTACGATGCTGCCAAGCAGATCAGTCACAATTGCGGTCTGCGTCATTGTAACATTGTAACGCAACATGTAGTTACGTTTCTGGGGAGGTGCATGTCTAGCTATGGCATAGATTCTATGGTAATGAGCCTTAACATGTGAAATACGTGCTTTACGTTACCCTCCTAGTTTGTCTGGGTTATAAATATAATTTGCCGGATGTTTTTGGTACATTCGAAACTCTATATGAAACTCTATATCTTTATGAAACAGACCAAAATGAGTTTTTTTTTAAACCAATGCATTCGTTAAAAACTCAGCAGGCTCAAGAGGCGCAATAACGAATGTCAGAATCATAGCGGCTGTTTGGAAAGATGAGAAGTTAAACAACGACGACAGGCCGCTCTGATGGGAGCACTAGCCTACTTTCACACACCTTCGGTACGTCCCTGTCTACAGCCGGGCATCTTTATTAGGTGAAGTAACTCACTGGAGGGTTTCAAGAGTCAGTTCAGAGTAATTTATCAACTTCTAGGCTAATAGGTGGGACAGCGATACACAGACAGCAGCCTAAGGATCTGATTGTGTCATTAACGGAGTGTTAGGGGTTGTGTGAAGGAAAGGATGGAAGGAATCATGGCCAAGTGAAGAGACCATCTCACTGCCTCCAGCTAGCATAATGCAACACCATCAAAGAGCTACATCGTAAAATGGGCCAAGCCCTTTAAGAGCTACACCGTGAATGAGCCACACCACAAAAAAGCCACACAGTGAAAGAGAAACACTGTGAAAGAGGAATTCTGTGAAAGATACACCCTCAAAGAGCTACATCCTGAAAGATCCATAGCATGGGAGAGCAACACCATGTAAGGGATACACCATCATTGAGCCACAATGGGAAAGAGCCACACTGTGAATGCAACACACCGTGAAAGAGGTGCATTGTGAAAATCACCTACATAGCACTGACCTTGTGAAAGCTGCCATGGAAGATCTTTCTGATCTCTGGACCCTCAAATGTCACAGTCTGAAAGTCTCCTTTATAGTCATAGTTGAAAAACGTGAGGGTTTTCCCACCATCTGCATGTATAGAGCCATTGAGACACTTTTAAATAACATGGGACATGATGATGATGATGATCATCATCATCTTATTTCAATAACAAACTTCCTGTAATTTTGGTTATTGGTTTTTTACATGTACAATTCCAGTCAGAGGTTTTTGCACACACCTAGAATTTAACTGTCATTACCACACAACATGACAATAGAATGTCAGACATGCATTGTACATACAATGTTGTAACGGAAACTTGTTTTATTTGATATATTTTCATTCACAGTTGTTCACTCAACTTTCCAGTGCTTAACATGAAAAAAAAGTTTATGAAATAAATGGAAAAGTGGTAAAAAACTGTGGTGTACATAAGATTATTTTTCTTTAGAAACTACTTAACACCTACTATAAATGTACGGCCATGGATGGCAAAATCAAATAACATGTATGTTATCCTCAACCGAGCATTAACCTGGCAAGGAAGCCAAAGCTGCACAACACTGTCATCACACTCTAAACAAGCAGGTTGTCTACTCACTGTCCAGTATGACCCCAACCAGAGGCTCATTGGCCTGGTTGAGGATCTCCCACAATGCAAAGGGCTCCTGGGGAGTGTCGGACAACAGGCGGAACAGTACTGTGATGGTGTAATCGGAGGGCAAGCCTTCAGGGTGAAGAAACCTGAAGCATGGAAAAACCTTGTCAGTTTCTGGAGTTATGATACACCTTTTATACAGCACCCCCAGGCGGCAGTGAGAATCACGTCAGTCTCGTCTCCCTGAAAGGGCATATTTGTCACTATCTCACTGGTACTGCACTTTGGTTGTGTTCCGGTCGCCAATTTCTTGGTTGAAATATATTATAGCCCTCTGAGAAACTCATTACTTCCTTCATCGCATTGGCTTCTCCATGTCACACCTTGTTGGTTGGCTGATGAGGGCGTCTTTGTGCAGCCGATAGCATGGGAAGCTGTTGAAGGTTCCAGGCTCCATGGAAACTCCTTCGACACTCGCGTACTGGTTCTCTGTCAGTCCAAACATGCCCATCATCTGGAAGCCTGAGGACAAAAGGAGAGCCTGAGCGGATCAGGGATGGCTGCAAAAGGTTTAGACTTACCAGAACCGGGACACAGTGGAAGCAGCTGGATGCACTGTTGTTATGAAATGGGTTGCAGGCCCAAACATGGACACCACTGTTCCCATGACCTGCATAACTATGGTTTTAAAGTAGTTTAAAAAACTGTAAGATATAAATTCCAAGTCCATTAAAGCAGATTTCTAGGTATGTTCTTCATGCCAGGGTCTCCACCAGCTCACATCTTACCTGCCATGGTGCCGCCTTTCATCCGTACAGATGGACAAGCTGAAAGGACAGTGGGTGCAGGTCAGAATACTCCAAGAGGCCTCGTCCTAATTCACCAGGATTATTCCAAAGGTTACGTGCTTTCCTAGCATTCCGCCCAGCTCCCTAAGCCTAACCCTAATCCTAACCCTAACCCTAATCCCAACCCAACGCACACTACTTACTGGCTGAGGCAGCTTCACACACAAACGTCACCAGCTTTTCCTCAATCTTCTTGAAGGCATCCAGGTCGTCCACAAAGAAGACATGTCGTTCACTGGGCTTGCTGGCAATGCTCACCAGCTCCCCGTAGTCGGCATCCGCGAAGCCGATGGCGAAAACGACGTAGCCTGCAGGGAGGCGCGAAGATGAAGGGTGGACTAGCGTCTGACATGCCAGAGTGATGCCCCTTCCCAACTACGCACCCTCCATCTGCATCTCCTTGGACACCATGCTGACATCATCTTGGGAGCGGCCGTCGGTAAGCACCACCAGCACTTTGGGGATCCCCCTCCTCATTCCCCCCTCGGGGGTGAAGATGGAGTCCTTCACATGCTTTATGGCCCGACCTGAACCAGAAGCAAGCTGAGGGTCATCCTTAAGTCCACAAGCGCACTATTTCTAACAAGGAACCTAGTCCGATATGACCTTGAGTTCAGCCTGTAAATATCTGTGACACACACAGCATAGAAGAACCTGGTGTGTAAGTAGGGTGCAAAACCCCAGCCCTAAGCTCACTGTGGACCATCATCAGCAATATAGCAAAGGTGTTCAGATGCTCCTCCTACCTGTCTTGGTATTTCCTCCCTTGTATGAGATGCTCTGAATGGCAGCCAACAATGTCTCCTTGTTATCATAGGCATCGAGCTTGAATTCTGTCCTGGCGTCGTCACTGAACTGAGCGATGGCCACCTGTCAGGAAGCAGCAAAGCTCATTGCCCTCTGAGGTTCTCGTCTGAAGGGTCTGCGGCACAGCACTGTCTCTGGGGCCCCACCTGTCTGAACCTGCCCAGCTCTCCTCTACTCAGTCGGACAGACCCTGTGATGAAAGCTTACACCTCACCTGAGTGCCGTCGGGGCCGATCTTGTCCAGGGCGCCGGTCGTGCTGTACAGGAAGCGGATGATTTTCTGGAAGTTGTCATCCCCGATGCTCCAGGAGCCATCCACTAAGAAGACCAGGTCAGCCTTGGCTGCTTTGCAGACTGAGAGCAGAGAAAGAGCAGAGGGTCAGTGGGCTGGAAGGAACAGGCTCTGTCAGGGGAAAGATCTGTATCAGGGAAACCAAGCGACATTTTACAGGAGGTGACTTTCCAGCCCAGCTAGGAGAAGCTTTCATTGTTAAGCTTTTTCTTACAGTTTGCAGACTTTGAAAAACATATTTTTGTTATTCTAAGGAAAAAGTAGATCAGGTACATTTCACTACTTCATAGTTATTATGCAGGATAGCGCACTGATCCCCTTCTTACCGGGATTTTAATCAGCTATATTCAGGCATTCTGCCAATTTATTTAGCAGAGTTTATAGATATATAAAGTGTTAACCTCTACTTGCTAAAACAAATGCCCTACAGACAGAGCGCACTGAGTCAGTGCTCACCTTCTTTAGCAGGAGGGATTGTGGGAAGGGGCGTGGTCGTCGGGGCCGCGGTAGTCGGCTGGGGGGGGACAGGCACTGAGAAGTGACACAACACATTTCAGTCAGCACATCAGGACCACAATGCACCACGACTGCAACGGATATCACTATTTATAATTCAGTCCCATTTCAGAAGGGAAGAACATTAATGCCAATAAGATGAGGCCTCTTTGTAGCTCTAGGCTAAATGACCTTTCATACTTACTTACATTCAAACGTGGGGTAACCGAAACATTAGCGCTGAGCTAAGCTGCCTTTCTGGAAGCTCACTGCGGCGTAACTCTTCGATGCCAGCTTTAGCCCTGAGCTAAGCTGGATCTATTCTAGAGGCTTGGCGCTAGCATTAGCCATGAGCTAATCTGGCTCTCCTCTAGAGGCTCGGTACTAGCATTAGCCATGAGCTAATCTGGCTCTCCTCCGGAGGCTTGGTGCTAGCCATAGCCCCAGGCTGATTGCGTACGTGCTTAAGACGAGAATACACTGCTTCTGGGTCAGTCTTAACTCAACTCTAAAAATAGTCCTGGCTTGAGGTGCTTTTGAATTCTGCTGGAAACACCCATCAGCCATTGCTGCCTGGGAGATTGCACAGTCATCCATAAAGGCTTTAGGTTTAATGTGAGTCCATACAAAATGATAAATGTAAGTTTATCCTGCTTCATTATGAAAATTAATGTGAGGTGACCCTAGATATACAGCCACAACTCCCCTCCAACCCCTAATTTATTTCAGCACATTTTATCAGGAGTTAAATACTCCTATTTCGACCAGCAGACTGTCGCACTGTCACAAAAATGAGTGAGGGGGTGTTTCCTCCTTCCTTTGAGCGCCACCTACAGGTCCTGTCGATGAGGGTGACGGCCGGCCCCTCCAGGTCTGGGAGCTGGGAGTAGATGCTGATCTTATACTGGGTGTCTGGGTGTAGGTTGTGGAAGCAGTGCCTGGTCGCCCCCCCAGACAGACTCACTTCCTGCTTCTGTCCGTCTGAAATAATCAGAGATGCCCACAGTGAGCACGGATCACCAAAACATCAGTCTGCACGGCATCACTCTTCCCGCAATACGAACCATCTTTACGATCCAGCGTGTTACATCACTGCATACCGCTCTGAGTTCGCTTTTGCATTTAAATATGAATTACAGACCAAATCACTTACAGGTTTGGTCAGAATCCAGAACCTCAAAGAAGACTCTAGTTTTTTTCCCCTTAATCATCCTTGAACAGGCAAAATAAAGCATAATTACAGTAACGCTGACAGTAAATATATCCTGCACCATTAAGTCTATCATTTTCATTTTTTTCCCCTATTGCAAACCTTTAAAGCATTGTCAAGGCTCCACATGCTCTTATCTTTTAAACCGCTTATGGAAAAAAAACACAGAAACACAAAAACACAGTCTCACAAACTCGTGCACAGAGACGGAAATGAAACAAAGTTTTGGGAGTGAATAAATACAGACGGGGACGGGGGGAGTCACTGAGGTGATGGCGGAGTGGAGGGAGCCTGGGCTTAGAAGCCACATGCTGGTGAATTCTCCTGCTCACTACTGACGGAAAAGCGGACAGGATTGCGAAAAGTTTTTGCCGATTCCGTCGACACGGAGGGCCTCATGGTCCACGGAGGGCCCCAGAGTTCACGGAGGGCCCCAGGGTTCACGGACGGCCCCAGAGTTCACGGACGACCCCAGAGTTCACGGAGGGCCCCAGGGTTCCCGGAGGGCCCCAGGGTTCACGGAGAGCCTCAGGGTTCACGGATGGCCCCAGAGTTCACGGAGGGCCCCAAGGTTCACGGAGAGCCTCAGGGTTCACGGACGGCCCCAGAGTTCACGGAGGGCCCCAGGATTCACGGAGGGCCCCAGGGTTCACGGAGGGCCCCAAGGTTCACACATCCTGCCATATTGACATTTTGTGGGCAACAGAAACAAAGGCTATAATACAGAAATCAATCCAACTCCTTTCTACACCTGAGGGCCAAACACCCACATGCAGCAGCTACACAGGGCGTCTGAACAAAGTGACCATTTAGATGACTTTAAAAAGCATCAAATTATCTGGATCTACAGACATACAGACCTTTGCAAACAGAAGTAGCCCATATAAATAGGTTTGGTGTGTGGTTCGGTGAGTCAGGACACTAGCTGTGATCGGAAGGTTTTTGGTTCAAATCCCAGCATTTTTACCATTGGGCCCCTGAGCAAGGCCCTAAACCCCCAACTGCTCCATTGGCTGACCCTACTTTCTCAGTTGTATGTTGCTTTTGATAAAAGTGTCTGCTAAATGTAACATGTAAATAAATTTTTAAAAAAGACTCCGCATGGGGTAAAAACCTGCACCCTTCTGGTGAGACCTGAAGAGTCACCACTTTTGCCCAGGGGCATATCCAGCTAACAGTCACGTGGACACCGAGAGACGGCAAAAGACTCACTCAGCAGGGACTCGATGACGACGCGGTAGCGGCTGGCGTGGCGATGGGGCTGCCACTGCGCACATGTGCTCTTCATCCGAACCTGGTAGGTGTTCAGGTTGGTCACACCCAGGAACACTGGAGAGGAAGCGATGGTAACAATTTTATGGTAAGTATTCCCCAAAAAGCCTAAAAAAAAGCAGTTATAAAACCAAGTGCGCAGTTACAATAAATTGAGAAAAAAAATAACCAAATCCAAAGCAGCATGGTGGTGCAGTGGTTAGCATTGTTGCCTCATACATCTGGGACCTGGGTTTGAGTCTCTACTGTGGCTCCATGTGTGTGGAGTTTGTATGTTCTCCCCATGTTGTTGTGGGATTTTCTCTAGGTACTCTACTTGAACCCCCCCCCCATCTGAAACCATACTGATGTTAATTGGAGTTCCCATGGGTGTGTGTGCTCTGTGATGGGTTAGGGCCCCATCCTGTTCCGGGTTCCCTGCCTTCTGTTTACAGGCTTTGGAACCCCTGACCCTGAATAGAACGAACAGTTTCAGAAGATACTGTAGATGGATGGATCATGAAATCCCATGTGGCTAAATATGTACCAGGCATAATATTATTGTTATTTGTAGTATGCTGTTGATAACAAAGTCAAATTATATTATTATTATTATTAAATAGAGACAGAAAACTGGAGAAGAGATGGAATGGAGGTCAATTTACAAAATGTGCAACGTGATTACCACACAGGCCCATGGTGTTCTGGCTGTGGGAACCGGTGTGGTCATATGACTCGTGGCCCCTCCCTCCCAGACCTTGCACCTTAAATCCCAGAGAACAGTACTGCCTAAACTCCAGATGCTCCTTGGCAGTGGAGACCTAGCTGTAAACGTCAAACATCTGGTTCTAGCTGGGTTACACAAGCTGGCCCCACACATACAGAGGCTTCTGACTCATGCTAACAATAATAACACAGGAGCTGATCCATTGTGAAACCCCACACTAGACTACACTAGTACTCTGGTCTGCTGGGATTAGACCATCTGGAAACTGGGGGGAAAAAAAAGGTAAAAAAAAATCGAGATACCTGTCAGTCACTGCCTGGTTTAAACCAAGGGAACCTTAAATAACCATTAGGAAGTATGCAGATGGTGACTGACAGTGTAAGATAAGCCCGCCCACCATGCAATACACAGTCTCATCTCTACCATCCCATCATAACTGTCCCCTGTCTTCCTGACCTGTCTACCCCCTATAATGTTTGTGTATGTATGGTCGGGTTGATGGCCTGCTTTTCGTTGGTACTTGTGACTAGTGACATGGTGAATTGCAACAGCAATAAAGGAATCAATCAATCAATCAATCAATCAATCAATTATCAATAAATTTCCCTGGATTGTCCCTTAACTGTTTTGATTAAACTTTAAAATGACCATTTCTTAGTTACCTATTTATGCAGCTGAATATTTCACTAGTGCAATTCCTGGCTTCAACATCAGGGGTAATTGTGAGTCTTAAAAAGACAGCCTTTGAAGTCTCTGAGGTTATGAGTCTTTGTTATGAAGCAGTACACTCCCTGAATTGATTTTGGCTGTCAATGCTGTCAATAAACACCGCATTACATTAATGGAGACTTACGCCTAGGTATTGTGCAAGCTGATGCTGGCATTAACGGTTTACATTGTCTGTTTTCTCGAAAAACATTGCAATCGTGAATAAAATGTTTCCCCAAGACTGAATGTTTGACTCGGAATAGAGGATGTGTGTGTGTGAGTGATAGGTTTAAGTCTCGTGTTTTGGAGACTGTTGTTCCCGCAGTCTGTAAAAGCAGGCGCTATGCTTGGTGTGGGCCAGAGCGATGACTCTGACTTACACGTCTTGGCCTTTCCAGCCAGGGCGTCGCTGGAGCCTGTGGTGTAGGTGGAGATGACCTTCACACTGTACTCCGTCCCACTCAGCAGGTTCAGGATCAGCATGTTGTTCACATCCTCCCCCACAAATGTCTCCAGGGCTCGTCCTGGAGCTGTGGGGATGGTCTGTCAGGACACTGGCCTGGCCACAGAAGTTCCTGACCATCAGTGTGGACAGCCTGCCCTCTCCACCCCAACACCAACCCAGTCAAAGCTTTGAAAGTCATCACACTGCCCATCCAACAGCATTACCATGTGACCAGGACTAATCAGACCTTTTGGGTGATGCTGAAACCTTGCTGATAAGAACTAGATAGCTCTAAATGATCGGGGATTTGACAAAGTTACACCAGAGCCGCCTTGAGTCGGTGCCTACTGGAAATGGGCTGGTAGACCACCCTGTAGCCCATGGTCGGTGATGGAGGTGTGTCCCAGCTGATGCGGAAGCGGTTGTACCACTCCTCCGAGACCCTCAGGTTCTTGGGTGCCATGAGCGGTACTGTAGAGAAGTACATGGTCTCAGATACCCAGTGACATTGGACAGGTCACAGAGGCCTGAAATTAGTCATGAAAATAACTGACCCCTCACCCAATCTGAAATCAAGGATCCAAGATCAAGGATTTTAATTTGTTATTGTGCCAGTAACAACATAAGGCTGCTAGTAAATTTCATGGTACTTGTGTAACCCATTTCACAATAACAAAAATCCTTGATCCTTGATGTCGACAAGATCGGGTGACATCACGTGACAACGTCGAGGACGCACTTACAGGTCCGGCCCACGCGGGACACACTGATCCCATCAGTACTGGCGTAGACTGGGGTCACGCTCACTTTGTATTCAGTGTCGGAGAGCAGAGGCTGCAGCAGGACACTGTTCTGTCGGCCGGGGACCATGAGCTGGACAACAACAGCACACCGGCGAGACAGAAGATGTGAACACAGGGACCCGTACCTAGAGGGTGCTCATCACACTGTTTGTCAGCTTGTCATAGGATGCACAGAGCAGAATTCAAACTGAGTCTACATACCTAAGCCAAGTTTGGCTGTTATTCGTTCACCACTTAATATAAATAGAGTTGCTTACAGTTCCAGAGCACGTGAGAAGAATCAGAGAAGCATGAAGGAGATACATTAAAAGCAGAGGTGGGTAATTCAGGTCCAGAGAGTAAAAATCTGGACCAAGATTTGGGCGCTAACCCATCACAGGGCACACTCACACACATCTATGGGCTATATGGTAACTCCAACTAAAATCTTGGTCCGGATTACTTTCTAGACCTGAACTATCCATCCCTCATTAAGATGATATCAGAAAACAGCACGCCGCATCCGAGCTGCTCCTGGCGCTCAAATCAAAGCTGGCCACCTGAGGAAACCTCGGGGATTATCTCGTTACCATGGCACGGTTTCCATGGTATCACTGTGGCAGTAATAAACCCCATGAAAACATTTTGCCTAAAGAGAGCTGAAAGCGACACAGCAATGGGGACTGGTGTAAACATTCTTAAGTGTTCAGGTTCACCACAACCTCGACCTGGATAGGTGGTTAAAAGGTGGATGGATGGATTAGCCAATGGGAGTGAGCAATTCGGTCAGGCGGTAATGGCATATTAGCATTCGTACCACTTCCTCAGCTCGGTCGCCTCTGGCACTGACATAGGTCACACGGTACTGTCGCACGTTGGGGTCTTGGAGCTCCCAGGACACCTGCAAGCTGAAGGTGGTCTCCTCATCCAGGCGAAGGTTTCTCACGCCCTGTCGTACCACTGAGGGGAAGCACATACGTGTCCCGGTACTCAAACACAGAACACACAGTCTCAGACGACTTTTCCAAGGTGACTTCATCAACTTTTAATGTTGGATTCATGCTGAGTCCCTCAGACACGACACACCTTGTTTCCAGGACAGAACCTCACAAACTACAACATCAATCAGTGTAAGATGATAACCAGAGCAAATCCTAACAGGCTTTACTATGCCACTACCAACCCAGGGCCCAGCTGTCATCCACACTGATGGAATGAGTTGCTGAACCACATCCAGTCATCAGATTCATTCCCCACCTTCAAGAAATGCATGAAGACCCATCTGTTCCAGGAATACCTCTACCAGCCCGATGCCATTCCATGCTTGCGGAATATTCTGAATGTTGCACTTTCTGCATATTCGAGCAGTTGTCTTATTTGGTTATTACTGTTCTGTAGCTCTTGCTTCCATACTACTTACACTTGTACCTTGGCGTTTACTGGAAGCTCAACCTAGCTGCACTCATGCCTTGACAGCACTTATGTTGGGAGTGTTTGTCGCACTTGTATGCCGTTTTAAATAAAAGCATGCGCTACATAAAATAAATGTAAACGTACCTGATGTCGTCGTTGCAATAGTTGTCGTTCTTGCCACTGAAATAAAAAAATGGACAGTTATTCATGGCAAGTATAGGTTTTGCTTTATAGCACCTTTCAGAATGATACAGCAGGTTATAAGGTGAAAGATTAAACACTAGAAATAACACAGTAGGATTCAAATTATGTTATCAAATTAGTGTTAGAATACAGGAAAAGCTCTTACATGTCGTGGTCAGGGTAGTGACTGGTGTACTCTCTGTCCCATCTAGGAAGATGGCTGACAGGGAGACCACGTACTCTGTGACTGGCCGTAAATTGGTCAACACGGCTGTCATTCCATTCACAATCCTCTCCTGCACGGAGATGAGCATTAGTGCAAGTTACACCCAGCAGATTCAATCTGTAGCCTCCTTTGCGTGATGGTAGCATGTCGCTTAGCACTATGGGCGGGTGTCCTGTTGTCCCGTCAAGAAGGTAAGCTAGCTGTTCAGGCGTATGGTGCAACCACATGGTCACAGCTTTACGTCTTTAAAACCTGAGGCTTCTGGGGCTCAGCAGGTCAATCAGAGACCGCAAACGACAATGCTGACCTCCTTCAGCGATTCATCATGGGGCCACCAAGACAGCTTGTATAGCAGAACATCTGAAGCAGTGGCCTTCCAGCTGACCCGGAAGCTGTCTGTCGTCACATCGCTGGTCCGGAGGCCGCTCGGGGCGGGAACGGGCCCTGGGTCAGACACGGAAATCTAAGCTGAAATAGCACGCAGGAAACAAGGCATGTGGCATAATGGCCAGAGTCAGATTAATAACAACATGAAAATCAGAGGCTTGGGATTGATTGTTACAGAAATAAAAATCTCCCATCCACCCCCAAATCAACCATTGTTAATCTACCTGTGGACTGAATGACTGGCTTATTAGCCTGGTGAGAGTTAGTATTAGGGTTACTGGTTAAGGTTCCAGGTTTTAAGCCTTGATTGGCGGCCTTACTGGTCGTGAAGCTCTTGGTAAGGGGTTCCGCCTGGGCGTCCTCATAGAGAGCGAAGATGGCCACTGTGTACTCAGTGTTCGAAGTCAGGTTCCTCAGCTGCAGTGTGGTGACCTGGTCCACATCCACCTGTCTCACAGTCACAGTCAAAGAGAACTTTATTGTCATCTCACCGTAGAGAAGAAATGGGGTCTGTTGTGTACGCAAATAAGGCAAAACATTGTGCGCAGACAGACAGGACAGAGCAATGTATAGGAAGTAGCCAAAATGGCAGTATAATAAAATACAGTTTATTCAGTTTAAACCTCAGCTCAACCTAGGAGGTGAGGGGCTTGGGGCTTCACTGGCGCTAATCTGATCTCGTATCTCGCATCCCATCATATGTGAGCTCACCTCAGTGGTCTGAACATCACTGGTCTTCACATACAGGATGCGGTAGCCCAGGACCTTCTTCGATGTGGCCTCCCACGTCAGTCTGGCAGAGCTGTGGTCAACGTTGGATATCTGGAGGTCACGAGGTGCCATGATGGGCACTGCGGAGGTAGAAACAGGCCAACATCAACTAGTTCATGTAGTGAAAACAACAATCAAAATAATCATCAGGCGATACGTGTTTTTCAACAGTATTTGACAATATTTGATGGTGGAGTAATCCTTGAGGAGCATCTGATATGGGTGCAGCAGCCCGACACCCACACGTGGTCTCCTGGTGAGTCATGGGGTCGCTGGCCTCCTCCCCGTACATGGCGTACACAGTCACGGTGTATTCGGTGGCAGGAGTCAGCTTCTCCAGCTCGATATCCGTGACAGTCTCCTCCACCTTCACCTGTGTGGAAGCCCAGGGGAGGATGATGAAACGCAGAGAAGGACAGCAGCTGTCACGTCGTTCAGGCGACACATTGAGCCCACAGTTAGCGAAGGTTACATCAGTTTTTCTCGGGCATCCCTGAGAATAAGTGAGATTTTTAAGACAATGGCAGCAGATATTTCTGCTTCGCTTTAATGGTATGATGTGCTGTGGTCAGAATCCTAAACATGCTTGGAAAAGGAAGTACAGTTTCACCCCTATGGACCTGATGCCCAGCCTGTTGCCACGGGGCATTAGCGGGGAGTCAGGCATGGTGATTTTAGAGTGAGGCGGGCAGGTGAAGCCCTCAGTGTTACCTCCTTCTCATCAGCTAGTCCGGAATCGCTCAGTGGGGCGTACAGGATCATGTAGCCAGTGGCACCACTGATGCCCTTCCAACGAGCGCGGAGGCTGTTGTGGGTCACATCGTAGAGCGTCAGGTCGTTCACCATCGGCAGGGTCACTAGAACACACCAACATGCTTGTGATCACGGGAGCGCCGCACTCTGCAATGGACCTGGCCTGGCATGTGGATTTTGGTGCCCAGGGTTGAAACCGACAGCTAAGGGAACCGTTTGTGACCTCGGTGATCTACCCAAGGGCTCAGGCCTCGATTGACTCACAGGTCGTCTCGCTGCCACGCAGGCCTTCGCTTGCGGCATTGACATAGATCGCGAATACGGCGATCTGGTACTCCGTCTGAGAGTTCAGGTACTGCAGCACCACGGAGTTCTCGCTGCCGTCCACCACGGCCTGAAGATCGAAGACAAAGCCCTCTGTCATGGGCCTGCACTTGAAGGAGAAGATCGGCACGGCCTGACTGCGGCCAACTCAGTTCCCTTTAGTGGTACCACCAATTTTACTCAAGTTTCCTGTTAAATGTTATTTCACGTTATTCCATGACAAGAGAGAAAGCACGCCAGCTTATCCCTCCAGCCATCCATCCATGACACAAACATCAGGAAGATCATGAAAGCTCAGATGATATCAGTTAGAAATTAGTGAAGAGCAACGGTCATGAGAAACCATCACATGATGGTTGGTCACCTCGTCTGGAGACCCCCCCTTGGTGGGGTAGTACACCACGCGGTATTTCTCCACAGTCCCGGGGGGGTGGCTCCAGGACACCCGAAAGCTCCTGGCCGTCACCTCAGACGTCCGCAAATCCTGGGGGGACGCTAGGGTCACCTGCCCCGTTGGCTCTCCTGGATATATCATGAATGATACGTTTAGGATAGAAATACACTGCAAACTAGCATGTGTACCTAAACACCACAGAAGGACATAGCTAAGGTCCATCCACTGATGTCTGTCTGGTTTGGGCTCATGATGTGACATCACCTCCACGTGTAAATAGCGGCATGGAAACCAAGCTACATGTAAACTTTGAATCTATGCTTTTATTTCTCCTCCATTCTCCTCCAAAGGCTCCGCCCTCCAGTGCTGCTGTAATGATGCAGCAATGTGGCCTTGCCTGTTATCTGCTTGTCCTGCTGCTCCACCCTCTGGCACAGGGTCTTGGTGAGGCTCTCCACAATGGTGCTCATCATGCTGAAGTCGGCCACGTTGTAGACGTGCGTGTCCTCGGGAGGCGAGGCGATGGCCTTCAGCTCATTCTCATCTGCATTCTTGACGCCTTCGCCCAGGAAACATGGCAAGTCGAGACCCATCTCACCCTCTGCTCTCACAGTGCTGAGCTACTGCTACATGCCTTAATCAAACTTAATGTTTTCTGTATCTGAAGCCTGAAGAATATGTTTTAGATTTCTTCTTCCAAGATGTGAACAAATCAAATATCCCACAATTACCCCCAAAATATTTCCCAATTCTCTTAGTAGACTAATTAAAACTGAATTTACAATAAGTACAGATTATAAAGAATAACTGCAAAACTCTAGCAAAGTTGCAGTAATCATAATGATTCTCCCTCAACAATTTCTTGGGAGGAAACCACAATGTCAATGAGCTGTGTAACATAAAAAGGTTATTACTGTGAAGGATAAACAATGAGCTACTCATACCAATGGCGAAAAGCTCAATGCCCGCCTCTCGAAGGCTGTGGGCTGGAGGGATGACATCATCCTGAGACTTCCCATCGGTGATCAGGATGCCGATTTTGGGAATGCCTGGCCTGGCCCCTGACTCCGGCTTGAAGCTGTTCTCCAAAATGTAAGTCAGAGCAAGACCTGCAGGGGCGGGTTGGTGTGTTCAAGCCAATGAATGTCAAAGCCTTTAACCACCAAGCAAGATGTAGTTCGGCATATGCAGCCGTTTGTTTGCGCTAATGTGCCATTAGTGTTAATAGCAGCAGCTAAGCTAACACCTGCAACCAAAAAGCCGTAATGTTCCTAACAGAGTGACTGCTCCGTCCTGAAATCCTACAGCTGAGATGTTTTTTGGATAAATAGATGTAGTTTATTGGTGATTTCATGTTCGTTGAAGTTTCCGCTTTTTAACAACTGTATAAAGTAATGTTATTTGTTATATAAATAAACTCAGGTGAAACAAAAATTGTACGTTTTCAGGGATGCCAAACCTCAAGCATCTGGCATGACACACATGCTTCCAGACTCATGCAGGAAATCTTACAGCAAATCTATATTATTCCATTATAAACCTAAAATTAGCTATGTCAAAGGTGTATTTACACGGTTAAATACAAAAGCAGACTATTAACAAGGTAAGAACTGTTACATATGTGTGCAGACATCTCGAATTGAAAATCTCACTCCAGCCAGCTTTTTCACGTGCCAATAAATATTGTCAAAAAGTTTTTGAATTGTACTGAATCAATTTGATTTGACAGTCAGGTATTGATTATATACAATGTTGATACAACTAATAGGCTACCGGTCAGTGTGTTCCCGCCTTTGTACGGCAGGTTCCTCGCAGCATCGATCACGGCATCCTTGGTGCTGTAGGCATTCAGGTGCCACTCAATCCGGGGATCCCCGCTGTATTGGGCCAGTCCTAGCAGGGACATTCACACAAACAAGACCCTCAGAGAGAATTATAGCAATACTTGAATACAGTTGGAACGAAAGACAAGGTGACTAGATGACACCAAAGGTATTGAAGAACCAAGAGTCCAAACAAGAAGCATGCAGGAATAAGAAGACCAAGGGGGGGCTTTAAGGTCAAAAGCCTGATGTCACTCACCTATGCGTGTCTTGTCAAAGCCCACATTGAAGGCGCTCACCAAGCTCTCCAGGAATGTTCGCACCAGGCGGAAGTTCAACCTGCCAATGCTCCAGGAACCATCGACCAGGATGACGATGTCGGCCACAGATGGGGTCTTACACTGGAACTGGTCCCCTGCGATAAGGAGAGCCACGCGCATCATAACAGCTGAAAGATCATCACATCGCAGCTGATGACAACATCGATGCCATGGAACTTTGATGCACAGGTTTGGTCCACCGTCCACACTAAAAATAAATCACCACCCCCCCCCCCCCCACAAGAACACAGCTTTCAGGATTTACAATAATGTTTTTATTGCAAAGTTTGAAATATGAACAAATAAATACATCAGCAAAAACGTAACCGAAAGCAGCCATCTCTGGAAAACAACACCACCTGCCAGAGCGGAGATGAATTCTGGATTTCACTGGACAGAAGAACACCGGCTCTTATTTTGCCGTGAACCTTAAAACATTCATAGGTAATGCTCCCCTCTCAGTGCTACCCAGATCCAGCGGATGATCTCAGAGATCCATTGTGAATAAGCTAGCAGGGGAAAGCTAAAGGGCAACCACCGCTAGCTCTGGATGAATAAGTTCCTTCAACCAGAAAACGAGCACAGGACAGGACTTTCGCTTTTAATCCCTGGACCCAAATTTGCTGGGAGCCCAGAGATGTTCCATACCCCACTTAGCCCGAGGTGGCCTCTTCCTACCCACTTTACATACTGAGCCCCTGCAAAGTGGCATTAACCAGGAAGAAATGGTCTTGTCCGTGGCCCATTGTGCAGGATGGATGTGTCACAACAGGCTCAAACACATAGGACAGAAACTTGTCTGGGTTAGCGGACTTCTACAGGAGAATGCTACAGGGCTATGGCCAATGGCAGGAACACTTATATCAACAGGCAGTGAGAAGTAGATTCCAGAGATGAAAGCACCATTCTGAGATTAAGTGATTTTGGCTAACGGCACATTGTGACAACATGGCGATGAGAGTCAGGCCTCTGATTTCATTCTTCTACTCAGCGTTAGCGAAAGCAAGTTGCTAGATCGGCAGCAGGGCCATGTGACTCAGATTCTGGGTCGCAGGCCGTCTCTCTTCAGGCTAAACAGTTGCTGTGGATTGCGACATACTGTTCCTCTGCCTTCCCATCAACCCACTGGGACCGTTAAATCTTCAGGAGCGTCTTTCCGTCCACTGCCTGCTTGTGCCGGAGAAAGGAGAAACATGACATTCTGGACAAAACGATGAGAGCCATGCTTGTCAGAAAAGGCAAATCTGAAACGAACAAACCTCAAAGATGTGTTTTTATATCAACTTAAATTTCCATCCACAGGTGTCAACATGATTTGAAGTGCGTCGTACCGTAAGAGTATTGCCACGAGCGTATTGGCAATAGGGCTGCATGATATCATATCACAATAATATTGCGATTTGTGTGCATGCGTAATAATTGCCAGGACTTTACAGGATGGGCATAGAAATGAGCGTGGACGTACTACATTGGCATTTACTTACGTTCACAATTTGATAACCAGAAGCATATTGTTCAGAAGCATATTGTGATGCCCAAATTAGCATTCTGTATGAATTCGGCATACCCTTATGATTATTAAATTTGGTTAGCGGAGCACGCCACACGCAACTGTTTCGGTAAATCATGGAAGCGATGAGCACGGAAGTGGCGGCGAAGAGAGGGACAGCTCATCAGCCGCGACATTTTAAATGAGGAGATACTGTTGTAAACAAGGTAAGAAGGAGTTGGTGGTGTAGCAGGGCTTTCTGCAGGTTAAAGTGTTAAACATAAGGATACACCGAATATACAGAGATTACTACATTTGGGCACCACAATATGACTCTCATTAATATTTCAGGAGTACTACTAACTCTGCTTAACAAATTGTGAGCTTATGTAAATGCCTATGCAGTGCTGAACAATGGGCATTCAGACGACGGCTGTCACCCAAAGCCCTGTAATGACATCGCGTTTGGCAGCACTGACGTGTGCCCTGTCAACACAACTTGCGGCAAAATCGGCACCTTTATTTGACACACACACTATTAGTAGATAATAATAAGTTCTGTTTAGTTATAGTTTATTTTGCGTAAATCTCATCTCCTTATTTGTTTTATAGATAGCGCAATATTAAGAACAAATATTTAAAATAATCGTACAACGCTAATCGGAAAATAACAGTGTTGGGAAACCACGACCGTCCTTGGCCCTCAGAAGCAGAGCTGTGAAGTGAAGAAGCTGCATGATGGCGTGGGAACCTAAAGCTTGAGCCCAACAGCCGGTGCCCCCCACCCCCCACTTCATGTCAGTCTCTCATCCTGCCACTCATGCCCTTTTCACATCACCATCTTACTTAAGAGACGTATCCAGAAGCGAAATCAAATATGGGGGAGCAGTTTCAGAAACCAAACACTTCTGCCATCGCGTATAAGTACCAGGGACTTGGTGTTGGCATTTTAATGCTGTTTTGACAGTTTGTTTTTACTCAGGATGGCACTGCATTCTCAGAAAAGCTCCTCCGAGCAACACAACACAGATTAAGAGAGCGGGTCCGCAGAGAAAAGGCAGCCATTGTGAGCGAGGTGAAAAGGGTGCGTGTAAATCGGTCTGCCCCTTTGAAGCACCACAAAAACCTCCTCTGAGTTCACACACGGGCAGCCCAGCCCGGGGAAATTTACTGCCCTTTTCTTGTAGCCACCGAACTAGAAAAACAGGAAAAAACATTCCCACCACCTTACAGACCTACACTTATCCCGCTTCGAGGGCTGCATCAAACTGACCAGCTTGCAAGAGTTTCTGCTGTAAGTCAACGCTTTGTTTACATCACCCAGTTACTTATCAGCCAAGTGTGACGTCTTACACTATCATCCTGGAGTCCATCTCTGAAATGTACACAAATGCTCCACATAACCTTGTTAAGATATTCCCAGGCAGCTCATTCAGCCTCTGCAATTCTGCACTACTTCAAAAATTATGCTGTCAAATCATTCAGCCAACCATGGGTGTCTCTCCATCACGTGATTCCAGTTAACTCCTACTGACCCTTAATCCTATGTTTGCATTAGCTTGAACAACAACAATCAGAGTAGTACGATACCACTGACACCCGTTGCTTGAGGCTATACAGATAAAATCTCATTGCCCATATTATGTGGTGTCCACTCTCCTCATTGGCTGAACCATGACAGTACATGACATAGAATATTGCCGTAACAATAACCTCACCCTGAACAGGAATTCAGGAGACACAGTATTAGTCAATAGCAGGAGTCACACACCAATCCCTACTGATGACTCTCTAGAGGAAACATCAGCATCTTCCAACCTACAGATCTCAGAGATGCTGAGGTAGACAGAGAACACTAGATCAATTCACAGCTTGTCAACACCTGTCAACAGCAAAGGAAGTGAACTGAACAGGTCATCTCACATACTTGCACTCTGTAGAAGCTGGAGGTAAAGTTTCTGACCTCAGGTTCACTACATACCAAGCCAGCGACTGCGCAATTACTAAGACCAGTCATTCACCATTCGGAAACCAGCAACCAGGTACACAGGTATACTGATTTTCTGACTTCTTCCCTAAAATTACATAAACACATACAATAAACAGCTTAATCACCCACCCAACATCTGGAAAAATTTAAATGCATAGCCTTATGTTAAGAGGGCAGCCTGGTATATACTGGCAGCATTCTTCCTCCACATTCTGGCAATAAACCAATAATGTAGGCCCAAGGTTGAGTAGAAGCACTTGCCCGGCACCAGGCCCACCTGGACACCCTCTGGAAGTCACATCAGGCAGGGGGATTCGGGGTGGGGGGGTCTTGATTATCTGCCATGTTTGCGCGGCCCTTCGAGTAGAAGCTGGCAACACATTTAGTGGTATTCTGCAAGTGCAGGCTGGAAGCTGTCAGGAAGCCAGCGATTTGCAGCCGGCAGGAAGAAGACAGCCTGGGGTTACGCGTCATGGCCCTCCCAGGTCTCAGAGTGGGCGGGAGGGGGCTCTCTGTAGGCCTGTTTCTCAGGGGGGCGCACTGCCTGAAAATCCTCGCCAAAAAGTCAGAACCCAAAACACATTAAGAATAATAAGACAGCCGCAGAAGAATTATAGTACTTAACATTTACAAATAATAAAGGATCAGATCAGATCCTTTACAGTAAATAAGTGAGCATTTATTTAGCTCACATTACAAACTGACTCAGGTGCTCCTGCTGCCAGGTGCAGGGATGGAATCGAGAGGAATTAGAAAGTGAAAGGAATTTGAGAGGGAGAAACGTCATATTCACATGAGCTGAAATGAGCCGGCTCTCTTTGTCAGCTTTGTTTCAAACGAGCCTTTATTGGGGTCGCGCAGGTTAAACAGCAAAACTAACCAGGCCTCAGTGGTACTCATGGCCCGGCCAGTGCCAGCAGTAACTCATGACTCTCGCAATAAAACGGTTGCTTTCACAGACAGCGAGGAACCAGAGACCCAGAAATTGTGTCAAGCCTCACACTCGAGCAACTGGACCAAAGCAATTGGCACAAGATGCTTCTCACATCAACACTGTTACACGTTAAACTGTCGCTACAGAGTTTCCTCCCTGCGACACTGACTACTTTCATCAAAAACTAGCAGATCAGGCCGAAACCGAAAGGACTGCAGTCCCAGCGTGTCGACATTGCGGAACATGGATGATTTAGCGCCTGCTAACCCAACGGGCTGCAGGGCTCAGTCTTCACTGCAAGTCAGATCTCTACCCTTCAGGCTTTCCAGACACGGCATATGTCATTCTACAATTCAGTTTATGACGTTCAAGCAGAACCTTATTTATGAAAACTGATTTATTGTACGTCCCTTTCTGCCAAAGGGATTAAGCAGCCAGAGGAGATGAAAACTGAATGACGGATCGATTGACCTTGGACATTCAGCTGGCAGTTAGCTAAGCTATCACCATGTGGAATTTCAACATACACAAAGTTCTGTCATTACACGAGTTTCCAAAATGCGAATAAACTCATGCATTATTGGCAAATAGGGGAAAGATGTCTATAAATTTTTTTTGGGTATCTGCAGAACCATCAAACACAGATAGATAGCTCTAAGGGACGAAGATTAAACCCCTTGGGAGCCAGACACCAATCACTAGAAGCAGGTTCTCTGTTTTCAACAGCATGGCTGTTGATGTAGATCTTGGTTAATGACTTCATCTTCAGGAATCTTCAATTTCGTAACATTTGTAACTTCAGTAAACTTCAGTAAAATGCCATCCAGAGGGCAGGATCTTTGACCCTGAAGATTGATGGGATTCGTCTTACTTTCCCATCAATAAACCCTCTACACTGGTTGCTCATACTGATGTACTGAAATGCAAAACCCATCAAAGGATATTTTAAACAGGGCCTTTCGCTCTCACCCTTCTGTCTTTTCTATTCCTCCTTGACCCTGCGGTGGATCTAAGCAGAGCTGTCACTGATGTGGAGCTACCCTCTGATGTTGGAAGCCCAAACAGCACCTCAGCGCCACTTCTCACTATGGATTGTCTTCTGAGAGTGAGGCAATCTGAACTGATGGTTGTGTACATTCTCAGAACACGCTCTCCAGACACACTCTCAAAACATACTCTCACTCATTCTTACAATTCCTTGGATACAACATTGATGATTCAACGACAGAGCTCCTAGTTTATGAAATAGCCTGCCAACCAACATAAAGCCATGTGACTCAGGTCTCAGCACTGAAATCCCTGTCAAATTTAGTCTATTTGACTGCGGCTCGTTTTGACCAGACCGCTGGAGTACTACTGCTCTGCGTCTCCATAGCAATGTTTCTCATCTTGGTCCTCAGGGACCCCCCCAGACAGTCCACATTTTTCCGGTTTGGGAAACACTGCTCTGTAGTTCCATCACGTCAGTACCAACAGCGCCCCCTTGCTTCCCGGAGGAACCTCATCGGAACATGGGCTGAACAGGACAAAGGCCAGAAGAAAAGGCTACCATTAGACTCCAGATTTTCACAATGCGTGCACACCTGCTTCTGATTCCCACAATAGAGCATGTCCACAGAGGGAGGGGCAGCCTCTTGACCTTAGACCCCTTCCCGGAGGTTTTTCTTTCATTTATCTACCACAGGACGTTCTTTCCTCTCCTCCTTTGTTCCCACTTCCCCACTTAAAGATACTCTATAAAATTAATGGCTGCTGTGTTCATCTGTGACCCTGTAATCTTTAAGCTCTTCAGACCAGCAGTGGTCGAAACGGCCCTAAATTAAAATAAGCAATGCTGAATAGAAGTGAATACCAGCAGAAGAAATATGAAATATGACTCATAATTCTTCTGCAGATACAGTTGGCCATTTCCTGCCCTCCTATTGGTGCATCACTTTATGGAAATGCCTGGCTACAAGGTGGGCCCATAACAACGGTGCCGGACTGGGTTAGTGACAAGCCACGCCCACATCCCCCTACTATTCTGCATTTTGAACAATGACAGATGGTGCATGTTCATTAACAGCCTCTCTCTGCCAATGAATGTGTATGTGTGTGTATTTTGGAATGCGATGCCTTAGACAGGTGTGAACTCTGACCTCTGCTATCAGGCTGCAGGTCCAGACAAAGTAAGTCAGAAGATGTTTTAAAATAGCTTCGTGCCAAGTACGTTGTGAATAAGGTTTGCTTTCACCCATGACAACAGTGTATGCAAATTCCCAGTTACATCTCAGCAAATACTTCCACTTATTTTAATCAACAAGATTCTATTTTTTCATCAGCCACATTTTTGCATCTCGACCCTCAACAAACAAAACAGCCAAAGCACAAGGTAACTTAATGTAGTATTGTCTATACATAATAGATCATAAAACCCTCACTGTATGCTTTCTATTCAGCTCGCCTTTGATACAGTCATGCAAATGCAAGAAATCTTAAGTTCTTACCTCGCATGTGCTAATCTTTCTGAGTTGTTCAGTCGCCTCCGGGCAGCCATTTGAAGGGGCCTGTCTCTACCCTCTCAGACACACACATGGCTGCAGGCCCCTCCACCAGCATGGTACCTTCAGTAACACCTCACTCACGTTGCTCACGTCGGCGGATGGGCAGGAACTTGCCGTGTGTTCATTCTGACTCGCACATCTGAGCCAACCGGTCTCCCCTGAGGTTCAGCAGTGGTGTTTCCCACCATTTAAACCACACGTTTACATGGGTCCCCTGCAGGATTGGAGGCCCCTGCTGGCCACAAGCAGTCACTACACTGCGAAGGGTGGGGACCCGCTTCTGCTGTGGCTGAAGCAGAATGCTCCGCGACCCCGTACTGGAGAAGCAGCTGGGAGCTGGCAGCCCAGCCTGGTGTATACTGGTGAATATGAGACGCTGACACAGTCAGTCATGAGCTCCCAGTGGATGGCAACCTTACCTTCTGTGATCCTGTTGGTTTCCTCAACCACACTGGCCACCTTTAGTCCCTGGGGCTCAACACCATCATCCGGACGCACATCTTGTGCTACAATGTACCAAGAACATAACAGGCACACAGCCAACAAAGCACCAAGGTGTTAATGCAAAGGCATGCTAATGCATCACATTAAATAGACATGAAACTATTTGACATGTGTTTCGACCGTATATAAGACATACCTGCACAGGTCGACACAGATTAACCTCAGCTCTGCTTGGACCATTAACCCCTATATTACCAGATAAATGGATAATGTTCTAATATTCAGTCCATGCTGTTGCTTCTCTAAAACAGGTAATTTTAGAGTTGATGGGATTTACATATAGGGGCCCAGCAGAATGCACAGTTTTACCAGTTAAAAGGACCAGTTAGATTAAATTAAACCCTCCCCTGACACCCATGGGATCTTTTCTTCCTGTATGGCAGTGTTTTTCAATCCGGTCCTCGGGGACCCCAAGACGGTCCATGTTTTCGCTCCCTCCCATCTCCCTGCCAGACAGTCCACATTTTTGCTCCAACCCAGCCTCCCCGTAGGTGGACTATCTGGGGGCTCCTGCGAGGACCGGACTGAGAAACACTGCTGTAGGTTAATAAGAATAAAATTTATTCAACCTGCACCAATGAACTTTGTACTATATTAATTTGGTTTTATATTCAACGTTGGTTCATACTTCAGGATTGTAGTGAATTGCTTCTGGCCATTTTTAGACATCTGCCAGGAAGCCATCTGTCCATGCCCTCAAGGGTAGGACTTACTCACAACGCTCCAACATGCACAGACATACTATACTTTAATACTGAGCACCATACTCTACTTGCAGATGCTTTATGATATTACTATAGACACTACTACTTCAAGGTCGCCCAGCAGTGACTGGGGTACTGATGTTCTGAAGGTTTGTTTCCATACCTGTGAATGTACCTTGCAGTGGTTTACTCCTCTGGTTTCCTCTCATGGCGAACACCTTGATCCTGTACTCCAAACCGCCATTGAAATTGTCTATGACAACTTTGTTCTCTGCCTTGGGCAGCTGTGACTCTGTTACTTTGCCATCTGTGATTGGGGTCAGAAAGGGATGTCATGAGATGCAGGACGGTCGTGTGGTTTTTCCTGCTGATCGTTTGGTACGTTATACATCCAGCAGCCAGGGGGTGCCAGCGAGCAGACACCTATATATACCTACCACACTGTACCCTGATTACTGGCCAATGCTACTCGCTGCCTTAAACTGATGATGGCAGACTGGGCTGGAGCAGCCATTACCATTGAGGGTTACTGTGTGGATCAGTGGGTTAGGACTCTGTGTCTGTAACTGGAAGGTTGCTTCATGGACTGGCTGCCCCTGCTCTATCAATTGTACATCACTTTGGATTATAAATAAATAATGGATAATAAATCAATGGAAAATACCACTGCAGAGGAAGTGGGAGAAGCTCATTTAGCGCCAAACTTATTTAGCTTGTTAGCTGTTCGCCACCCTTTTTCCAAGACAACCTGGTAGTTTCACCCACTTATTAAACAGGAGAAATTTATATTAAATATCAAGGTAAGCAGCCAGCAGGCCCATGTTCTTAACCGCTACGCCACCTGCTGGCCAAAGCATGACTGCAAGGCGATGGTTATGTTAAGCATTTTTGAGGATGCAGAGAGCCCACACCCACCCATAGTCAGAAAGACAGTTTGTGCGATTCCACATGGTACTATGATCCATTTTGGTTAAAAAATGTAAAATCCACTCCATAAGAACCAGCTGGCCTTTTTGCTTTCTACCTCAAACAAAACAGAATCACAAAACAAACACAGTGAATTTTGGCAGGGCTTCAAGACATCCGGACCCCACCCTCACCAAAACGAGCCCTGGGGCATTAATTCACTCGTGCCTGATTGCTGGGGTGTGCCAGTGTATGCAGTTGAGAAGGAACAGTCTGTGGTTTAATCTACATTCCTGGACCTGTACCTGCACTGGGGGCTGGCTGGCGTAAAACAACACAGGAGTTAACCACCTAACTCTGCTCCTCAGGGGTCAGACAGTGAAGCACTGATATCCTCATTTTCTTATCGTTTGCTGTGAGTGTAATATAAATTCTGTAACTGTGAACCCAGATGTTAAGTATTGCTTGTCAAGTACAGCATTTATGTAAGCAGCTCAGTTTGCTACTGGAGCCGTAACAGCGGGGACCTTAAGACAAGAACCATCAGGACATTCTTCTGTCCTCACCAGGCACATAGTCATAGTCACAGTCACAGTCACAGTCACAGTCATAGTCATAGTCATTTGAACCCCCTCCCATTCAATTTTTTTTGTCACCAATCAGGCATGTCGGCAGGTAGCGAAATTCAGAGTTTGAACCCCTTTGAAATTTCTATGGAAGGGGACCGTCCCCCCTCCCGCATATCGGTAGGGTTGCTGGACCCCCCCCCCACAAAATTTACTGGCTGGGTTCTCATGCCCTGTCCAAAACATTTCCAAAACATTCATTCAAATTACATTAATGCAGTAGAAACCGAGATCGTGCCATAGTTCAAACAGAAGTCAGGATTTATGTATTTCGTTCATGAAGGTTATATTAAAAGCATGTAAAACAGCAGAAAACTGTCCAAACTTAAGTAACAGTCTCCCCCATTTCTGCCAGCCTCAAATGCAGTGCAATCCAAGCTCTGTGATGTCAGCCAAGGGTAACTGCTGGCATCCTCTGTCCATCAGGCTTTTTTTTTACCCCCATGGCAAAATTTTCACCATGTGAAAAGTACACTGAGACTGGATTACAGCCTGATAGTTATCGATCATTCGAGTAATCACAACCACAGATGTCCATTAGGTTCTGTACCAGGGCTTTAGACACTTAGAAGTGGATGGATTCACTATATGAAGACTGAAATAAAAAACAACAACAAACGGATCGATCCAACGTACCTGGGTGCGCATTATAAACAAACATATAGCCGTCGAAATCTCCTCGTGGTTCCTTCCACGATACCAGCAATTTGTCAAAACTCAGCAGTGTATAGCGCAATTTCCGCGGAGGTGAAACTAGAGTGGGGAACATAAAGAAAAGAAGAGCAGTTTTGTTAACCGCTGGGAAAATCCCACCGGAGACGGTCACAAATCTGCTTCAGGTCCAACAGACGGAACGTTCCAAGGGTGGAATCGAATAAAGCTGCATGTGAGGCAGCGTTTTCTCTCATTTGTATCACCAAACTGTAAAACAGCCCATAGACATGCATTGTTTTCTATCTTAGGGTTTATAAGCAGGCTTAACCAGTCGAATTTCCAATTACACCCAGGTTTAGCTAACACATGCTCCTACTGAGCCTCGAACACCATACGGGCATCAGGACAGACGTGACGGGAGCCACAGATGTTACACAGAGACCAATCATACTCTCTAAATGAAGAAACTCTTTCGAAGCGGACACTGCTAAATTTTTAATTTCCTGTGTTTGCCAAAAGCATCTGATTTATTCATAGGAAACAGTTATGCCTGTACGGATGGCAGCTTCGCAGGAGTTTTTATTAGAGAATATGACGGCTCTTTTCCCAGATACAAACAGAGAGAGAGAGACACAGAAAGAGAGACACTGGAATAGTTTTGTGAGCGTCTATTCCTGTCGTTGGGAAACACAGAACATCTACTTCTACGGTTGGTGTGAAAGAGCACTTTCACCATCCTTCTGCCATCTACATAAGCTCTGCTATGTAGGCATGACCAGACCCATCCCGTCCCCAACCAGAACTGAGGCAGCTCAACCGAAACAGCAGGAAAACGGAACGGCGACCTCACAAACCCTGCAGTTTGTGTGTTCTCAGAGAACGAGGGACCTAGAGCCGACGTTCCCTTTACATACCAGCACGTTCCTCCCCCAGAAAAGAAAGAGTATGTGTGGAGTAACAATCAGCCCTCAGTGGAGAGTCAGACCATCAGGAGTGGAGGTATGCAAATTTCACACAGTCTGGCACCCACTAATTATTTTGGAAACAAGGAATATTTAGAGAGATAAAAAAAAGCAAATAACAGTGTAACAAGATCACCAACCTGGAAGAGAGGATGAAGACTCTGCTGGGTTTATTTCTCTGTGAAGCAAGACCTCTCTCCTTGGAGTGGGTGAAGGGATTCACTCTTGGAAAACCGTACGAGCGTGTGACCGTGCGCATGTGTGTCTGCAGGTCTGCAGGTGTGTGTGTGTGCATGCGTGTGAGCTCTTGCATGTTTAGGGGAATCCTGCATCCATGTACAAAGAAAAACAAACGCACGCACAGACCACGTGACATTAGCAAGGACAGTGAGGTCACGCCCAGTTGATCACCAAAGCACATATCACATTTCCAGCATACATCCAGCGTGACAAACAGCACAGCAAGGAGCACAGAGGATGATGCAAACATCAGCATGTCAGCAGACAGGTGGCTGGAATAGTTCTGTTAGACCAATTTGAAACACGCATCAGAGCCTAACAACTGCCTGTAATTCCTCCAATTTCCCCGACAATCCGCTGGGTTTTTATCGTGATATCAGACATTCTCACACTCCATTAAACCCCCATCCTCAATGTAAGACATAACCTCAAGGGTATAAGTTTGGGTTGAGCATTGGGGGTCCAGAGAGTTGCACTGGCTGGTTTTGATTATTGCGGGGGGGTTGCACTCCCCCATCCCAACAATAATTTACACCCATGCATAACTGTACTGCTGTACTTTCTTACCACCAGTCAAAGTTTCTTTACACGTACCATCACAGTGAGCAGTTGTGGACAGAGAATCCTCCCACGCTCAGCTAGGCACAGACCCGCCTCTACCTGCCCGTGACACGAGCTCTGCGGGGGTCCGAACAAAGCTATCAGGACCAGACACTCCCCCCCAACACCTGCCAAAATCCCCTCGGAGGGCCGCGTCTCGACAAAAGCCCGCTTAACGCTCAACAGTTTCGACGCTTTTGACTCCCCAGTGCGGAAGCTGGGTCGAGATGCTCTGGAGGAGGTCACCTCACGAGTCCTCGTTCGAGGGGACAGGTCAACAATCGATTTAATACACAGGGATAGATGCTGTAATTATGTTCACAAAACGACCACTCGTCACATCTCAGACTCATCTAGGCCAAACAGAGAAGACATGAACAGTGACCATGGACGGACCAAACCTGCACATCACACAGCAGAAGGGCACACAGAGCCGAAGGAGGCCGGTTACCTTGACCCTGAGCAGGGGCGATAAGTAACACAATGTGAGCCAGAAAGAGCAGTAGACAGCAGTGCACCCGCATCCTGATCCTCAGAAACCAGCAGCTACCTTTAGTGTGGGAGTGTCAATGGGGACACCTGGAACGACAGGTGGGAATGGTGTTTAGCAGCTGGTGCATCTGAGCAGTCCTGTAGGATCAGCGGGGAAAGGACAGATCCCACGGTACAGAGGGTCTCAAACAAGTCACATGACATTTACAAGAGTTTCACCCACAGTTCATGGCTGCTAAATAACACGGAGGGTAAAATACTATTTAAAACAGCAGAAATACGTGTTTAGAATGGTCATTAAGAGACCTGAGCTTCGTCCACCTGTCCCGGGAGTCCGATAAACACGTCAGTTTGTAAGAAAGCTTCAATAATCATGTCACCTTGTAAGAAATCTTAAATGAATATGTTGAAAGAAAAGTGGTTTAGATGTACACACTTTTACGTTTCTGTGTGCACAAAACAATCCGATTTTCACAAATGCACAAAGTTATTGAAAAAAATCATTAACACGTCTCTCGAAAGAGTATGCTCAGCATTTTTTATTATAAGTAGGCGACTTTGGTAAACATAAAAATTTAAATAATTTAAAATGTAAACCAACCTACACACTATAACAACTGAGAAATTTAAGTTTTAACGTTAAAATAATTTAAAAGGAGAATTATTAGGCTTGTTCAGTTAAAATGCGAGTGCGATCGCTTGCGGTTTCACATCCAGACGTTTTATATTAACGCAAAGCGCAAGTCGGAACGCAACTTCAGCCACGCATTTAAATTTCTAATAAAAGCATTCTGATCATTATCATTTCTTGGTTATTTTACACTTACCTATAGATAACCTATTCATCACCCTACTTAACGGTATTTCAGTTATGTCTATTTACGCATTTAAATTCCATTTGACCAGATTCATACTACGAAAGCCGCTGCGCCAAATAAAGTTTCCCTGTTTCTGTCCCGTGTTCTCACCATATTTAAAATACAAAGAAGATGCCATACCTTTAACAGCATGTATCAAGCCGGACTCTCCCCCCTGTTACGGGACAACACGGCGGCCAAAGACGTGACTGTACCCGCAAACAGGGCAGCAGCAGCAGAAAGCGCCGTAAAGCGGGACCGGCGGGTCTGGGTGTTTCCCGCCTCCCTATTCATTCACTCACCCCTCCAGCTATTCATTCCTTCACCTCGTTAATCCTCAGTGAGGAGGGGAATGTCACTGGAGCAGCCAATGGCAGGAAGAGCAGGACGTGGGGTCTGAACACCTGGGGGGGACCCGTTCTGCCCCCGAGCGCGTCTCCGCGAACACGGGAGCGCGGTGCGCGTTCGCGACACAGCCCTGCTTATTTCATTCCTATTCACACTCTGTCAAAAAGCTTGTCAGTGGCATTTGCTTTTGGAGAATTATCTCAGATGATTGGTTTCTAAATGGCTTATTATGAAAACGATCATGTATAAATTATTTTATATTATAGTATAGTATATATAGTAATAAAAACTTTAGTTTTTCGTTTATTATTTGAGGTTTGTTACTTCTAGGGCGGGGGTTCCTGTATCTAGGAGTTAACCTCCTGTTGGGTTTAAGGCAGCCTTTGAAACGGTAATCCTATAGGTACGCCGCCCTTTCATTTCTCACAGCATCATTAGAAAGCAACTTCAGCGCCTGTCTGCATACCTGCACCTTCGGTTTACTGATATTGGCCCACTATACATGATTTGAGGGGGGGGGGGGGGGAGTAACGATGTTTCATTTTTGCTCGTCAAACCCAAATAGTGGCGTGACAGTTTTAATTCCCCGATGATAGGCGCATAATGTTTGCTCCCTTTGCCTTCTTACCATGCAGCGCCTTGTAATTGCAGCTCCTCAATGTCGACATTGTGCTTCCCTTTTATTCCCCTTTCCTCCCTTTTCGCCGGGACCTCCAATAGACGAACGGAACTATACTCCCTAACTAACTGCGCTTGGCTGAGGCGCTCTCACCTTCGCCCTTTAGGAGAACAATGAAGAAGCTGCAGTTCTGAGTAGCTCTGAGGGAGGGGAGGGCGGGTCTTTGTTAAGCGCATTATTAAGCGCTTGGAGTACTCATAAATGAACTGTGTATATGCGTAATGTCAGGCTAATAGATGATAAAACAGCTCCGTCTCGGGGCGTGTAAATGGTTGATTTCAGCTCCGATCTAAACCCGAGCAGGCTGGGGATGAGGGTCTCCATATATCCCCGGCCAGTCGCACACCACCTCTAGAGAAAGATGCCGTGTTTTTAGTTCATGACAGTAACATTGCAGTCCGCAAAACAGTGATAAACTACGTCTGGAAAGGATCCGCTGAGGAAATCACAGCTCAGAGTCATCGTGATTGTTTAGGTGTTTATGTTTGACAAAAGGAAATTCTGTTATTGTTAAATGTCCCGTTACCAACTAGTAAGTATTAGATTACCCGTCTCAGCTGCATATCTTTTTTTAAGGGAGCTTTTGAAACCCAGGTGAAATTAAATCCCCTTGTAGTTTGTCGCGACTTTGGTGTTATAAGCAGTGAGATCCTACTGAAAATGTTAAAATAGACGCAGGCGCGGGCAGGCCATCCCGGTGGGTCGGTCTTTCTTCCCCATTATATAGTGTTTGGCAAAATATACCAAGGGGGACAGCCCCCCCGTTCGGCGACGGAATACATCAAGGGGGTCGCTTGACAGGAAATTCCCGCGGCTACTTTTTGTTGCCAGTCCGCCCCTGGCTAGTCTCAGATACCTGATCATAATAAACAATAATGTAGGTTTATACATGAAGCAACACAGTTATGTGGGAAGATGGGTTTCAGGTTTATAAGGACGGGTTGTATAATCAGTATTTAGAAACAATGAATATTGTGGTTGACGGGAAAATCTTGGACTTACAAACACGGAGAGTCAGGAAAGCATGTTGATGAACATTTTACCAAATACTCACAGGAGTGGGAAACTGTTTGATATACAGGTGACAGAATCCCATGGGCGGAGGGCAGGTTTCCTCTCGGGATCCAGGGGAAGCAAGTTCATACAAGCAGGCAGGACGGTGAGAATGCAACCTCTCAGAAAGACATTAAACATCAAACCTTCTCTCATGGGAAGTTTTGTTGCGTCTAGCAAACCTAATTAGAGCAGCCAGGAACTGTAGTAAGCTATGAGCGATGTCAACTGGGGTGACACACGCATTTCAGAAATTCACGCTCACGCAAGAAATCTTACGGCAGATCCTTTAATACTCCATAATAAACCTAAAATGAGCTAATTCAAAAGCGTCGGGGCAGTTTGCACACCCTACAGGCTATGTACAAGGCAATAAAACTCTTACATATGCCTACATGTAAATACGTGTGCCGACTTGTCTCGAACTGAAAATCTCACGCCAGCCAGCTGACCAAAGTAGGCAACCCTGTTGTTTATTAATGAGCAATGTTGAATTTTCAACAGACAATGTCTGTTTGTAGATAGTGTAACAATAGCATATCGCGGTGAAGTTTGTACTGGTGCATTACAATAAAACTCACAAAAATAATAGGAGTGTTTAAATCGTCCAGAAAACGATACACATAAACATAGCAGTTAACTCACAAGTTTATTTTTATGGTATTGTGATCACAGTGAATAATGGTAAGCCTATATTATATGGAATGAATCGACTGAAATAAAATGAGTCACCATTATTGAAAAATATAACTTAAATATTCGCGAAGGAGCAAACATTATAAAACACTGCCACCTACTGGTGGGTCTGTCCACCTCAACGCACCGAATACTGGCGATCACTTTTTACCACTCGGACACGGTACACTATGCAACACACATGCTGATATAAGGTATAAATGCATTACAACATAAATCTAAGATGTTTATGACCGTGTATTACAACTCTAACATTAGCATGATTTTTTTTAAGTGAACGGAGAAGGGTCGTTCCCTTTCCGATTGGAATTATGTGTGAATTGCGCGATAGAGCGTGTGCCCTGAGATGGACTGCTATCGGTCCTAGAGTGTTTTCTGCTTCTTGCCCTGTGACAGACTGGCATCTTGTCACTTCTCCTCCAGGGTGAATATGCATAAAGCCCAAACCTGCTCATAGAGTCAGTAAGGCAGAACAGATATAAGACATGGCAATGCGATACAGACACCCTTTCTCTGTCATACAGGGGGGGCATATTATAGTTGTTCCTCTTAATAACAGAGGTGATGTTATAATGTCATTTATTCATGCAAAATGTATCAGAAATGCTGAAAAATGATATTGATTACTAGTTTCCCATTAAAACAGACATTGTTGACGGCGAATAGTCTATCCATTATAATAAAATATGCACCATTGCCTGAAATGAACAGAAAAGTTAGTTAACCTTTAATTAAACAGGAATCATTAAAGGCAAGAGAAACAATTTCCAGCCTAGAAATTTTAATGAAGTATTTTAAGACTGGGAATAGCTGTCAGTATAAATTCACCAGGTTTATGTACAAAATGACACCTATCAATAAAAATGTGTTAACACTATAGAACTAGGTCAATGTGCTTACGTTTCATTATTAAGTCTTTCAATGGCACTTGTACGTAGTTGTAATCAATTTACATCAAGTTGATTCATAACTCAACATATCAATGGATATTAAAAAAATCACAGTAACAAAGAGACAAATGGTGTTTTGCTGAATGAGGTCATGTGACATGGCATTATCTAATAAGTATTCAAAACGTCATTAAAAAACACCACCTACAGGGGAACTCCAATATACTGGCAGGATTAGATGCAACACATTTTTAAAAATGTTTCCTTATCGCTTGTCAGACTGCTACAATTAAAGCTTTAAATAAATATTATTGCTCTGCCCATCCCTTCCACAGGGCGCCCTCTAGCTGTCGGCTCATCCCACCTCAATGCGCTAAGGCTTCTGGAATCTTCCCTACCTGCTGCCATCAGGCACTAGTGTGCATAACTATGTCATGACTTTTTACACCCTTCATCCATCCATCCATCCATCCATCCATCCATCATCTATCTATCTATCTATCTATCTATCAGCTATTAAGTTATAAGTAATGAAGATGTATTTCCACTTAGTCATGATGTATTGCCACGAGCTTTCAGTTTCTGCTTCCACGTCAGCAAAGACAGCATCTTCCCCCACGGCTCTCAGAAGGTGCTCTAATAGATCTGCAAGCAAGTGTAACGCCCTAAGTTACACTGCCTACATTTACCATATCAGCAAACCACACAGACAGCAGGCGGCAGCGTGGGGGGGCTGTCCTAAGGGAGGCGGTCATGACGTTATAGCGGGGAGCAGCATGACAGCAGCTGAAGGGGATGTGTTGCCGAACCCGGCTGTTGTCATTAGCATTTTCCTGCAGAAATGGTCAACGATTAGCCTTCATGTTTTAGTATGTGGGACTGATTTCCCAGACATTTTTTTTAGACTTCAGAGAAGGCAGGACAAAGGATGTATGGACTTTCTGATTCTTTCAGCAAGGGGAGACAAGCATGTGTTCTGGGTCAAATCACTCCAAGAAAAGCATGTCTTTGGAAAACCAATAATACTCATTGTGAGTTATGCCTATAAGCCCCGGTTATCTGACTGCGTGTTGGCCTGTGTTCGAATGATGTCATATCCCTCATTCAAAGATACACAACACTTCCTTGTCCATCTGGTGGGGACAGGGGTGGGTGGGCTGTTTGTGGGCCTCACTGAAAAAGGTCACTTTGGGGTCCCCCCCCCCCCGATGGTTCACAAACAAAATAAATAGCTTGCAAGTAGAGTCAGAAGACTGTAGCTGGCTAGCTGGTTAGCAGATTATGCTGCATCAGCACCTCCTATATAAGGAACGCGTTTATTTAACATTGAGTGTAGGCTGCCTGTTTGTCACATTTGTCACACAAATGCGTGGTCTGAGTGGTGGCAAACACTGCACCTGGGTGCGGAGCATCTGTCATATAAAGTGACTGATGCAAAAAGAAAACAGGCAGTGCAATAGCAGACCGACATGGACCCCAGAAGGAGCCACGCTCTCGATACGACATTGTGGGGCCTCCCCTGGCTGTCTGCAGGGGCCGAGCGTGTATCTTGGCCTCAGTGGTCAGCCTCCTTCTCCTCCATGACCTCCATGACCACGGTCCGGGGGCCGGTCAGGATGAGTTTGCTAACAGTCCTGTAGTCCAGAACCAGAACATTGAGCCCGTTGACAGAAATGACAAACTGGCAGACCTGAGCAAGGATGAGACAGAAGATATGAATGACGGGGAATTTCAGTATCATATGCTGCGACTCTGCAAAGGAAAAACCAAAGAAAATTGTGTTTTTAGGGAGGACCGCAGGACCATTAAACGCCACATTCCTCACTTAATATACCACATTCGCTTTTTTCCTGTTTGTTTGTTCTGCAAAGAATACCATGCATACTTTCAGACAGTAGCACACTGCTGACAAAACAATGGTGAATGCATTCAACACACTGTAGCGAGGACACAAAAATCCAGAGGGCAGAACAGAGGAGGGATGCCCTCAGAGAACTGCAACGTCGCGGGCCGAGTGAGGGTCAGTGTGGGTTCCTGGAAAAATCCCTGAGTGTTGCTGAGTTACAGGACGGATGAATAGAAATTTGTCTTCAAAATCAAATCCATACTTGGCCTCCAAAACTCACAGACAGCAAAAACATATTTTCAGGCTTGATTGTGGATTGTTATCAATGGGTTGCACCACCCATCCGCATGGCTTGTGGAAAAGACAAGTGATGTGCTAGAAGTTAATCAGCGAAGAGCAGCCCTGAATATATGGTACTGTTTGGTTGTGAGGCCGGGACAGCGGGATTCAGCAGGGTTGGGGGGGGTGGGCTGAGAGGGGGCCAGCCGGAGGGGAGCAGAGCTCATCTACTGGCCACCTTGGTTATGGTTTGAGTTTTGGTCAGGGTTACGGTTACGGTCATGGTTAGACACAATTAGGGTTATGGCTAGGGTTATGGATCAAGTTATGGCAAAGGTTAAACATCCACCTGCGTAGCTGCTCTTCTGTTTACCAACCACCGTATTTCACCCAGTCAGAAATAGCACAATGAAATACAACACAGGGCAGACAGAGACGTGCAAACCAAGACCTACTACATACAAACCAAGCAGCACAGGAGCTGTGGCGGAAAGGCAGAAATGAAACCAAGGAGAGCTGCATATTTATTCCGACAAGGCAAATGCAAGAGTGGTTCTGTATTGGTTCCTGTTCTGGAATGAACATTTCCGCTCATGGGCAGCCAATCGTGCATCCGTCTACCCATGAGGCCTTGCAGCTTACCTTCATACCAGCTGCGGCAGCAGGTCCCCCGGGGTCCACGGCCTGGATGTGACAGGGCTTACAGCCCCTGACCACGAAGCCCCAGCCCACCGCATCACCCACGATCTGGAGGGGAAAGGTCAGCGTTTGTTCAGGCTTCTCTACTTCACCCCTGATCTTGCGATGCTTACTCTAACTAAACATGTGAAGCAGATCAGGTGGGAGCCGACTTAGCCGGACGAGACCAAGTGAAATTCGGCATGGAGTTCACTCTTGCTGAGGAACTGTGCACTGTAAGAAGCTCACAGTGAAGGTCTTCTTGACGTATGGACCTCCAGGAGACAGCAGCTCTTCTGGGGTCACCTTCTTCTTAAGGACTGAAGAGCAGATGATACTTGTGAAATATGCAATCTAATACGACAAGGTGACATATGACTACATGCAGTAGTACATAAAAGAAGATTTAAAGGTTAGATTTTTTTAGTCACTATAACACACGAATGCAGTATTTGTTCTAAAATACTTCTGACTAATACACCTCCTATCAGGGAAGGCAATGTGAGGAAGTGCAGTCGAGATTAGAGAGGCACTGTACTGGCGTCCCCTGGGTGACTCAGTCCTTCCCATACACACTGTAAAACGTGAAGATAAGACCTGAAAGCTCTATCCATTGTGCTGTGAGCACATCCAAAGCATTAAGCCCAAACACCCCCTTTACACTGCTGGTGTTGCACAGGTGTCTTTTCCTAAGAACCTGTCTAAGCTGCTTCTGAAGAGCCCTTATGGCGCTGTGTCCTTCAGTGTGGCACAATGTGCCAGATGTCTCCTGTTTTCACCTCCTCCTGTTACCACCTGACGTCCCAGAACACAGGATTTGCAGGGAGGAGGAGCAGGTCAGCAGGGAGAGCGCCGCCTACCTGATTTGGGGTTGCACATCACCGGGGGGCTGCTGCTCAGAACGGGGCTGCTGCCGTAGAAGCCGTTCGTGCTACAGCCGCTGGTCATGCTGCTCCGTCGTACAGCTGACACCATCTTAACCTCCTTACTGGGACTGACTGGGAGACACAGGCCACACAGAGTCACCTGTGAACTTGAGTATAGTGCTCATTGATGATGTAGCTGAGCATATTGTACCTGAGTATAGTGCTCATTGATGATGTAGCTGAGCATATTGTACCTGAGTATAGNATAGTGCTCATTGATGATGTAGCTGAGCATATTGTACCTGAGTATAGTGCTCATTGATGATGTAGCTGAGCATATTGTACCTGAGTATAGTGCTCGATGATGATGTAACCGAACATATTGTACCTGAGTATAGTGCTCATTGATGATGTACTGTACCTGAGTATAGTACTCATTAATTATGTGGCTGAGCATATTGTACCTGAGTATAGTTCTCGTTGATTATGTGGCTGAGCATATTGTACCTGAGTATAGTGCTCGTTGATGATGTAACTGAACATATTGGACCTGAGTATAGTGGTCATTGATGATGTACTGCTGCGATGGGCTGGCCCCCTGTCCAGGGTTGTTCCCTGCCTCGTGCCCGTTGCTTCCGGGATAGGCTCCGGACCCCCCGCGACCCAGTAGGATAAGCGGGTTGGACAATGGATGGATGGATGGATGATGTACTGTACCTGAGTATAGTTCTCATTGGTACTGTATCTGAGCATGGTGTACATGAGTATAGTGTATAGATGTAGAGTGATCTTTGATGGTATATCCCTAAGTCAGGTCCATATATAGTGTACAAGGTGTTTATTCTGTCTGTACCAAAGCTGGGGGACAAACACACTCTGATCTCTGAGTCACTATACAAACCTTTCCTGGGACTGATGAAAACTTCCCTGTTCTGGGTATTGTTTTCATATTTGTCAAACACTTTCATTCTGCTCAGAGCATAATGGGATAGATAATGAGCTCATTTAGTTTGAAATATAGAAAGTTTCACATTTGGTCTTATTTCAGAAGTGACCAACCTAGACAAATCAGAGATAAGATCCTGAAAGAGCACAGCACTCACCTCTATTTTCCTGATCTTTTCATTATATTAACAAACCAAAAGGCCTCTTAGGAACCTTTACATATTTGCCTCTACCAGCTTAGCAGCTTGCTTTTCATATGCTCCCCTCTGTCTGCTTGGAGAGGCTCTTACAGGCTGGTCGAAGTTCACCATTGAGATTCCCTGGACCAGCGCTCAGCACCGAGCTGGGCCGCCTGACGGGACCTGGCAAGGTGACCGATAGCTGAGCTGGCGGCGGCTCGCCGGCGTAAATGTTAAACTCCAAAGCAAACATCGCAGGCCGAGGAGGGGCGACGACGGGAGGGACTAGCTCACTTGTTGCCTAGATATCCAAGTTTACAGGATAGCAGCCGAACGGCTCATCAATCCTTCGGTGCGAACAATGCTGTCTCCGCCGCCGCTTGGCACACGGAGGATGGGAAAATGAGGCAGGGACATTTTACGGTAAATCAACCAATAAATCGGATGAAGGATTTGCAAACGAAGCTATCATACAAATCAAAACCAGAAGTGACATCATTTTTGCTACTTACTACGCAACTACCAATTGTGACTGAATTAAAAATATACCTATAGTTCCCAGGATGCTAAAACTATTGTACAATGTTAAAATAAAGCTCAGAAAGAAATCCCAGAATTTGCCCCAGTCTTCTTCTGCATGTTATTCTAGACCAACAGTAGTATTTGCGAGAACATCTACACAACCAAAGGCATAGCCACCAGCAAGACTATGATCATAGTATCAACATGGGGAGCTGGCCTGTCACTACAGTATGTGGGCCCTGTCGCACTCTGCCCTTGCCTGTCCGGCCAATAAATACACCCACACCTTATCAGCCTGGCCAGTGAGAACAAAACATCTAAAAGTAAACAGGGGAAGATAAGCAAGCAGGGAACAAATTTTGCGGTTATAATGGGAAAAAAAACCTTTAAGCAAACATCTGCACTGTATATCCGCTCAGATGCTTTACTTTACAGGGTAGTCGGTATCTGCACGGGTTTCGCCGAATACCTGAATTCCATTTAAGGTGGTTTGGTAATATGATAAGTGATAAGCAGCCTGTGAGCTGTAGGGTCAGGGTTAGCAATCTGCGGCCGTGTCTCCCACTTCAAGCACTCAGGGATGATGCACCTTTTAATCTGCATAAGCAGCCTGGATAATTATTATATTAAAACCAAAATCGTCAATGATTTGGAGTAGTAATTAGTATTGCTGATAATAATATTACTAAGCAGAGGGAGAGGGGTATCACCTGACTGGAAGCTGTTGCTGCTGGCGTTGGGGTTCTGTCTGCGCAGGCAGAAGGGGCTGTCGTGGTTCTCTGGGATGCTGGGACAGCGGTCGGTCAGGAGCTCCATGAGACGTCGGCGTCGACGGAAGTTCATCCTGAACTGGAACAACAGCTGCCCATCCACGAAGGGACTCTGATTGGTCACTGGGGAAGGAGGAAACGCCAATAAAAAATGTCACCATCTACCAGTGGGATTATCTGCAGGATTAATGATATTCTTTGCTGAACCTGTGCTGTCCTTGCGAATTGGACTGATGTTTTATTTCGATACAGTACAGTAACAGAGCATGTGACTTTAGTGGGTTTCCTGTGTGATATCTTCTGCATAGATCCTTCAGATGGGGTGTAATCCTCAGCCTACGTGTGTTACTTTGTAAATAGTTCATATGCATGTGCATTTTGTTCTCTGTGTACAGGTATTCACCACCAGACGAGCATCCATGCAGGCTTTCTCAATGCAGACGAAAGCTGTTCATGCTATTAGATGCCCTAATACCCCATTTCCACCAATGTGGTGCTGGTGCCAGGGTTCTTCCCATTCCAGAACCGGGTTTGTGCATTTCCACTGGAAAAAACTGGCCCTGGATCGGAAAATATGGCTCCAACATAACACCATGGAAAAGCTGGTCTCAGAACTTGGAACCGTCAGTGGAAGTAGGACTGGCTATACTAACTGCTGCATTTACAAAAGTAATCATAAAATCGCAATTAAATCAATGGTAAAAAAAAAAAAATCAAAAACGTTACATACCCGTCATCCTTAGAGCATTCATCATGAAATATTAATGCTGTTTGTGCATGTTTATTATTGAAAGCAAACTTGCACATGTAATTTGTAGTGTCTTTAAAAGCAAAGGGTCAATGTTGCAGATAAGATGGAATAAAAAGATGGTTTGAAAGTGGCAAAGAGAATAGTACTTAATTTATTAAAGATTAATCAATGGTTCATGTTGTAATTTCATTGTTATTTCTCTAAACCGCCTAGCAAATCAGCTGAGTTGTGTTTTGTGATAGGGGCACTATCGCCCGCAAGAGGTCACATGATCCACCCACACATTCTCACATGGACTGTGTTTCTTAGATAATGGCAAACCGCCATGTCATTTGTGACGCTCAATGTCATTGCTGTCCTGAAACTAATGTTCCACCGCTGAGCCACCATCTCCGGACAGCACCTGCATTAATGACCAGTTCAGAAAGACTGACAGAAGGATGACGGAAGTGGAAGCTGCAGGGGCTCAGCTGACTACATCGATGTGGATAAGCGTCGATTTATCATCATCAGAAGCACATGTGCAGCAATCTTATGGCATCAGGTCGTCTGAAATGCTCTCTGGCGCAGCTTCTGTCATGTCAGACTGCATTCTAACCTGCGCCTGAGTTATAGACATGACTCCTCTGTTTGGGATTTCGGTCTGTGTCACCTCACAAAGACCATGACTGCTGAACCGTGAATCTTGTGAATTTTACACCATGAATCTGTGAATTTTAATGCCTGTTGACTGTTAACCTGACCGACAGACGTGATCAGCCCAGCCAGGACTCCCCCCTCTCCGCCCCGCACACCGGCCTCACCGTGTTGCAGGATGCCGTGTTCCAGCAGCCTCTGGCCCAGCTGCTCCGCCTCCTCTCTGTTGGCCACCTCCCCCTCCTGCAGCAGCCAATCCACAAACTCGGAAGCCACAAGTGTGCGGTCGTGGTTCCGCCCTCCCTCCTGGCGCGTCTGCATGGGGCCGTTATCTGTACTCATCAGTCTGTGGTGAGCGAAAGTGGGGGGGGGGGGGGGGGGTTAATCAGGCCATCGTGGGAGGGGGCAGTGAATGTTCAAACAGTCACTCTAAGCAGCTGTGTGGAGGGGGGGGGGGAACAATTAGGTGCAGACTGTAGAGGAGGATTGGGGCGCAATACTGGGGTGAAAAAACTAATGTGGCTTAAATAAAATAAACATAACAGACTGAAAAAGTGTTTGTAGAAGTGGTGTGCTCCAACAGTGTATAATAATAATAATAAATAATTATAATAATAATAATAATAATAAGGATGTGTTCTGTATTTCCAATTTTGGAACAAGGGGTCTGACAGTCATATGCAAGTCTCTGCCGGAGAGAGGGAATTAAGCACCAGATGCACCAGAATTGGGGGGGGGGGGAGCATGTACAGGCCACCTCTGACCCACAGCCGTAATGGCCCAGGACACACGGGACACAGACACCAGTGCCATGTTTAACAGGGAGGCAGGGTGTTTTTAGCAGGATGCGATTTAGGAGGGCAGACGTCTGCGGAGACCTCCGGAAATGGGACATTCGCTCATGGCTTCGGGGGTCCAACCCTCCCCACAGCAATTAAACACATCCCTGTGCAGCTCAGAGCCATAACCCACTTTGTGGCGCTAGCACAACACTACAGGCCTTTATAGCCGACGTGAGCCTCTTTCGCATTTGTAACCCCGCCCACAGTCTGTCATCTCATTTACCAAAATATCGCTGATGTATGTTTAAGGCTTCTAACACAAACACTAGCGTCTCCAAGCTGGTGACAGCAGACCCTGTGTAAGCCGATTTGGAACACAGCAAACATTTCTACGTATCTCAAAATATTTTTGAAGGCTGAATACAAATATAGCATAAACTGCCCAATCACTAGATCATCACTAGATCGATTTTGGGTTATTAAAAAACAGGGAAGTAGGAACTGTAGCAAGATGTGGGTTTGTGGTCCAGAGAAGGTTAAGCTTCGGTTCTTCCTGGGGAAAGATTAGCATCAGTAATACGCATACAGTTGTAAAAGTGTGTCAGTGTAAAAAGTGAGCTATTTGAGGTGCTACCCTGTGCTCTGCTAACCTAGTAAGATGCTAAACATAAAATACAGACTGCAAAAGTTTCAGGGTCTGTTAACACATAACATACGTGTAGCTGGAGGACCGTGATTGCGATCACCTTCATCTCATATAGCTTCTACGGACTGGCATCACCCGTGTCTTGGAACCCGAAGCATCTACACAGGGTTCTACCCTGGAACCTTCCCTCATTACTATAAACCAGTAGTCTAGAACTGAGCTCTTAGCCTGCTTAACCATGGTCAGAGAGGACTGTATTTGACACCACTGTACAGACACCCAGCTAATATCGAGATAGCAGCGGAGGCGTTGTGCAAACCAAATTTGTGGGTAGGCACCATTTCAAAACCACACGCAAGATATAAAAAATACACATACGGAAATATTTACTGCTACTGAGATGTGTCGCGAATGTTAAGACGTGAGAGCTTGCAGGTGATGTGTAGAGTTATCGGTAGAAGAGAGGAATGACCGGGGATGGGGGAGGGGATTCGGAGATGCCATCTGACAGAGAAAGTTCACTCATTGGTCAGATTTCCCTGACTGCAAGTATAACGATGTGTTATTCATAGTAAATGTAGGCATGTTATTGGTTGACTGAATAATCAATTTATACTTTACATTTTTAAGAAATATTGGGTAGGCAAAAACGAAATTGATTGGCACAACATCACTGGTTTGCACTGCGCTACCACTGGCTACTGCTGATCATTCACCACGAAACAGTGATAATATTCCCGGCGTCTGGCCTTGATGTGGAATTCCCATGACGCATACTTCTCATAAATCCTCTGTCCTCGCATAAAAACCTTGGCTTCGTTGTCCATCGGGAAGGTCCCGTCGTCTATCCTGAAACGGTAAAAAAGCTTCATGTCCTTGAACTCCATGTGTTCATCGCACACTGTGAAATGAAAAGAAAGACAGACTCAGCGTACAGGACTATACCACAAAGCAATGGTTAGGGCACCGTAAAATGAAAAGCACGCATCTGAAATTAGAGGAACTGTACATCCTGAAGAAAGAACGTCCAGAGAAAGCACAAGAAGTGAAAGCTTGGTGTGTTCTATTCAATAAAAGAAGGTTACCACCAGATTGAGTACCAGCAGTTTATTGTCTTCTGTGCAGAAACAAAAAACCAATACTTAAAGTCTGTGGGCAGGCGAAGGTCAACTGGGGTCCAACAAAACAATGAAGGTTAAAGCAAAGTCATAGATAAAACACAAAATAGGGAAGTCATACGCAAAGAACTAGAAACTGGAACTTAGGATCAGAATGTAGCTGAGGAACAAGGAATAAGACTTTGTAACTGGAGTAAAGGCACGGGGTTTAAACATCCAAACATCTAGAAAGGTACAGGAGAAAATAACAGGCTAATGTGGATGGAATATTGAGGACTGTGAGAGGGTGAGACCACACTGCATATGGGTGACAAGCAGCCTAACTTAGTGAATGGTACCATTATGAAAACAGGTTCCAACCTGATATCAATCGGAGGCCTACCATGATGGATGATGCTCTGGTCCAGAAGCTTCTGCATGATCCTAATACCAGTCACTCTGTCAGGGGCTTCCTTATGTTCTATAAGCCAATCAATGAGCTCCTTGGCCACGAAGCAGTTGGGATAGGTCCGGAGGTGATGTCTCCGGTCTTTGATGACCTTCCCTTCATGTAAACACAGCCTAAACAAAGAAGAAAATAACATGGCAGTAATGTTTCTGGGGCCTAAATCACTTTTGGGCTCCCTGCTCCCCCTAGTGCAATAACTGTGTGTGGACAACAGGGGGCCAAAAACCCTGGGGGCCCCACACAAATGTGTCGTTTGAGTAGTAGGAAATGCTGCCGCTGAGTACAAGATGATGAGGATACATTATTAATTTGATAACTTTATTTAGGTCAGTTTACATATGAGGTTTACAAAGTCACACAATCAATAACCAATAGGAACACACTTTACGGAGTACAAAAACTGGTCACCGGATTACCAGACCAAATACACCCTAACAGTTAAAAAATTTGTGGTATTAAGTCAGATTTTGTTGTTTATATTGTGGAAGGCTGCTCATTTTTTCGCCTCGCCCTGGGTATTTTGGCTCATCTCCTACTTTAGATGTGAGTCAAGCTGTCAAATCTGTTATTAAGTCAACAGAGACAAGCTTTCTGGCAACCATCCAAAGCGAGAAAGTTTCTTCAAAAGTTTTACCCGGGATCATAGACACCTCAGTATCTCACCAAGACAAGTTTGAAATCTTACGTCACTAATAACGTATGCAAACTCAAATATGAGGTTATCATAGTGTCCAATCGCCACAGATCAAACTACCCATAAACACATTATCTGTAAATAACTTTAATATTTATAGTACAGGCAAGAAGACCAGAAATCTTTTGTACCTCTATCTATAAACCAAAGAACATTTAAACCAGGAATAAAGTTCCACTTACAGTTTACACAAATAAACAGTTATGATTATGGATGATTCAACAAATCAGTAGATTTACCCATACTGTAATTCTCATTCCACATCAGTATTTACACCAGGAGTCCCATCATCTAAAAGCTGAGAAATCATTGTGCTGTTTCTTCCACAGAAGAACATTTGTCTTCTGTGAACAGTGATACAAAAAAACTGGACTCCATATCCAGGATGTTGTCATGAATGTAACCATAAAGAGTTTTGCACGCAGTTTGCTGAAAATGCATAGCTTGTTGTGAATGTGGATAAATTAGACTTAAATTTGGCTTTTGAAACCAAAGGCAGTTCCAAAAACCCTTTACGGATTGTTAGCAGATTTTGGGTAAAATTTATGACTATGATTTAGCCACCATGTACCTCTTATATTGGAGGTTCTGGAAGCTCCATTCAGCTTAATGACACCAGCGGTCCAGCTGCACTCCATCGCCAGTTAGACATTAACCCATGTAAACGCTGTTCTGTTTTCTATCAGTGGTACATTACTCACCCATTGAGAGTGACCTCATTAATATTACCCCAACCAAGCAGTGTGTACATGGATCTGGAGGGAGGGGGGGCATATATCCACTGTGGGGCTCCCAAGAAACCCATCCAGCATTGAGGTGCCAGTCTTCAGACACAGTGCTGCTATTCATCCAACCCTTCTATCATTTTCTCTAACACAAGCAACTCAGAGGATTATCTAACTCTTTTAGCAAATGCATAAATTTACTTAAGGGCTATTGAGGTCGATACTGTCCCCAGACAAGGATGATTTACAAAATCGGCATCTTAGCACGTGATTCCTTACAAGGTTTTACTCTGCTTAAATCGGCCTGTTTTCAAGCACCATGAGAGTTGAAAATGGTTTCTGCACCCCCCAGCAAAAGTATCAGGATGACTGTTGTGCTTAAGTGCTGCCTTTGTACAATGAAAAAATTGCATCACCAAAAGATATATTTATGAAAATATGGTCGAACAAGACAGTAATTTCTCAAGATGAAGTTCCAGGATTTTTTCCAGATCAACAGGATGCTCCAGGATCCAGTATTTCAAAGAGTCTCCACAGTTGAATTTCAAGTTCAATGACAATAGAAATATAATTGCCGAAAATCTACGGAAGAATAATAATAATAATTATTAAATATGGACAGCTCGGACTATACACATTTTTCAGCTGACCTACAGGTATCCTGATACCTGCTTCTCTATTATCTTTATTCTTTATCACCTTCATCTTTATATTTCAGCTAAATAAGGGATGAGCATCAACCAATATAATGATTAAGACTTTACGGCTGTTCACACTAACCAATACCAGCCGAACTGCCCAACTGGTTTTCCCGCTGAAAACCAAGACCGATATGGACCAAAATCGAATCGTTATCTATAGATGTATTCCCAACTATTGGTCGACATTGATGAACTGCGTCATTAGCACTTAGGTGAGATATGCTGTTACAAGAATCCAGGGCTGTCAACTTTGGTCAGCCGGCTGGCGTGAGATTTTCGATTTCAGACAAGTCCGCACACGCATTTACACCTATATGACAGTTTTATTACCTTGTAAATAGTCTGTAGGGTTTGCAAACTACCCCAAACGCTTTTGATGCAGCTAATTTTAGGTTTATAATGTAATAATATAAATTTGGCGAAAGATTTCTTGCGCGAGCGTGAGTCCGAAAGCGTGAGTGTCACGCCAGATGTGTGAGAGTTGGCAGCCCTGAGAATCAGTAAATAGAATTATATTTGCAAAATATTTTGCTAAAAGTTAAGGTTTGGGATCCACACCCTGAAAGGAAACCCAGCGTATAAGAGGCACCTGTACTAATGTTAGACGGACCTGTATCTCCACTCTAATCGTGACTCTTATCATAGTAAATTCTCTCATATGTGACTGCATGATTTGTCTCCTTTCACGAACTACAGATCGCATCCTTATGTATGATGTGGAAACCGGTCCTACCTCAGTTGCTCCCCGGTGACCAGGACTTCAGCCATGCGCTCCAACGCCGCAGACTTGCCCTGCAGAGACTTCCCCAATCCCTCCATCATCCACAAAATATTTATGAAGAATACAGTGTACGAAGAAAAAGATCGATGCAGAAATCTAATTTCTCAAATTCTGCCGGTTGTAGAAACTGATGCCGCAGTAGGGGGTCGAAGACCTGTCTGTCACCGCCGACTATGAGCGATGCCCTCAGATGAGCTCCTCCTGCGGCCAGATCTCCTGCACAGCACAGATCACTTCATGCTCCGCCACATCCCTCTAGGTTTCAAAACTGCCAGTGAGAAATGTCACTCAGCCGTTTTCTTGGTATAATTAAGTTCGAAACCTTCCAGATAAACTGCTGTAGTTATCTCCGTGAAAACGACCAGTAGCACGGCGACAGGGTTCTTCCTTAAAAAAGTATCAGAAAGGTATGTGTGCGTTTAGTTAATGTTTCTGTATTTCCTCCTGGTGCGCAGTGGTCGTCCAGCTTGGCAGTGAAACACCGGCATGTATCCGCCGCTTTATCTGTGCCGCTGCTCGGCTCGCTGGACAACTTTCCACAGTCCAAGTTCACAAATGTTTCGTTTACTTTTCGATGTCAGACGAGGACAAAATGCAGCCGTCCTGCCTCCACAGCTCCATGTCCAGCTTGCTGCAGGTGCGAACTTGAAGCGGCTTTGCACGGGTATGTCCGCAGCTTGCACGTTGTCAGAGGCAATCACTGTACCAGGAATACACTCATTTTACCTTACAAGCTTATCCAGTCCTGTTCAGTAATTTTTTTTTTGTCAGCGGCTGTATTGCAATATACGAGGAAACAAGATTTCTTCTCATTTTTAACGTTTTCTAATAATCATATCAATATGATTATATCCGTCCACAACTCCATTAACTCTTTTTTTTTCTTGGGAGGAAAAATAGACTTAAATGAATAAATAATCTAAACCACGTTTAAGAAATCTAGATAGGTGCTGTTTTTCCAAACGTAATACGTATGATGTGGGTTATATTTCCAGTACATGTTATTGTAGATAAAGTTCAGCTTGCTCATGCACGTTAACACCCTTTCTGCTTCCTCCAAAAAAAAAAAAAAAAAAAAAAAAACGATATCTGCAAAAAGTGACGGAATGCATGGCCACATCACGTGACACTTGGCCGTCCACAAAATTGTCTGTCGTGTAGACTCGTGGCTGAAGCCAAACACTCTTGTGCTGTAGGTGGCGGCAAAGTTCTGCTGTGGAATTTGTAGGTTGCTACCAATTTGTGTCCATCATTAGCTAAATCCCTATTATTAGGCCTACCATAAAAGCTATGGTAAAGTGTTAGTCTTGTGAACACTGAATACTTGTACAGATTAGTTGAATTGAACTCTTCTAAGTACTTTTTGTTGTTCTAAGGCCAGGTGAGATCTTGTATATCTTTAAAAACTGGTATTCAACTGAGTGGAGGAGTCCCAGACGTCAATGTTTCACACTATCCTTGGAACTCAAGTCCGACTCTGTCTCATGGTGGTCCTGCAGCAAAGAGCCTTTGATCCTGAGTGTCAAAGATCAGGGTCCTGGCGTTCAAGATTCCATCTTTAATGAGGAGAACAACAGTTTTACTCATCAACAAAACTGTCACAACCAAAGTAGAACATTCTAGGAATGGCTTACTTGTGGCACCTTACCTTGTGTCTCTGGAAGAATATTCTCAGTAAATTGATGATATATTCAGTTTAAGGCATTAAGAGGCACAGTCAGTTCCCTGAGGAATGTACCTTGAAAAGCTCAGAATATTTGAGAAAATGAGGTTTTCGTAAGCTTACTCCAAGGTTGTGCCCAAGTTTGGTTAACACCTAAAGGTATCCCACCACGGTCTTATGCTCCAGTGAATCAGGCCAGACTGGACTCTAAGGTTTGGACTTTACGTTCAGTTCCAGAAGTTGAATGCTGCATGTCTGGATATCATCACCAACCAGAGCAAGCCTAAGTACTTTGTAACACAAATGTGGATTTACTGAGAAATACATGGACTGGTGATGTAAAACCACAGAGCACATATAAAAAAAAACGAATGCACTGCAGCTGACATTTTCAATATAAAATATGCAAGTACTGTACATAAAAGGCAGAAAATCCAGGAAAGAACAAGCCAGCATGTTTCTTTAGCAAGCAGTGGGTCACTGCAGGCTGGCTAAGACTAGATGTGACTATAAAACATTTACCTTTAACCTGTTATTAGTTAATGTTCTACACACGTAGACACATGTTCAAACTTGCACGGCAGAAAGGCTGCGCTTCGACACCGAAGTGACTAATTTAAATATTTACATTCATTTAGTAAATGTACCCAAGAGTTCATGGTTCAGAGCTGCTTCATTGTAATGACCTGAATTTAAATCTGGTCTTTTAATATGGAACTACACATTGCTGGTCACTATGTGCCTGTGAGATGCAGCCACGATAAACTCAAAAACAGAAGAGAGAGCAACAGAGATCTTGCACAGGAAAGCCAGTTTGCTGATCAGTCTCCTTCTGTCTCACACAAAAGAGCTCTGTGCATCATTGGCTGTGGGCCGACATCATGTGAACATTAAGTTCAGTCTTTGGCAATGGGGAGGGGGGGGGGGGGGGGGTCTCCTGTGGCGAAACTCGTTGGGCTGTTCACTGACATGGGAACCCTGAGTATCAAAATTTGTTAGCTGGTGGTTTAATATAATTACAAATATTACCTGAATTATGTAATTCTACAATTGTTCCCATTTTTCTGGAGTGTGTGTGTGTGTGTGTGTGTGGGGGGGGGGGGGTTAATTAGCCTAAAAGCACTTATGATGGTCGCCACACTTGTTAAAACACCAAAGTGACAATGTCCTGCAGTGTATATTGTGGCAGGAATATAGACAAACTATCCAGATATCCACATGCGCCATAACAGCTGGTGATCATCTTAGTGACCGATGTTGAGCAAAAACTCAACAACTGATTCTGGTTCAGAGAAATCAGCAAACACAAAGTCCAGCCCCGCTCCACTGGCCCCATGGAAGGAATCAGTTCACTGTTTGTAAATGCATCTGTATCTAGGATACACACTTACCCTCATTTTCGTTACCCAAAATAATAGTTCTCCAAAGTGCATAAGAAACATCTTAATCCGATACAATACTGCCCTCTAATGTCGTTACTTATACACGTCATGAGCCGCTCGTAACGAGCTTTAGAGTTTTATTTTCTATTTCTTTTGTTTTCTTTACTGTTGGTTATTTTTTCATATCAGCGTTTCCATTCTTAGTCCTGCAGGATGACATTATAAGTACCTGACCGTCAAATTTGCAATAATTAGCAATGAAAAGTATTAAAACTGTGATTCACAATATTTTGTTCTTTTTTGGGTCTGTTAATCAGATTATCAGGTGACTAGGATAAGCATTTAGAAGATGGATCGATTGGTGGATTAAAAAAACCAAATCAGATTAAAGCTAGGAACGATTATTTTAATATCCTGTTGCCAATTAGTCAAAGTCAGGGGAGTTTCTTGCTGTTGAAAAGATCAGGAGCTAAGTCAAGAGATCGGACCTAACGACTCCATGGTCCAAAATCTGCCCTAGTAATACCGTATAAACAATACTAGAATACCAAGTATTACGTAAGGTACGTAAACGTAACATTATAAATATAAACGTGACGTTTGGTTAAGACCGTTTTTAATTTTATACATTATTTTTCTGTTTTTATTTTTTACAACAGAAATAGACGAGGAGGATAATCAAACTGCTCAATATATTTTATTATTCATATTTTCTATTTAAACGGGCATATTGTTATGAATTGTACGTAATGTTAGAGGGGTAAATACAAGTTTTATTAAAATGTACAGTATTAAACAGGCCTACTGCAGCCGAGCTAGAGGTGCAGGTTAGAGGAGCCGCTGCTTCCCGACGCAGCCGCGAGGGCATCCGCCAGGACACGCTGCTGAAGCGCAACTGAGCATTTAAGGCCGACCAATATGAAACGAGGTACTTGCCTACAGCCTTGGATGAGAGTTTGTGTTACAGAAAGTTCTCAAGGTATCCAGCAAACAATAGACCTCACTGTTAGATTTAAAATTAATCAGATTCAGGGGCTTTTCTGACCCTGTTAATTCTCTGCAGTCTGTAGTTACCAGGCGTTTTGCACACCTTTCATTGTTTACTACATCGAAAGTGCAATCATTTTATAAATCACTTCTTAGTTATTATTTAACTAGCTTATTCTGCCAGACATTAATTAAAATATGAATTTCATAGCAATTATATGCAATTCACTTGGATTTTCCAGAGCAGATCGAAAGGCTCTTGTACACCTGTGGTCTTTATTTTTTATACAAACTACTTGTATTCCTAAGTGTATCTGTTAATGTAACATTGAAAAGTAACATTGACACTCTGCAGCGCTAGATCTCTGCAGCGCTATTTGCTCTGTGCTTGTTGCTGAACTCCCATTTCTAGATGAATAATGGATATCTTGAATCAGTCGCTTAACATTTTTATCTCTGTGAAATTAGGCCAGCAGAGAATTTACATGACGGTCGTCTGAGACAGTTTAGGTAGTCCTGGCATTTTGAAGCCAAAACAAGCTTCTGCATAGTAACCTACTGAAGCGTTTGGTACCGAGGCACCAGAAGGCTGCTGCCTTAGAGCTTCTCAGCACCTCCATGAAGGACCAAACTGCTGAATGAAGCAGGCAAGTATGTGGCAGCAGTTATCTGCAGTGAATGTGCGTCACTCTCAGGTACGAGCTCCTGAACCTGCGGGTCACCCATGGGAGGCAGAGGAAGGACAAAGCGATGAAGACGATTACAGATCCTACCCACGCCAACAATGGCCCGTCTGGAAACCAAAACCAAGAAACCGAGGATGAGTTTCGAGCCTCTGGCTGTCCGTGAACTGAATAAGACTCCCAGTGACTAACACCAATTTTCACACTTTATACCATCCCACACTTTCATTATATATTATTATTTTACCCTGCTGAGGTGAATTGGAGTTGCCAGATTGTGTGTAGGTGTGAATGTGAACGTGCCCTGTGATCAGGTGCCACCTTGTCCTGGGTTTTTCCCTGCCTGGTGCCTGTAGCCTGTAGCTGTGGGCCCCTGTGATCCTGTATGGAACAACCGGGTATTTAATGTGGATGGACGCTTTTTTATTCTACAACTACTAATATCCACCTATTTTCCATATATGGGGTCACGGGGGTGGGGGGGGGGGGGGGGGGGGGGGGTCCTGAGCCTATCCCGGGGGCTACAGGCATAAGGCAGGGAACAACCCAGGATGGGACATCAACCCATCACAGAGGAAACCCCATGATGACACAGGGAGGACATGCAAACTACACACACATGGACCAATGGGGAGACTCAAACCCGGGTCCCAGAAGTGTGAGACAGTAGCACTGACCACTGCACCACCATGCCACCCTACTACTGGTATCCCGGTTCTGTAATGTCTCATTTTGCAGTCATGTGGTTTTTATTATCTGCTCTATTATTTATTCTTATTTTATTTTAATTATTTTCTCTGCATTACATATTTCCTTTCAAGCATGGCCCTGAAGTGAAAAACATTTCATTATACAAATGCGCAGTGCATGTCTGTGTGAGTGACAATTAAAACGTGAAACTTGCACGAGTATTCGTTCAGACTGGAAGACAGGTAAAGCCCAACACAAAACTCTACAGTTTTAAGCAAGATTACACCATGTTGTTTCAGTTCAATTGTGCAGCTTCTGTGTTGGTAAAAGCCAAAAAAGGTGAATATTCTGTCATAGGGAATTCTGGAGAAATGCTAGAGTCATTACTGTTAAATCGGCAATAGCTGCTGCCTGATCGTACTTAACTATTCCAGTAACAGCCTTGAGGACTCTACTGTTGAGCAAGCATTTAGTTTGCATTGTGACGGAGTAGTTGACCGGGTAAACAGCTGTCGATGCTGAGGCCACTCTGCTCTGCTTTGCACACATGGATGAGACACCCGGCCACCCATCTCTAAGCAAAATCGAGGGTCATAACTGCTTTTGTCCATTCGGTTGCAGAAGACCCTTGAGATTTGCATGGCGTCTGACCGTGTGATCCCATGAATGGACTGGTGTGCCTTTTGGAAGCTCCCCCACCTTGGGTTCTGGGCCCTGGGGGTGCCTCCTTTGCTTCACTGCCTTAGTTACTTCACATGCCCACTTTTGGGACTGGAAGCAGTGGGAGGTCTGGAAATGTGATCTGCTGCACCTCCCAGCATGCTGAGAAGGTCATGCAGACGCCCGTGAGAGGCAGAGCACAACTCTGCATGGCCACTTCTGCGTTTAACCATCTGCACCCAGGTCTCATGTTTCCCGTCTTCTGAATGCTCTCTGCGATCGTTCACACTCAGGGGTTTGGAGAGAGACCGTCTCTTTAAGCTAGAGCCGCGGAATCCGCGATTCCCACACCATCTCCCACATGGGATAGGTGCTGCATCAATATTTTACCCAAATTTTACTATCAAAACACATTTTTTTACATTACTATAACCACGAACCTGGATTATACCTATAATCACTTGTGTCTTTCACTCAGTTGTCTTTATTTTCTCATTGTAAAAATTATTTCGTGTTGTACATGAAATGTTTTCAAGTTGCCATAAAATCCCTGTTGATCATAAGAACAGTTCGCTATGTCCCCGATTAAACTGAACGATGTTTCTTGTTCTGCAACTCAAAACATTTGTCTTCAGATCGCATTAATAAACTTTTCCATGATCTATCTCTATGTCACTATATATCTCACAATACAGATTGATTACATGCACTGAAAAACATTTTAGAAACTCATCAAAATTGGTTGATTTTCATTAAAATTTCATTTGTACTAAGCAGGAATGTATATTTGACAAACAATAAAGCCTAGTTTTGTCCAAGGATTAAAGTTCTTTTCTACAGATTTACACCTCTTCTGCTCACACCAATAAATCTTCCTGCAAATACAACGGATGACATCACAATGATGAATAGGACGGTGAATACTACCTTTGCTATTTTCATAAGAGTACTAATTTGTGGAGATTCTTCTGATTAATTACCTTCTTTTAACTGAACAATGATCATCTGTTCACAAATGCTGAATTTACAATATAAAAAAGACTTAAATAGAACTTTTGGTCCCATTTTCTCAAATGACACCTGGACCTTCTCCTTCAGCAATGACTAGGTACAGGCAAGCAAAAATCGCCCAGGTTAGATTTAATAAGCCAGAATGTTTTATACCAAATCAAGAAAAAAAGTAGTTATTTTAACAGTTTTTGAGATACGGCTCTTGGAATAATCTGATGAGTGGAATTTCAATTCCCACAGCTGATTGTGGGATTTTACAAATCTCTTGAATAACTTTGTTTTCAGGCTTTTTGGTCCCTGTTTTAGATTTTTTTTTTGTAGACTAATACAAGAAAATTGTGGGTGAAACATAGACCAATATTTTTGGTCAAAACATAGAAATTTTGACTTCAGTGTGGCCTTTGAAAGAAATAATAACATATGCTAGCAAAAGAAAAAGGAAATTATCCTATAATTACATAAAAATGTTAAGTTGATTCTTAAGTGTTTTGGTCCAGTCAAGGCACTTACCTGCCGGTACCTACTGCCATGTGACATGGGACTGAATATTTAACAAATAAACATGCCATCTTTATGCAATGAAAAAACAATATTATATCCTATGAAGTATCCACATTCCTTCTATGTATTATATAAAGTAGGCTACTTGCTGCTAACTCAGATTTAATGCACAGGGTTCGCCACGCGTTGTCCTAAACAGCTTTCGGCTCTTACATGCAGACAATATTAGATACCTGAACTTGAGTTGCAGCACAAACGCTGACTCCCACTCTGGGGCGATTTATTGGGTCTGTCAGGGGTTATCCTGTGCGTAGGAGCAAGACCACAACTGAGGGCTGACTGCGTTTAAAAGGACATCTGACCCGCAAATAGCGCCATTGTCACACTGGGCAGCTGTCACTAGCATCAGTCTGAACGCTGGTGGGGATAAAACCAGTACAGGAGACAGGAGCCCAGGAGAAAGCAGAAGGATCCCCGGAAAGAGGAGCCCGGGCTGCAGAGTCAGAAGCGCGTCTAGGTCCGAAGCAGCAGCACCGGCAGCTGGCGAGGGTCATATCGGAGCTGGGATCATGTTGCTGGGAAAACTGGTACGGTAAGACTCCTTTGTGGTGCTCTTAGTGCCTTAAACACTCAGCTTCGGATAGGAGATTTTAAGACGTTAAAGTTTGTGTAGTAATAACCGGAGTGCGCCTGTTGTATATTTGCTCTCCATTTAAACCGATGTGTACTTTGAATCTCACGCGTTTCTGTCCCAAAGACAGATAACCTAATTTCGCAATTTCACCAATCCTGAAGTGCTGTTTACTTCCCGGATAATCACCGTGCCAGTGCCTCGCATTAACTCTGCATTTATACGGGCTTCAGTTATGGGCGCTGAAACGCCGCTCATTGTCCCGTTTCGGAGGGACTCGTGTTGAAACTAGTCAACCCGGCCATGTCAAAAGTGGGGCATTTACCTTTGTCTGGGTGAAAACGTGCGTAGACTTGCTCATTACGGGATCGTTAATGATTACCTGCTCCCACACGTGTGTCTTGATGCCTGTCAAACTCCGGGGAGGCTGTTCAGGGATTTACCCTATATGCAAAGGTGCAAGCCCAGGGAGCAATGCAGATGGGAGAAATCGGGGGAAACGTGTAGATGCATGGCGTTTGATTTATTCTTATCCGTAGGTGCTGCATGCTGTCGCCTTGCTTACTGCACCCAATGTTTGCTTGGCGTATGTTTTTCAAGCAAAGCGCTCAGGAGACTGGGATGAAAGCCCGCCGCTTTCCAAAGGTTTGGGGAGAGTCTTCCCGCACACACAACCCTCATTGAAATTTTTCGTATGTTATAACCTTTTAAAAAACTTTATCATAATGAGTTAAAAAAAAAAAAAATCTCACACACACTGGATGGAAGGAAATAAAAAAAATGTATACATATAATATATAATAAACACTATATTTTGTGTCATTAAAGAAAATTATGGTGGAGATATTTGAGGAGAATGTTGACATTTATTTAGTTATATTGGGTGAATGTATTATTCAAAAGGACCTATATAAAATTGTTTATTCAGCTGTTTTACGGATTGCGTACTATTTATTAAGACGAATACAAGGAGAAAGGCTTACTTTAGAGTGCTGAGGTTGAAAGTGCTAATTAATAGTAAAACTCAAATTAAATTACATAGGATGCTTCGCATGTCCCCGCAGTCACGTTGTGCTAAAGCTTTGAGACGCGTTTTGGCTCTCGCCTGTCCTCCGTAGACCGTAATGACCGTGTCCCCCCCGAGAGCTTGTGGGTCAGCTCCTCGGGTTCCTGCAAGAACCGCTGCTTCGAGCTGGAAGAAGCGGAGCCTCCGACCTGCCGCTGTGACAACTTGTGCAAGACCTACAATAGCTGCTGCTTGGATTTCGACGAGCACTGCTTAAAGACGGGTAAAAACATTATCGCGGGGTCCTGCTTCATGCTCGGAGCTCGTAGAGTTTTCAGGAAGAGACTTTTCTAAACTTTCAATGTTATTTAGCACAATACAGACCACGTTCTTGAGAGCGACAGCCATAACACCCAGCAGCCCTCGCAGTCATACCACCTATGGTAAAGTGGTGTTTCGCTTGATGCTTTAACAGCCGGTGGGTTCGAATGCACCAAGGAGCGCTGTGGAGAGACCCGGGACGAGGCACATGCCTGTCACTGCTCCGGAGACTGCCTGGAGAAAGGGGACTGTTGCTCCAACTACAGCATCCTCTGTAAAGGTGACATGGTCTGCTTCTGGCATGATGGTGGTTAGAAACTAGATTGAAATTCCAGCACCTTTTGTTGGGTAACGGTAGCAGTAATAACAGCCTAATAGACATTAGTGTTCTTGATTCAAGATATTAGCGACATTAACGGTGGACAGCGTATCCAGCCCAGGTTCCCATTGTTGCGCCTTTGCGCGGCTCCTGTGACTGGTACGCAGTGGATCCCACCGCAGCGCCCTCTGCTGGACGCTCTCTGACACTCGGCCTCTTGTCTCGTGTCTCGTTCGGCAGGGGACACCCCGTGGGTACAGGACGAGTGTGAGGAGATTGAGAAACCAGAGTGCCCTGCGGGGTGAGTGGTCATGTGACCTGCAGATGCCCTCCTGTCCTGTAGACTGAGGCCCTGTCTGAGGCTTTAAAGTGTGCTTTATATACCTTATTCTGGTAATATCTTCTAATGGTACAGCTGCAAAATCCACTGGCTTAGGAGATGCTAATGGGCCTGTCCGTTTGCTTTAGGTTTGTCCGGCCACCTTTGATCATGCTCTCTGTCGATGGATTCCGAGCCACCTACCTGCAGAAGGGAAGCACGGTGATCCCGACCCTGGTCAAATTGAGTAAGAGACACGTCCTCGTGCAGTGAGCCAGCTGGGGCTTTGGCTTACGGTCCGCTAGAGGACTAATCCCTGAGCTCACCCTTATACGGACAGGATTTTTACTGTTTCCTTAAAGCATCTCTCTTTTTTTTGAGGTTAATGTACTTTGTACATTGTCCCTGTTCAAATAAATAAAATAAACTAAACTAAATGAAAAGGCAGGTACAGCTAAGACCGAACCCCTCTTGTTTTAGAAACGTGTGGCACTGCCGCTCCGTATATGAGACCTGTGTACCCCACCAAAACATTCCCCAATCTCTACACTCTGGCTACGGTAAGGATCTTGCCTCCCTTTTCCGTCTCACACGTGCTTCCCACCCATCCGACTCCATCAGTTACATTTTCGTTTATTTACAGACACTTTTATCCAAAGTGACATGCATTCGAGAAAGCAGAGTCAGCCGGTCCCTGGAGTAACTGGGGGTTAAGATCTTTGCTAAAGGGCCCAGTAGTGAAATCATGGNGGGGGGGGGTTCAGATCTTTGCTAAAGGGCCCAGTAGTGAAATCATGGCGCCAGTCGTGGGTTTTGAACCAGAAACTTTTCAATCACAGACAGTGTCCTAACCCAGTGATCCACCCACATGATACTCAGATGGAATGCCGTGACCTTTCTGAGAATGTATTTGAAATAATCTTTTCCACTGGGATGTCTTACCTGATGTATTTATTTATTTTTAAACGCAGGGCCTCTATCCCGAATCGCATGGAATAGTTGATAACTCGATGTACGACCCCGTGTTTGACGCGAACTTCCTCCTGAGAGGTCGAGAGAAGCTGAATCATCGCTGGTGGGGAGGCCAGCCTGTGAGTCTTGGGCCCCCCAGCCCCCATCCCCCCCCGGTGCCGCTCCCGTATGGCTGATCTCCTCACTGGGGCGGCCTTTTCCTACTCGCACAGTAAACGTGGGAGTGCTGGTGTGGTTTCTTATCGGTCTGTGAAACATAAAGATTGCTGAGCTGTGCATATTCCAAAGAAAGACTTTTCGCTGACTAAGGTAGCAAGTAGTTTTGTTCTGAGTTAATCACTTTATATTTGATGACACGACTGAATACACAGTGTTTGGGACGAAGATTTTCACAACTTGTTTCATGATGGTTTCAAAACTGAATTACAATGGGAAACACGTAAAATCATGTAGAGGATGATATCACAGGTTTTTCATGCACTAAGCTTTAATCTTGCCTTGTCTGAAGATCTGGATCACTGCTGTCAAGCAAGGAGTGAAGGCTGGGACCTTCTTCTGGCCTGTGTAAGTGTGTGTGTGTGTGTGTTCATACAAGTCTGCGGTTCATTTACATGGCTGTTCAGTGCATCTTTCCATGTCCACCTAAAAATGAGAGCATTGCGCTGTGTTAGTCGGCCCCCTTTCTGTGTAACTCATAAGCAGTAGGATGCGTTGGGTCAGTCCAGTGTCCAGACAAAGGGTCCCTCATTCACAGCACAGACACGCCATTGATGTGTGAGAGCATTCAAGGCACGGGGGTGATGGGGGGGGGGTGGATTTCTGACTTAAAAAGTGTAAAGAACAAATGACGTGGTGGGTACTGTGCCAACATGTGGGGGTATTCTACTCACCCTGTAGTAGGGGGGTTAGCAAATATTTACACCTGAGTTTTAGTGCCAAGGTCAGAATGTTTGTATCAGCAGAGAGTGTCTGGGAGACAGGGTGTTCTGCAGTGTCTGTGGCTGGTTTGTGTTGTATGTGTCCTGTGTCTTGAGAAGGTTAGAACAATATGCACCTATGGAAATCCCGGAGTCAGATTTCCTGTACTGCGATGGGGAAGCAAACGTGCTCCCCTCACCATCATCGCTGTAATATTACACTGTGCTATTGCCTTCACTATGAAGACCGATAGACAAGAAGGTTTGTTTTTAAACCAGAGCTGTTAGCGAGTGTTTTTTGTATTCGGTGGTTATCAGAGATTTTGCTGTGCTCAGCTACATCGTGACAGCCGATTGTCTGTCTGCCGGCTGCCTTTCAGCACGGCACGCCGACTAATAAGCACACGCCTTTTAAAAGGCCGACAGAACCATTGACCCACGACGAGGTGAATGAATACGGGGCCTCTGTTACATTATCCCTGCTTTTCCACAGGGTGATTCCACTGGAGAGGAGAATCCTCACCATCCTGCACTGGCTTCACCTGCCAGATGATGAGAGGTAGGCCTCAAACCAATCCCTGCGCAGAGAAGCCAGACATTCTGTCCCCTTTTCACTAAAAACGATGAGTAACTGGGTCTTTACCCATTGCAGGCCCTATGTGTACGCAGTCCATTCTGAGCAGCCGGACACCTTCGGCCACAAGCTGGGGCCGCACAGCAATGAGGTCAGTTGGTCGGAAAGGGAAGGACATGGATTTGCTCTTTGGCATGTCACTCACCTGCTCCTGCCTGTTAGATTTTACTTGGCAGTTTTGATTCCGGACAACTTGACCTTTGACCTGCTTGTGTAGCTGAGTATTGACTAAAGAAGCTTAGCTTTGGTCACCCATCTGAGTGGTTTAACCCCCCCCCCCCCATGTCAGAAGAATCTTTTTAGCTGCTTAGCTACTTAGCTGTGTCAATTTGTGCTTGTTTTTCATATTTACGATGAAGGTCAGTTTGTAACTAGTTTGATGCCTGGTTTTCTGGCCCCGTAGCTGAATAATCCCCTGAGGGAGATCGACAGAGTTATTGGGATGCTGATGGATGGCCTGAAACAAATGAATCTACACCGGTGTGTCAACATCATCCTGGTGGGAGACCACGGTAACAACATCCACCGCTCTGGAAAGGAAGGCATTGAGATCTGCTGGTGACCTAGAGGACTGTCTGAATAACTGTTTCTTCTTTTTCTTGGTCCAACACAATGAATGTTTAATTTTCATCTCCCAGATTTTTGAAATTGATGAAATAACATTGTCAGACATTTTAACATTCTTTTTCATGCAGTAATTCTCACGATTAGGGAGGTGGACCAGTTGTTAGGACTTTCTTCTCACGCCTCTGGGGCTGTGGGTTTGATTCGTGCCCCTCCTGTTGCCCTCAGCAGGTTTATAGAAACACGGAACTTTGCTAACGTTCCAGAATTAAATTTGTTATCCTGACATTTACTGAAAAGAGGAAGAGTGCAATGGCCCATTTCGCCAGACCGGGTATCGTCTGTTCGCCCACAGGAATGGAGGAGGCTCACTGCGACAGAACGGAGTACCTCAGCTCCTACCCGGTGAACGTGGATGATCTAATCCTGATTCCTGGATCACTTGGACGGATCCGGGCCCGAAATCCCAACAGTCCCAACTGTGAGTTACGACTGGACAGGAAATAGGGTGGGGAAGGAGGTTCCCAAGCATGATTGCAGGAGGTCCTTGAAGTTCACTCAACAGCTGCCAGACTAGATAAAAAGTAAAACTTTTGAGGACTCGTCCTGTGTTTGCATTGCTGCAGGGGTCCCTGACCCTGAGAACACCAGCCTGACTTTCTGACAACACAGCTGTCTTCTTTGGGACCTACCTAGAAAGTTGTCCTTTTTTTTCTCCCTAGATGACCCCAAGGCCATTGTCGCGAATCTTACCGTAAGTAGCACCAGCTCATTATAAAGAGCAGCAATTATGACTTATTAGTATACCGAGTTGAGTATAAGGATTGGATTTTTAGGCTGCCCAGCTGCATCTCTCACTATTGTGCTTGCTTGAAGTATTCTGCAAATCCCATATAACCTCGCTAACGCCCCGGAAATGGCAGAAATGTAGACATATGATTGTGTAGGGTATAAGATGAGAATGCCACTGTCCGCCATCAACTTATTCCTCCAGTGTAAGAAGTCGGATCAGCACTTCAAGGCGTACCTGAAACAACACCTGCCCAAACGGTTCCACTACGCCAACAACCGCAGGATCGAGGACGTGCACCTGCTGATGGAGAAGCGGTGGCATGTGGCCAGGTATTGCCGTCTTGCTCCTCTTAAAGAGATAAGTGGGCTGCGCCGAATTTTGACTGGAGCAGCATCAGTGCAAACGTCAGACGTGCTGGAGTGCAGCCCGTTCGCAGAGCAAAGCAGGAGAGGGAGGGAGACCAGTCGCACGGTGGGTGGAGGACCCGGATCATCTCAGCCACTGTAGACCTGTGGTGTTTTGGAAAATGAATAAACAGTCCAGGATCCTCCTGGTGTTTGTCTTTTCAGCTGTTGAATGCATGAGGGTGGATCTGGGCATGAGGGGCAGATGGCATTATAGGTGACACTGTGTTCCAGGTTATGTCTGATCACGAATTCAGATAAGCAGGATTCTGTTCCTGCTGAATCGCATCTTTGAGTATTTTGCTATCCATATTATATCCATCTTAAAACCTGAAAAGCACTGCATGTTAATGAGCTGAGGTTCGGGATAGACTGGAGCTTTGGTAAGTTCCCATCTGGTCTTTGGGGAAGGTCATCAGTAATAGCACCAGGCTTGCGTTAGTAGCATTGTTTAAGCCTCAGAAAGAACTCCACCCCAAGGGTGTTACCAGGGGGTTCACCCAACTTTCATCCAACCGAACTAATGGTCAGATCATCCTCTCTCACGTTCAGCAGTGAGATGGAATCAGACATTTCGAACAACCCGGAGCTCGGCAGTCACACGGAGTTCATGCACAGGTAATGGACAACATGGCTGCGGTGTCCAATCAGGAGTGGGCAGGGCGGAGCCCTCAGCCCTGAGCCAGTCATTGGCATTCCCATGTCTTCCATGGGTGGTCGTTCCCTTTGACTATTCCAAGTCAAAAGGACTGCTCATAATCCGAGTGTGAACTTAATTGGGTGTTGGATGAGGTTTTGCTCACGGGTGAACTACTAACCCTCTGGGATGAAGTTCTTGAAGGTTCTGCTTGGTCTACCCTATCTTTCACATAGTCCACGTGAAGTCAGGTTCAGAGGAATTCAGTAGCATGTGTATCTATCTGATCTTTCATTTGGTACTTGTGTGGAAATGTTGGGGGAAGGAAAGGGGGACTGCCATAACTGGTCTAGTTTTTGTGAATAATTTTCCAGGAAAGTACCAGAAGGCAAAAAGAATCTTGGTAGATGTGGTTTCTATGGTGACCATGGCTATGACAACAAGCTCAGCAGCATGCAGGTAGAATGTTCACAACCTCTGGTCTCTGTACCATGTCATGTGGTTCCTGCCGTTGACAATGAATGCTAGCTGTGTTAACTTCTGCTTTTTCAGACAATCTTTATGGGGTACGGACCAAGCTTCAAATTCAAGACAATGGTGCCGGCTTTTGAGAACATTGAACTTTACAATGTCATGTGTGGTAAGACTCTTTCCTCCCTGTTGTGTGGACTCAAATTGTCTTTGTCAGATTCTCTAATCATCTATCCACTTTATCTTGCTTCCGTTCCCTCAGACCTTTTGGGTTTGCAGCCGGTTTCGAACAACGGCACCCATGGCAGCGTCAATGGCATGTTGAGGGACCCCTTCTACACGCCTATCATGCCAGAGGAAGTGTCTCCTCCTACCCCATTGGAGCCGGTCGCCACCTCCATGGATGACCTGGGCTGTAGCTGTGTTGATAAAGTCAGTGCAGGATCTCCTTGGGTTCCTTATGGTTCATCTCCAGCAGAGCTTGTGAATTTCACCACTTGGCCTTAAGCCTGATTCAGATATACGATCTGAATTAACTTAGACTCATCTTTTCACTAAGGGACTGGGTTGTCTTTAAATCACCATGGTAATGGTCTCTGTCCCTGAGGGTCCGACTCTGTTTCAGAATAAAGTTGAGGATCTCGATCAGATGCTCAGTGAAGATGAAGGCCGTAAAGACAGTAAGGATTTATTTACTAGCTTATTCAGATGTTGTTGAAACTGCTGATGCTTTTTCAGGTTTTTTTTTGATAATTCAGTTAGAATCTGAAATGGCGGCCATGAACAACAGCTTTGATGGAGGTTGCGATGGCAGAGTTAGCTCTGAAATGGCTTTGGATGTTAAGATGATCTTTGAACTGTTTGATGACCGGTGCCTGAAGGATCCGGGTAAACATAAATGATTGCTGTGCTTTTTGAGTCCCCTGATACATGAACTTCCTTTCGGACCTGTGTGGCTTCCTTAGGTGGGCAGAATCTCCCGTTTGGTCGACCAGCAGTCCTCTTCCAAGCCAAATACAGCATCCTCCAGCACGACGACTTCATTAGTGGGTACAGTCTGGAGCTGGCCATGCCTCTGTGGACGTCCTACACTGTTCTGGCAGATGTATGTCTAGTTGTTCCCTTGGCATTAACCCCTGTGGAATCTGAACATGTTCCAAGTCATGGGATTCTCACAAATGGCCACTCATTTCTCTCATAGGTTGATGTTACTCCTCGCCCTGCATTTGATACCAGTTGTGTGAGGCCAGATGTCCGAATCCCTCCCTTCGAGAGCCAGTCGTGCACTGGCTATGGCGCTGATCCGAAGCTGTCTTACAGCTTTCTGTTCCCCCCTGGTAAGGGTCCCCTTCCTCAGCAGCCCGATCAAGGCTGCTGGGTGTGACTGCTATGTTCCTGTGCCAGTGTGAATGACTACTACCTCTGCACTAAATTAGGCTGTACCATTATTGGCCTCTTGGGGGAGCCAAGGGTTAAGAGTTGATTGCTCCAGTTTTAAATGCTATAGTTTGAAGATGAAAGTGATGATTCCCTGTAATATTGGTCCCCATGAATGACTACCTTGATAGTGCCTGGAGTGGTCTGGTACATGAGACTGTACAACCCTCAGATGCACTTCTTCAGTAGCAGGCCGCTAATTTCGTAGGTATGGAAGGCAACAAAAAACATTTCCAAAATAAACCAACGCTTCTGCTGTGTTGTCAGGGCAGGCCTCGTCTCCTAACACCAGACAAGACGCGGTCTTGATCACAAACACCGTTCCAATGTACCCTGCATTTAAGAGTGAGTATGTTTTACAACTTGCTTTTAATATTGTGCAGAAGTCTGTTTCCCAGCAGTGGAAAACACATGTCTTTAATGTCAGTCCTTGTTCAGGCTGATTCTCTAAATGTCTGCGACATTAGCATTACTATTTCAATACAGCAAATACGTGTAACGATTCCCAGCCCCAGAGATGTTTTCTGCATGAATCGGGCGCCTCTTGCGCTTGGTGTGGTTACTGCCAGCAGGTGGCAGCACGCCATAGCCGTGATGACCTCAGTGTTTCGAGTGCTGCGGCGTGTTGTCTGTGTCTCGGGGAGGCTGGCACCCAGCGGCCTGCGGAACAATGTGTACACTCACACACACATGCACATACACACAATCAGCAGGCTGGATTATAGACGTTGAGGACATAGTACTCCTTTTATCAGCCTTTCCACTCCCAAGATGTTTCTGGCTACGGGTGGGTGATATGGCCAAAGTGTCACATAATGAAATTTTTAGTTAGAAACACAATCTATGATATAGATCATGAGATGCATAAATTATTTTTTGTTTACAAAACAACCAAATTAGAATGTCTGCTGTGAGGTTAACCACTTAACCAGCAATTACATTCTTGCAATATTGTAATATTCTTAATTATTGAAGTATGAAAAATACAGAACATATGAAAGATTCTCATTATAAGATCTCATTATAGCAAAAGTGCTTTTTAATTTTTTTAATTTTAAAGTTTCAAAAGTTCTCAGTACAAATTTAGATTTATCACTTTGGCCAATAAAAAACACACATTTAAACCATTTTGACCTAGTACAACCTTTTTTTGGAACCAGTTTTTCCTCATCAGTCTCTGGTTATTCAACAACGTAGCCGACTTGTCTATAGACCTTGTGTTGTTTGCCAGGTGACGTAAGTGCAATATTTTTGGTAATCCAATGGCATATGGAATTATTTATCCACTCATCTAGGTTAGCTAACTGGTTTAAAAAGGTCAATTAAGTTTCTTGTATAAGATCTAGTCGCTAAGTTGAGACCCACTGAGACTGACAAAGAAGTGATATATACAGACAGCACTGAGATGTTGTGCCTTGTTTTGTTTCACATCAGTCTGTTTTTGTTGTAGTACTGTTGCAGCCTCCGAACACACAGGAAGCGCAAACTTGCTGGTTTGGTCTGTCATTACTTAAGTAATGCTGTATCACAATTCTAACAATAGCTGTGAAACACTTATCGCAGATACAGTTGCAATTGGTCATGATAAATTGCGGTCATATTAGCCACCACTATTTCTAGCATCATAAGAACATAGACCTGTGTTTTTGTTGCTGTCACGCAGATTTCGTGTTTGTCCGCTTTGTGTTTTCAGAGTCTCAGAGTGTGGCTCCTCCTTTGTCATTGTATAAACATGCAGCGTAATTCTGTGTTTCATTCCGAAAGCACATGACCACCCATTGCTCCTCTCACCTGTAGGGGCGTGGAGCTACTTCCAGGAGACCCTGGTGAAGCGATATGCCAGTGAGAGGAACGGGGTCAACATTGTCAGCGGTCCCGTGTTCGACTACGACTTTGACAGCCTGAGGGACTCCATGGAGAATATCCAACAGTAATGAAAGATGTGGTTCATTTAGGGACTGTAGATAAAGGAACCTGGGATAACGCCTCCAAGAATAGACCCTGTTATTGACAAGCCTGCTCTGGGTATCTGCTATCAGCTGCAACCTGGGGCCTGTACTATGAAGCGGGGTTACTGGCTTATCGGGGTAACTTGTCGGATTTAAGGTAGTCTGGGCAAAATGTAAGTGAAGGAATATGAAGTCCATTTAAACTGTGGTACCTTAAATCCGACAAGTTACCCCGATTAGCCAGTAACCCCGCTTCGCAGTACAGGCCACTGGCTGATGAATACACGAAACTCTGCTTTTTGACCTTGTCAGCTGGTGTTGGCCGGCGTGACGAACTTCATGCTACATGGCATGTTCTGTGTCTGTGTTTGCAGGTTGGGTGGCGAGTTCCCAGCGATTCCCACACACTACTACAGCATCATCACCAGCTGTCTGGATAGCACCCGAGCTGCGGACGAGTGCGACGGCCCACTGACCGTCTTCTCCTTCATTTTGCCACACCGGCCGGACAATGCCGAGAGCTGCAACGTGAGCGTGACGCTAACGCTAAGCACGATGCTAACAGTAACATCAAAGACCTGCGCCTGTACACCCTGGTGTTACGTCGCAGTGCTCGTTTTCCTTAAGTGCGGACACGGTGCTAATGCTACGAGGATGTCTGTCAAAGACCAGCACCTGGACGCATCCGTGTTGCATTGCATTGTTTACTTACCTTATGCTAAACTGATTAGTAGACACCTGTGTTTCTCTAGTCTTTCACTGCTACCAAAGGGCTAAAGACTAAACCGAACAGCAAATGTTTACTGCAGTATCGAGAGGATTTGAGGCTGTTTCTGCTTTGAACCACATATGCTTTGTTGCCATCTCATAAAAAAAATACAGATTAACATCATATTTAGCGTTAGGAAGGCTAATAACATAAGAAAATGATGCTATACTGATTGGTTCATTAAAGGCAATGTACTAATTGGCTAAGGAAGGACTCTTGTGGTGTCTGAAGCTCCCTTGTGTGTTTGTATGTGTCCTACAGAGTGTGGAGGAAGAGTTCAGGTGGGTTGATGAGCTGATGAAGGCTCACACAGCACGGGTAAGAGACGTCGAGATCCTCACTGGACTGGACTTCTACCGGATCACCAACCGGAGCTACGTGGAAATCCTCTCGCTAAAGACTTACTTGCACACATTCGAGGATGATATCTGAAACCTGTCCCGTCACTAGGTGTATATTTTTATATAGTGTATTATGAATCGATAGAATATTAACTGGCATTAAAAATTTTAATCTTATGTAGCAATTTTTTTTTCGCAAAGTAGCTAGAGAAATACTGTTGTTTTATTGTTTGTGATAATTGTCTCTGTTGTGGGTTGCGTTGTGGTCCTGTCACTCTGTACACTATTCTGTACACAATGAAACTGTGTGGTCGTTTTCCAAGGTATCCTAATGTGTGATTCACCATTATTGACCTCTACGTCATGTGACGATCAGTTAATTACACTGCAATAAACCAATATTTTTACCCAGCTGTTTGTGAATTATTATTGAGGTACTTCTAACTATCTTGCGGTATCTAGCTTGAATTCCACCTCCGCGTTAAGGATCATTTCAAGCACTATACCTCTGTTGACCTGTTTCTGTGTGGCCATGTGGTACGCTGTTCATTACAGAAAGTAATTAATTCTCTCTGTCTGTGCTATTGAATAGCCAATCCATAATAAAGTTCCTGCTGGGTACATGTGTTTATTTTTTCAACATCTTGTTGCTCATGAAATTATAATTGCAGGATCAAACTTTCACCTGCATTGACTCGACTGTTATGAGTATGGTACTGCAAAATGACACATTGCTTGATGTGAAAACATAATACCAAAGTCTAATGTTTAAAGTCCCCTGCTTATCTTCTGGCACAGCAATAAATCCCCATAGGAGAGCCAATCTTTTTCGACCGAAAGGTCAAGGTGTGAACACGCAGAAAAGCCGGTTCCCTTGAAAACTATCAGTCTCGGGTTCCTGCAATGCCGTGTCCGTGTCATACTTAGGGAATGCAATCCTCTTTCTAGAATTTTAAGTGGATTGGTTAATTATTAGCCAGTCAGGATTGGATGTCATTCGAAGGGTGTCAACACTGTGATTCCCCTCTAAATGAGAATGAACTTGTGCAGACTTCCAGGCACAAAGGGGACACCTGTGATTTCCATCCTCTGAATTTGTGGCTCCTCACCTTGTTACTCCAGGAGCCCCTGTGTCTGGTGCCCTTTGTCAGAGTACTGCACTCAAGATGGCCATCCCTAACGTATTATTAGAAAGAAAGAAATTCATAATTGTGAGTATTGGTTTACTTCTATTTCAGTACTCAGTGAGTATGGGGTTTACATTACAGCTCAAAAGTAAGTGTGATGATACACAGGGCAACTTTTTTGAGCAATGTTGCTGGGCAATGTTGCAGACCGATGTTACTCGGGCACTTTCTCATTGATATTGGGCAACAAATTTCTACTTAAAAATCTTTGATCGGCAGTGGGCAACTTCTCATAATCATCCACATCTCTCACCTAGTTAGCAGTTGCCCGGCAACATTACTCAGAATGTTGTCCTGTGTGTCATCACCTTAAGATGATATGTTAGTTTGTTAGATTAATGGGGGGAGGGGAATGAATATTTAGGTAAGTCAAGGTTCCAGAAAAGGTAATGATGTTAGATTTAGTTGTTGTCTGGTGCTTCTACCCAGTGTGGTTGAGTGTTTTAGTGTAGTACAATATTGTAGAGTTGACCTTTCTCCACATTAACAGACTGGAATTGTAGTCACACCATTCAAACACTGTACCCATGTTGTATGTCCTGTATGTCTGTACCCATGTACCGAGTGACGGTGGGTTGTATGAGGGGTGGACTGAGGTGTTCACTGCTCAGTAGATTAGTCTGCTGGCTGTCTCCATCGTCACCATCATCCTAGGGCTTGGTCTAGGGCTTGGACTGCAGCTGGAGGACTGTCGCAGGAAAGGTAGGTCTGTCTGCGGACGTATTTCCCAGCAATCTGCTGTGCATGCTTTCTGCTTTTTGAAATTCAAGAATCCAGAATGTTTAATAGGGCAAGACATCTTGAGCAGCCCCTGAAAACCCATCTCTGTTCGTCAGATGTCTACGTCTCCTGCAGGAACCGCTGCTATGAGCCCAACGACACTGAGACCCCCGGATGCCGCTGTGACGCCCAATGTGGGACTAGCGGGGCCTGCTGCCATGACTACATTGACCTCTGTGTCGCACCTAGTAAGCTGCCATCTTCAGAATAAGCGTGGGAATGAAACAGTATTTGACGCCCTTTCTGAGTGATTCTTCAGTGCTCAGCAGAACTTGTGTGGCCCCCTATAGGTCAGCAGTGGGAATGCACCAGTTTACGCTGCAGTGAGAAGAGGCTTTCTGTGAGTAAATGTCACTGTTCGGTTGACTGCATGGAACAAGGAGATTGTTGCACCAACTTCGAGAGTGTCTGCAAAGGTAGATGATGTGCGCATGATGTCTGGGATGGATTGTATCTGGGCCCCAGCCTGTGGCCCCCTGCATTAAAGTCTTGTTGTGTGCTGGCTCAGGTGGAACAGAGTGGAAGGAGGATGCCTGTGAGGATATAGTGGCACCTCAATGTCCAGCCAGGTACTTGTCTGCGGATGGAATACATGTCACAGTGCAGTTTTTGCAGTGGCTCTGGTCTGAACGGACACCCTTTTATTTAGCTTTTCCCGGCAGCCGCTGCTCCTCATTTCACTGGATGGATTCAGAGCTGAGTATCTGAAAACGTGGAGCACGATACTCCCAGTGATAGACAAACTAAGTGAGTAACTCTGCAGAGGAACTACAGACACACAGTCGGAGTATGTGAAGGGATACTATGACGAACATGTTAGTTGTTGGGCCACGTTGGTATCGTCAATAACAATCCAATATTCTTGTTTTTTGTGTGTATTAAAATGGAAATAGTGCTAAAGTAGTTTTGGGGAAAAAACATGTTTAAAAACTTATGAAACATAATTAAATTTATAAAACAAAAAAGGAGTTTGCTCAGTACTGTCTCTATGGAATCCAAAATATTTCCATACAATGGAAAACAAATGTCCTTTCGTGACCAGACCTTTCGCTTTGCTTTCCTCCTCCTCGATTATTGTTGTTAAATTTCTCATAAACATGCCTACGCCTCACTGTCTATGAGTGAGTCCAAGAGCACGCACGAGCACACGCAAAAGCAGTGGTCGTAAACTTTAGAATGATTTTTTTAACGTATACTAGATAATCATTAAAACTTCAAAGATTGCTTAGGCTTGTTTCATAAGGCAGAGTAAAAAAAAAAAGTTTTAACATAACTTATTGATGGAAACAGAAGTGACTGTTTCTGGGAAGCAGGAGCCTTAACACAAATGTGTGGTTTGAGTGGGAAACACCGCGGTTGGATAATATGAACTTACAAATATTTACAGTCTAAATCTGAAATGCATAACCAGAGGGTAGAATATGGGTGTAACTGGGAGGATGCTGTGAAGATGCTGATAATCTCCTCAAACAGGAACATGTGGAACCCACAGCCCCTACATGCAAGCGGCCTTTCCCAGCACGACCTTCCCCAATCACTACTCCATCGTCACGGTGAGTAGGTGCCTGTCCTTACACCGTCCCTATAGACACCATCACTCATCCGCTGCGGCAACACACAGGATCCCCACCGAACGTGGCTCAGCGGGTTAGAATGCTGTACCTGTGATTGGATGGTTTGCCAGTTCAAATCCCAGCATCAGCAGAATGGTTTTGCTTTGAGCAAGGCCCTTAACCCCCCCATTGCTACATGTGTGATCCTGCTTTCCAGCTTTGGAGAAACAAGTCTGCTAAATTAAAAAAAAAAAAATTAAAACCATTCCCAGACTGTGGGCAGTGACTGTCAGCAGAGTAAACTTCACTGGCATTCTATCTTCATACAAGCGCAGATTATAGTAATAATAATGATCCCTGTGGGGAAATTCTCTTTTTGCCTAACCTGTCTTGCTCTCCATGACACACAAACATATATATATATATATATATATAGACCAGAGCGAGCTTGGCAGTGATGGGCGGGCCCCTACAGTGTCACCCATGGAGCTGGGGGCTAAGGGCCTTGCTCAAGGGCCCACAAACGTGGCTGTTCTGCCGAGGCCAGGCACAGATGCTTAGCCCACCGAACCAAACGCTGCCTTCTCCACAAGGGGAAATTCAATGTTATAAAAATCAGTGACTGCAATCAAAAAGCTACATTTTTTTACTAAAGTATTTTGTTTGGTTCCTTATGGTTAAGGTTAGGGCTGGATAGGGGTTAAGGTTGTCATGATTGGGATCAGAGTTTTCCCTCATAGAAATAAATGGAGATTTCTCACAAAGATATAATTAGAAACCTGTGTGTGTGTGTGTGTGTGTGTGTATACACTGTGATGGCCTTCCAGGAATTTCCCTCCCTCACTTTGTTGTTCCGTCCTGAGTCTCAGATTTATGATGAATTTCGGAATCATTTCTTTCAGGGCCTCTACCCGGAATCTCATGGTCTGGTCGAAAACAGCATGTACGATCCTGTCTTCGACGCTTCCTTCGACCTCTCAGGCACGGAGAAGGAAAATCCCAGGTGGTACCTGGGCCAGCCCGTAAGCGAGGGAGTGTCGCGCCGCGTGCCGTCCGCGGGACGCCAGCTCTGATGAACATGTCACTCCTTCACACATCAGTTGCTTTTTCTGCATGGCATAGAATCACATGAACACGTGCTGCAGAAACACGCCGGAGAAATCCATGTTCACTGTTAACCCGTTTAAACAGATCAGCCTCTTCGTTCTCCTGCTTTTTACTTCTCATAGATCTGGCACACAGTCATGAACCAGGGGCTGAAAGCCGGCACGTTCTTCTGGCCTGGCTCCGACGTCAAAATCAATGGGAGTTTTCCAAATATTTATGAAGTCTACGACGGGTAACCGTGCAATTTCTGCTTAGACATGCTAAATGTTCATGCTTTAAATTTTCTGCTCTAAGTTTCCTGTCTGCTTCTGTAGGAACGTGCCGTTTGAGCAGAGGATCTTTAAGGTACTGCAGTGGCTCAGACTGCCCGACAATACGAGGTGATTTCGCTGCCCGGTCATACAGGCTTAACACACAAGCTCCGGCCGCAGGCTGATCTGTAAAATTGTGCTGTTTTCACAGGCCAGACTTCTATACCTTATACCTGGAGGAGCCAGATAAATCGGGACACAAATTCGGGCCGGTCAGCGGTGGGGTAAGGATACAGACGGGGGGGTCGATTCCATACCAGAACGGCAAGAACGGAAAATGCTGCTTAACTCAGAATCGCACTGGGGATGTGAACATGGTGACATGCGTGGGATTGGAATCCACCTCTGGTCCTGTTGATCAAGCCTGAGAGATATGGCTAAAAAATTGTATCACATTATGGTGGAACGCAATCAATGCTGGTCAAAGACTACGTGGCACCCAAGACAAGCCCCTCCCACTCCCTGGTAAACATGCCGGGGGGGGGCCCAGAAAATGGCCCCATGTGGCTGCTAATGTCACCTAGTGATTTGACCGGCACTGCACTCTCTGATGGAATGAGGTGATTATTTGTGAATGGCTGGTTTTGCTGCTCAGCGAGTAGCACTGTAACCTAACACTTCTAGGGCCAGGTGGGGGGTCTGAACCCCTGCCATGCTGTGTGTAGGTCATAGAGGCCATCCAGAACATGGACAGGATCATAGGCCAACTGATGAATGGACTCAAGCAGATGAACCTACACCGATGTGTCAACATCATCATCGTAGCCGATCACGGTGAGGAGTTGTTTTTGTGTAGCATTATTGTGCAGAAGTAGGGAGGAACGGAAAGTGTGTCACCGGGTCACTCAAGGGACAAGAAGGTGGGAGTGCATTTCTCAGGGAAGGAACGGAGCTAATTTGGAAATAATTTATAGCATCTGAGGGAGGCACCTCAGCTCACCTCAGAGGGAGGTTATTAATGACGCGTGAAGGCATCTTACAGTTTGATGACTAAAGAAGTTAGTTAACCTGAAGTCTTTTGCTTCGGCAGCCAGACAACGTGCCCTGTCTACTTGTGTGGATTTAGTTGCTGACGAAATAGCACAGTGTTAAGAATAATAATCATAAGAATTTACAGCAATGGTGTTTATTGACACTCATACTGAGCATTTCAAGGGGCCCCCTGATAGCCACAAACAGCCAACATGCTAAACATTAAATTAACACGTTTCTTATCGAGGAGGTGCTGAAACAGCATGTTCTGCTAACCAGCTAGCTAGCTACTGACTCTAATCACTAGCTATTTAATTAGGTTTAGAACATCTGGGGGAGGGTACCAGAAACAACAACCCTACTCTGAGTTGATAGCCACATGTATGTGAGTCTGTAGTCTGTAAGTTGAGATCAATAACTCATGGAGGATTATGGGTTGAGTTGGGGTGTTAGATGGTTTTATCAAAGCAAAAGCAGACCCAAATGTACCCCAATAACCTGACTCTGATTACAGGCATGGAGGATACCAGCTGCACCCAAATGGAGTTTCTGGAGAACATGCTGGGAAACGTAAATGACCTCTTTGTGTATCAAGGAGCTTTTGGTAGAATCCGGTCGAAAATCAAAGGACAGAGCTGTGAGTAATCCTCTATACCCTGGTTTGGATCAATAAAACGGCTCGGTGTTTAGGTTTGGACCTGAGACCCCAGACAGTGAAGCACCTACTACATGAAGCTTAGCTGAAGCCTGCAGAGTCATTGCTGTGTGCTGTCAATCACCACTTAATCCAGTGAGAAACACAGTAGCTGATAGGGCACTGTGGTACCACCCACCAGTCTCCTTTTCTTCGTCAACAGTCTTTTTTAAGAATGGTTCATCTATGAGCTGCACTGCCAAGGTAAATAAACTGCTTTTTCTGTCCTTCCCTCCTTTTGCACTCAGTGGATTCTGCGCGACTTGTGGCCAACCTTACAGTAAGTGATGGAACAATCACATGTAGTTCATTAAAACATGGAAGTGTGTTTTTGACAGACTATACACTGATCACACATGACATTAAAACCACTGACAGATGAAGTGAATAACATTAATAACCCCATTACAGTGGTACCTGTCAAGGCCAGTGGACAGTGGACATTAGGACAGTGGACAGTGAGTTTGTGAGTTTGTGAAGTTGATGATTTGGAAGCAGGAAAAATTAATGGATCTGAGCAACTGTGACAAGGGCCAAATTATGATGGCTTGATGTCTGGGTCAGAACATCTCCAAAACAGCAGGTTTTGTGGAGTGTTCCCAGAATGCAGTGGTCAGTCCCTACCAAAAGTAGTCCAAAGAAGGCCAACCACTGAACTGGCGATGGAGTCATGGGCACCTGAGGCTCACTGATGTGCGTGGGGAGGGAAGGCTAGCCTGTCTGGTTCAATCCCACAGGAGAGCTACTGTAGCATAAATTTCTGAAAAAGTGAATGTTGCTTATAATAGAATAGCATCGCAGCACACAATGCATCACAGCTTGCGGCATATGAGGCTGCATAGCTGCAGACCGTTCAAAGTGCTGACTCCACACTGCCAAACAATGCTTATGCTAGTGTCAGAACTGGTCTATGGAGCAATGGAAGAATGTGGCCCGGTCTGACAAGTTTACTTGGGGAAGAGATGGCACCAGGACGCACTATGGGAAGAAGGCAAGCCGGCGGAGGCAGTGTGATGCTCTGGGCAATGTTCTGCTGCGAAACCTGCACCACAGTAAACATTGTTCAGGAATGGTTTGAGGAATGTGAAAAAGAGTTCAAGGTGTTGCCTCCAAATACTCCAGATCTCAGTCAGATTGATCATCAGTGGGATGTGCTGAATAAACAAGTCCGATCCATGGAGGCCCCACCTTGCAACTTACAGGACTTACAGAATTTTCTGATACCACAGGACATCTTCGGAGGTCTTGTGGAGTCCATGTCTCGATGGGTCAGAGCTGTTTTGGCAGCAAGAGGGGGACCTACACAATATTAGGCAGGTGGTTTTAATGTTATGGCTGATTGGTGTACACTGTTAAAATACAAATGATGTATTCTGCCTGCCTGTTTAGTTCAGAGGATTTATAGAGACTAATGAGATTTTAAGCAGCAGAATATGAGCTTAACAGATCCCCGCAGTGACATTACCCTGGTGCAGGATCTGAGTCATCATCTCTGTCCCCATGGCCAGGATTTCCAATGCCGGAAACCAAGTCCAAAGGTAAGACCCTTCCAGAAAGCTCACCTGCCCAAGCGATTCCACTACGCCTCCAGCCGACGCATCGAGGACGCTATCATCCTTGTTGAGCCCAAGTGGCTGTTCGCGAGGTAACGATGGATACCAACTCACTCACTCACTCTTATCTCTATTAGTCACCCACAGGGCAAAAACAGTGAAAGTGTGTGAAAGGTTGCAATACAGGATTGATGGCTCTTCCGTTCAATTCTGCAATATTTGTCTGCCTGGGCAAGGTCTCCAGTTACTGGCTCACTCTGCTTTTTCAAAATGATGCATGTTTGGATTAAAGTGTCTCTTAAATAAATTAAATGAACAATTTACAATGTAAATAGATGAAGTATGATTTGAAGAGGTCAGTGAGTGAACACTCAGCTCTGTTAAAGAAAGGTAAATGTTCTCATGGTCATTTGACACGGTTTCAGAAACAAAGACACCTACACCTTCTGTGATGGCGGGGCTCACGGATATGACAATGACGAGTACAGCATGCAGGTAGACCGGCCGGCTGCGTGCCACAGAGCCAGGCAGAGCTGCGGCATCACCGCAGAAGAGACTGAGCCTCTGGCCTCTGTTTCCTAAGGCCATGTTCCTGAGCTACGGACCCAAGTTTCACTACAAGACTCTAGTTGAGCCTTTCTCCAATGTCGAACTGTACAATCTCATGTGCGGTAAGTGGACACAGCGAGTGGACTTTTTATCTTGAGTGTGCAAATCACATGCTTGTCTTTGGAAACTTCTAAAAATAGCTATGTCTGCCCGACGTGTTAGAGCATGCAGAGCAGAATTTGACACAAAGGACACTAGTTTCCCAGAGTTTTCTGTTTTTTTTTTTTCCTGGAAAACAGACATTCTGGAGATATCACCCGCTCAGAACAACGGCACCCATGGCAGCTTGAACCACCTGCTGAGGGGTCCCTGGCATGTGCCCCAGTTCCCCGCTGAGCAGACCCCCCCGGGAACCTGCCCCCTCCTTTCTCTCACCCCCACTGATGACCTGGGCTGTAACTGCCCTAGCCAGGTCAGTCCCTGCCACTCTTCCACCTCCACCTGCCCATGTTGTTCCAGATAAACGCAGAACCGTGACATCCTTGGCCTGCGGTAAATTAGTTCTATATTTCCTCTCCTACGCTCCACAGCCATCATTGCCCCAGAAGGTCCTTTAGGGTTCATCAGGTGCTATGGTAGTCCTTCTTGTTATCACCTGTTACTCAAGAACCTCCTATGTTCGGGGGTGCCCTGCTGGCCACTAACAGTTACTACACTAAATATAAAAATAAAAAAAAACTTGCCCCAGACCTTCTTTATGGTAACGTTGGTCGATATGACGACCTTTACATCTGGACAGATGTATCAGAGATGGACAGAGCTGGTGACACAACCTCAGTGTTAAATCCAGAGCATGACTTCAGTCTGAAAGTAATAAAGCGAGATATTTAAAGATGGGTTCATACTGTAAAATGTCATTCATCCTGTACTTATACATACTGGTCATTGTTATAACTTGAGTAAACATGAAAGCCATCACATATGTATCTGTTTCTCTGCAGAACCATACCTTGCTGAACAGACGCCTGAATCTGACCAGCTCTGAAGGTAAAGACCTGAACGCTGGTCTGCGCTAAGGGGTTTTAGCACTAAGGGGTCATGGCGGTAAGGGGTCGTGGTGCTAAGGGGTCATGGCGGTAAGGGGTCGTGGTGCTAAGGGGTCATGGCGGTAAGGGGTCG